ACTTGCCTTTCAAGCTTTATTCAAAAGCTTATCTTCTGTTCTTTCAAATGCATGGTCTATCATTAACAAAAACTTTCAAAACAATGTACTTATCAATTAAAAAAATAAAATATACATATCAGTCTATTTCGCTCATCGGCCATACTGTTTAAGTAAAGTGTTTTACAGATTGATTCCAATTTTTTGAACGGAAAAATATATTCGAACACACTGACGGTGCATGGGCAATTATTTCGTTGAAAAAATATTCCGTTAGAAACTTCTGGACTCATTTAAACGCTTGCATTTGAATTAGCCAATCAGATTTCGCGCACTGTATGGCGGCCATTTGTATATTGGCCTGTACAAGGAATTTAATTAAATGAGAGGATTTAATCATGACTTTTCGGATGTTGACAGTTTTTTTCAATTATTTTGTTAAAAGGTTATTTATTTTTTAGTTTTGTTCATAAATAGGTCAAATTAATGTGAATACACGCTGTTTTAATTTTTAAAATTCATTAGATCTAAATCGATGTCTAATGTCAATTTTTTTTGCTACACGATTTTGCGAAGATCTGTTAAGACCTAACTTAACATGGAAAATGAAAATTGTAAAATATCAGATTAATGAATGATAAATATGAAATTTGGTTACGTATAGGTCTTAATAATTAGGACTAAGGCTCAGTGATGAAAGTCTTAGGCGTAGATACTTTTCAAGTTTTTGTGTTCTTTTATTGTTGCAGTGCAGTTCAAAATATTAAACAACTGAGAACATGAAAATTTGAATTGTATTTTCTATGATATTTTCTTTACTACAATTATTTTCCTCTGATGTAATTTGACTTTTTACCAACTAAAAAAGTCCTAGAAGCCACACCTCGCTTGCAGTGGCTTCTTCTTCTCTTTAGAAATTTAGTAAAAAAAAATTATTAAAATGGAATCTGTGTGGGAGCACAGTCCCCCACCAAAGTGGATTTTAAAATCGGGGCTTGGAATTTGCCTTTTTTTTTATGTTGGAGAACCCATCCCCGTTGTTTTTGGGGGGACGTTTGTTTTCTTCCATTTCCCAAACTGCATGCCCCCTAAAAAAATGCAAAAAATGATTTTAAAGTTCCCAAATTTTCCCAAAAAAAGCCTGGATTTTTTGCCCTTTAGCAAAAACAAATTTGGTTTTAAAAACCCTTTAAAAAACTAAAGGGATTTTAAAAGGCTTTTTTATTTCAGTTTTTTGGGTTTATGAAATTTTAGTTCTCCAAATTTTCCTGGGGGGTATAAAAAGAAAAGGGGGAAGTATTTTTTTCACCAGATGGCAGCTTGTGCTTGCCCCCGTTTGGGAAAAAAAGGGCCCCTGTTTTCGATTGAAAAAGTAAAGGGTTACTTAAGAAAATTGTAAACTTTGAGTTCATTTTTAACACTATATATTTTCAGGACTGCCAATGAAAATCTTTCACATTAGGCTTTTAACTAATAGGTCCCTTGTATCGATGCTTTCATTGATCTCAAGCTGAAGAAATGTTATTAACTTCTTTGTACTGTTTTGCTATACAGTATTTTTATGAACTACTTAAAACAACAGACTTTCGCCTACATGTAAATGATTTTCAAATCGGCAACTATATATAAACATATTAATAAAAAAACAACAAAGGAAAATAAAATGTGCAAATTTCTAACAGCTATCTCTGAGTGAAAAACATGATGTAAGTAAGTGTGAATTGAGTAACAGATATATATTTTTCTGCCTAGGAAGTTTTTTTTCATTTTTTGATGCACATTTCTCATTTTACCTGTATAATATTTAATAGAAATTAATGTTAGGATTTTCATCAATCTAATACAGTATTTGGAGTAATTTGTCTTATTTCTATTAATATATCACATAAACCTATTGCATGATATGTACTGGTACATGTGTGTTGTCAAATTTTGAATTGATTATAGTGATTTTTTTATCCCGACAGTAACAAATCAGAGACGTTGCCAATAGAGGCTCCTATGAACATAACCTGTATAGCATTATCTCCTGATGGCTACACTTTTATAGCTGTAAATGATGGTAAACTTGTGCAATACTTTCTTTTTTTGACATGTACACTTCATGCTTTGTGAATACAAGTAATCAAATACTCTAGTTTTATTGATTCATTTCTCATATAAAAAAAATATTGTAATGGTATGGGCGAGTGGTTAACCCTTTGAACGACAAATCTAAGGATAGCTATCCTCATGGGTTCAAACCCTGTCAGAGGTGAGCTGATGTTTCCTGGAGCAAGAAAATTTACACTCGTTGCTCAATACTGGTTGGTTCGAGATTGTGTCTATATGATCCTATCCTACGTGATCGAAAATAAATTCTGTATGAACATAAAAATAGCTGAATTTTTCTGAAAGGCTAAGATTTTTCTGTAAATGAAGCAAAAGGAGCACATTTCCATTGGTAGTTGTCTTTTTGCAAAAATTTTGACAAGGGACTGTGCATACAAATTAACTCAAATAACAACACATACTATTTTCAAAGAAAAAAATCTCAGTTGTTGTGCATAGTATCCTTTATACAGTGTTGCTTCAAAACTGAGAATAGGCGAGCAGGCTATCATACCGAATATTCTTGTTATTATAGTTGTGAATAGTGAATTGTTGTAAATAACCATTACTTTGTGTATTTCAGATGGTGAAGCTCTGTTGTGCAGTTTAATCAGCAAGACGATTCTACACAGATACCATTTCCACAGAAAAGTACATTCTATCAAGTTTAGTCCAGATGGGAGGTATGTAAACTTTATACAAGAATAAATTACTACAATATTAAAGGAACTCCACTGAGGTCCGAATGCCTAAAAACATAAAATTTTGAAAATCTTACAAAAATCAAGCGAAGCACTTGAAATGGAAAACTCTGCTAAGAATAACGAAGAAATATACTCAGAATTAAAATTAAAATCAATATGAGTGCGATTCTTACCAGGATTTGAGTGATTTTGGGGTTGTTTTGCAGAATAAAAATGATTATTCTGGAAAAAACAAGTTGAGGGAATGATAAGAAAATTTGCACAAGTTATTGGTCCAGATCTTCATCAATTGGCACACAAGTCCAGGAAAAATGTTTCAAGTCCTGTCTTGTCAAAAAACAGCAGTGGAGTCCCTTTAAAAAAGATGAGTACCTGTATCAAAGGACTGACACAATTAAATTTTAACTTGACAGATCTACTCATATGTATGAAGACTTGGTATTTTTGTAAGTCATGTATAGAATTTCCTTCAAAATGATACCATATGGTGTCCTTTGTATACATTTTTAATTAAATTTGAAAAAGTTATTTATTTATCAAACTGTTTTGTTAGGGATTATACAATGGTGCCTGTTCTTGGCTGAAACAATACACAAAGTTGCAACAGATATCTTTCTCCACTAGTAAAGCTTGTTTACAAAAAGTGTACATGTATGTCCATATGAACATAACAGTGCCAGTATGTTTTAAAAAGTCTAAGAACTCTATAAAAAAAATCTTTTAAAAAGATTAGGCAAAAAATATAACCCATGTAAGAAATAACAGATGAGTTAACATATTAGAAAATGGTGAAAAACCAAAAATATTGGTACATATACCTTTGTAATGATATATTTATAGTACAAATTTCTCTAGGTGGCCATTTAATTCTTCTTTTCAGTAAATTTGCAGTTACTCGTGAGAATAAGGTCGTCGTTTTTCATGCACCGGGAAAGACAAGAGAATATAACCCATTTGTTCTGTACAAGACTTTCTTTGGACCCTATGATGAAACAACTTGCCTTGACTGGACAGATGACTCAAGGTAACATTTCGTTTGTCAATCTAGTAGTACTTTTGTTGACATTACAGGGATTTTTTTGCTTGTTTAATGACAGATATTTGGTCATATTCCTAATTGAAAATAGTATATTATTTTCCCAATTCACAGGGAAAAAAATTCCCTATTGAAAGTTACAAAAGAAAAATAATGAATAAAAAATCTACTTTTCACTGTTATAGTACTTAAATGTTTGAAGACACCATCTTAGACAGAGATTGTTTGCATTCATTTAATCACAGCAAATTTTCAGTCATACAGTTTTTCCCAATTTTTAACAAAACATTGCTAAAAATCCTAATTCCATGGGTATGGGTCATGTTCCCAAAATCCTGAGGAAAAGAACCCCACGTTATCTCCTGAGTGAAAACTTCTGGTACTGAAAAAGTTTCTAAACACATTTATCAAAAATATTTTACACATATTAAGTCAAACCTTGGACTTAATTTTAGTGATTATTTTTTCAAGATGACCTTTTATACATGTGATGTTTGTATGAAGAGATATGAACCTCCACTGTTAATGATATTTTTGCCTATTTTAATTTTATCACACTCCTCTGACCTATTGTTTAAGCATTTCTTATTTTGATAGATCTTTCCTGTCTGTTAAAAAATTTTACTTAACTGCCCACTTAGCTCAATAGAGAAAACATCGGATTTGTAAACTAGGGGATGCTGGTTGTATATACTCAGGTGGGGCAAAATTTCTCTGTATATACCCATGGGGGGAGGGGGGCCAAGGGTGGAAGGGGGGCCAAGGGTGTTGGGGAGGGGGTGCAAAATTTCTCTGTGACAGTTGATCTCGCCTATTAAGTCCAATGGTTATTTATCCTTGTTCTCTGATTCGGAAAGAATTTGGGTTTAGTACTCCATCACTTGCTGTAAAAATGGTAATTTCTCACTAGTTATCCAGAGAAAGCTGTTGCCAAGATATTACATACTAAACTGTATGAAAATTGGCATTAAAACCAAACAAATAAACAAGCATAAGAATTTACCTCACTATTATTTGTGTGTAGTATTTCGTATATGAGACTAGATTTTATGCTATTTTAGACGGATAATACTAGAGTAACAATATATGTGTATGCTAAAAAAATGTGGCATGTTTGTAAAACATTAAAATCTTTTGAATATAATCAGTAACTTGCTTGAATGTCATTTTGGTACTTTATTTTTCAGAGTTTTTCTGTGTGGGGTCAAAAGACATGAACACAAGAGTGTATGGGGCACAACATTTTACGAAATCTGATCGTCTATTCCATCGGAGGACATAATGACGAAATAGTTGGAGCTTACTTTGAGAAAGATTCTCTCGATGTATCCTTTACCAATGTAATGTTCTGGGAAATGTAAATGTTACCAAGTTTTCCTTGTGTAAAATCTTATCAATATTTTCTGTATTGCAAAATTTATCATAAAATGTCTGTGAAATCTTACCAAGAATTTCTGTTAAAGGGGCCCTTCCCTTTAATATGTGTAAACATTTACATAGTCTTTCGGCAAAAGGGGAAGAAAAAACTTTAGTAAAATTTAAATTTGATTTTAGGGAGATTGGTGATTTAACTGAATTTTCTTGTGAAACAAAGTTGTAGGAGGTGATTTGGCAGAAATTTTACCAATAATTTCAGTAAAATCTTACCAAGACACCTGTAAACTGCCCCAGCTACTTGTATAAAAGGAAAAAGGCACAGAGTAGGTCATTTTCACTGTTAACATTTAGCTGGTAAATCATACCAAATTTGTATAATTTATTTCTGTGACGTTTCCTTAACATAGGCATAGTTATATACGATAAGTGCTAATGGTAGATTGAACATATGGGAATGTGATACTGACTTATCAGGACTGAAACCTTATGAGGCACCAAAGGGAAACCTGCCTAAAATTGAGGTCAACTCAGATGATGAAGATGAGGGGCCATATGGGGAACCTAAAAATAAAAGTGAGCGAAATTATACTTCAATATGAGGAGCCAATGGTCATTGGTGGTGAATGAAGCTTTAAATGTAGATGACATAGTATTATTATTCAGTAAAAGTTTAGTCTGTGGCAAAACAGTTTCATTACATGGGTAAATTATTTGTTTTAGTTGCTTAAACCAGAAAAATTCCTTTCCAAAAGTATTCCAGAATATAAACTTTGTTGTAAACAAAGTTTTAAAGTATAGAAAATTGAATTTGAGTTATAAAACTATCCATTGCCATTCAGATAGCTGTTGTTTTTTCCCCAATGTAATTTGAGATACAGAACTATTCATTACCATAATTTAATTTTTTCTTGTTTGTTTTTTGTTGCAGGTAAAGAAGTGAAATTGAGCAAAGAGGAAGAAATGAAGCAAGTTGATAAAGTGATTTATAAGAAAACCGCCAGGTAATTCATGAAATATTAAAAATTGAATAAATTTTGGAGCTCTCAACAGCAACTTTTAAGTTTTTTGATCATGAATGATGTAATGCAGTTGTGTTGACAATGTGTTCCCATCTCAGGTATTGTTGTTGTTGTTGATGATGATGATGATGATGGTTGTGTTAGTGATGATGATACTGATGACTGATGATGATGGTAATGATGATGATAATGGTGCTGCTGCAAATGATGATGGTGTTGTTGATGGTGGTAGTTGTGGTAGTGATGACAATGATGTTGATAATGATTGTGATGATGATGATGTTGATAATGATTGTGATAATGATAATGATTATTTCGACATTGATAATGATAACATTAATGATGATGATGACTATAATAATGATTATTTCCCCATGATTTTATGCTATTTTGATTGATTTTATGTATCAGCCTCTTAGGTAAAATGGCGCTTTACTGAATTCAGAATACTCGGGGACATTTCTTTAATTAAGATAATTATATATTTTATGAATTAAAAGCAGTTATGTATATAGAAAATATAAATGTGATAACTGTCCAATGAAAATGGTTGTTACATACCTGCAGTATTATAATTCCTGAGATACACATTTTTTCTTCACAGGCATTCCTACAAAGAGGCACGAGGGGACAAGGCATCTCGAGGAACTGTTACTAGCTCAGCTTATCATAAATCAACACATATACTGGTGACCGGTTTTGATGATGGTGTCTTCTTCCTTCATGAAATGCCAGATTTTAACCTCATACATTCACTAAGGTACTGTTCATTGTTATATTGTTGTCAATTTAAAATGATAGCTTAGGGTGTCTGTGACTGATTAGTTCAAACCACCTGTCCCTCACCCCTGTTGGTTCAAATCCCACAAGGGCATTTGGAATCTTTCACATGATGAAGCTATGCAACTGGCTTACAGAATGGCTGTGGTTCTACTCAGTTGCTTATTTGTGCCTGAAATACTGTTGAAGGGGAACCTGAGGTCTTCCTCCACCAGTAAAGCTTGAAGGTTGCATATGACCATAACAGTGTTGGTGCAATGTCAAAACCAACCCCAAAATACGTTAAACTGATAAGTTAGATTTTTTACAAGGTTTCAGACGATTAAAATTTGAATCATTTAATTCTTTTTTTCAAGTCAGATGGAATAACTGATATTTACTGAGGTTTTGAAATGTAACATATAGATATTGAAATGATATAGGAAGAATTCAGAGCTAACTTCATTATACTGATTGGCAGTCTTGTATAAATATCAATATAAACCAATAACAAATTCCTTTAATTAGCATTTCAGACAAGACTATCGCAACAGTAGATTTCAACAAGATAGGTGACTGGATAGCATTTGGATGTTCGGGCCTCGGTCAACTTCTCGTGTGGGAATGGCAGAGTGAGACATACGTGTTGAAGCAGCAAGGGCATTATAATAACATGAATTGTGTTGTGTACTCACCAGACGGACAGAACCTGGCTACAGGAGGGGATGATGGGAAGGTAAGGGCTTTGTTCAGGGCAATGTGTGAAGGTTAGGGGTTTGATCAGGGCAATGTGGGAAGGTAAGAGGTTTGATCAGGGTAATGTGGGAAGGTAAAGGGTTTGATCAGGGTAATGTGGGAAGGTAAAGGGTTTGATCAGGGTAATGTGGGAAGGTTAAGAGGTTTGATTAGGGCAATGTGGGATGGTAAGGGGTTTGATCAGGGCAATGTGGGAAGGTAAAGGGTTTGATCAGGGTAATGTGGGAAGGTAAGGGGTTTGATCAGGGCTATGAGGGAAGGTAAGGGGTTTGAATCAGGGCAATGTTGAAAGGTAAGGGGTTTGATCAGGGTAATGTGGGAAGGTAAGGGTAATGTTGAAAGGTAAGGGGTTTGATCAGGGTAATGTGGGAAGGTAAGGGGTTTGATCAGGGCAATGTTTTGATCAGGGTTAATGTGGGAAGGTAAAGGGTTTGATCAGGGCAATGTGGAAGGTAAAGGGTTTGATCAGGGTAATGTGGGAAGGTAAGGGGTTTGATCAGGGCAATGTGGGAAGGTAAAGGGTTTGATCAGGGTAATGTGGGAAGGTAAAGGGTTTGATCAGGGCAATGTGGGAAGGTAAAGGGTTTGATCAGGGTAATGTGGGAAGGTAAGGGGTTTGATTAGGGCAATGTTGAAAGGTAAGGGGTTTGATCAGGGTAATGTGGGAAGGTAAGGGGTTTGATCAGGGCAATGTAGGAAGGTAAAGGGTTTGAGCAGGGTAATGTGGGAAGGTAAAGGGTTTGATCAGGGCAATGTGGGAAGGTAAAGGGTTTGATCAGGGTAATGTGGGAAGGTAAGGGGTTTGATCAGGGCAATGTGGGAAGGTAAAGGGTTTGATCAGGGCTATGAGGGAAGGTAAGGGGTTTGATTAGGGCAATGTTGAAAGGTAAGGGGTTTGATCAGGGTAATGTGGGAAGGTAAGGGGTTTGATCAGGGCAATGTGGGAAGGTAAAGGGTTTGATCAGGGCTATGAGGGAAGGTAAGGGGTTTGATCAGGGCTATGAGGGAAGGTAAAGGGTTTGATTAGGGCAATGTTGAAAGGTAAGGGGTTTGATCAGGGTAATGTGGGAAGGTAAGGGGTTTGATCAGGGCAATGTGGGAAGGTAAAGGGTTTGATCAGGGCTATGAGGGAAGGTAAGGGTTTGATCAGGGCAATGTTGAAAGGTAAGGGGTTTGAATCAGGGCTATGAGGGAAGGTAAGGGGTTTGATCAGGGTAATGTTGAAAGGTAAGGGGTTTGATCAGGGTAATGTGGGAAGGTAAAGGGTTTGATCAGGGTAATGTGGGAAGGTAAGGGTTTGATCAGGGCTATGAGGGAAGGTAAGGGTTTGATCAGGGCAATGTTGAAAGGTAAGGGGTTTGATCAGGGTAATGTGGGAAGGTAAGGGTTTTGATCAGGGTAATGTTGAAAGGTAAGGGGTTTGATCAGGGTAATGTGGGAAGGTAAGGGGTTTGATCAGGGTAATGTTGAAAGGTAAAGGGTTTGATCAGGGTAATGTGGGAAGGTAAAGGGTTTGATCAGGGTAATGTTGAAAGGTAAGGGGTTTTGATCAGGGTAATGTGGAAGGTAAGGGTTTGATCAGGGTAATGTTGAAAGTAAGGGGTTTGATCAGGGTAATGTGGGAAGGTAAGGGGTTTGATCAGGGTAATGTTGAAAGGTAAAGGGTTTGATCAGGGTAATGTGGGAAGGTAAAGGGTTTGATCAGGGTAATGTTGAAAGGTAAGGGGTTTGATCAGGGCAATGTTGAAAGGTAAGGGGTTTGATCAGGGTAATGTGGGAAGGTAAGGGTTTGATCAGGGTAATGTTGAAAGGTAAGGGGTTTGATCAGGGTAATGTGGGAAGGTAAGGGGTTTGATCAGGGTAATGTTGAAAGGTAAGGGGTTTGATCAGGGTAATGTGGGAAGGTAAAGGGTTTGATCAGGGTAATGTGACCTTTGTAGATTGAACAGATATCACACATCTTTGTCAATAATGATAGAATGAAAATGAAGAAATTTGTATGCAGTATTGAATATTGAGAAATAAAATAAGTTTTTGTTCATCAATATTGCAGTAAATTCAGATTCATCATATTCTAACATTAATATATGTAATGTTAAACCAGGTTATTTATTTATAAGTTCAGTGATTGAGATGGATTGGCTATTTATATAAAGTAATCTTTGAAGTTGTTAGGTATTAACTTTACCAATTCTCCATTTCTTGATCAATATGTAAAACACATGGTTTCATTTGTCATGGTCAACTTTTAATTTTCTAATTGAAGTAGCACAAGAAAGTAAAAAAATGCACCCTATTCATTTATTTTGCTCAAAAGTTTTTGCTGTAGAACGATTATAAACTGATGGCTATCTGTACTTCATTATGTCGAAATCCTATAATGTTTTGCTATGCAATAAATTATTTTATTCAAATGTACAAAGTTCAGTATGAAGAGAAGATATATGGTTTTAAGATGGTATCTATGTATAATTATAGGTGAAGGTATGGAACACTAGTAGTGGGTTCTGTTTTGTGACATTTACAGAACATCTCGGAGGTATAACAGGCGTGGTGTTCAATCAGAACGGACAGGTGGTGCTATCCTCATCACTAGACGGCACTGTGCGGGCATTTGATCTGAACAGGTATTCATGGTTTGAAAAAATTGCTTTCCTAGCTCTACTGCTTTTTCTAGCATGTGAGGAGGCCTCCAAATTTTGCTGGAAACAATACAGGGAGGGCGACCACCAAGGGCCTATCTTTCTAAGTAAAAGGAATGATTGCTAATGACATTGTTGTGTTTGTGTGACCCTAAACCGAACAACAACAGCGTTCTCTGATCTTGACTGTTATTTGTTTTTCTTCTCTGATCTTAACTGTTATTTGTTTTTCTTCTCTGATCTTAACTGTTATTTGTTTTTCTTCTCTGATCTTAACTGTTATTTGTTTTTCTTCTCTGATCTTAACTGTTATTTGTTTTTCTTCTCTGATCTTAACTGTTATTTGTTTTTCTTCTCTGATCTTGACTGTTATTTATTTTTCTTTTGCTCAAGTGGCAACAAGATGAAATTATTTCCAAAAGCTAGGTATTATTAATGTTCAAATTCATATATCTGCTGCAACTTATGAATTTTTTTTTGTGATTTAAACATTTGTCTATTAAACTTATATTTTTATCATGAAACAAAGAACATTTGGAGAATTTACTAAAAGTCTATTAAATATACAGAAAATTGCATGATTTAAAAAATTGTATATTGAAATCAAAATATGTTCAATGTGAAAATGTAAGATTTCATAAGCATCATATTTCAGGTACCGAAATTTCCGCACATTCACGTCGCCCCGCCCAGCACAATTTTCGTGTCTTACAATTGACCCTAGTGGAGATCTAGTGTGTGCCGGGGCTCAGGACACATTTGAAATATTTGTATGGTCAATGCAGACTGGACGGCTTCTAGAGGTTAGTTTTTTTTAAGTAATATAAATGCGAGTTTTGGTTTCACATCTCAAAATTCAAGGAGACATTTAGATGATTAGATAACAGACTCTGTATAGGCATGTCAAAGCTCTATTTCTTTTACTCATAGAAGGATTTTAAAATATTCATTACTGTATATCGAATTTAGTTTAGTTTGATTGTGTTGGAAGCAATAAGCTTATAGAAACGCTTTTGAATCGTTTCTAGAACCAACCAATACTGTGCAATGAGTGTATAGTTTGTAGCTCAAGGAAACAATGGGCGCACTGATCTTTATACTACTAGCCTGACGCGCTAACCACTCGGCTTTGCACAAGTGCTTTTTATAGCAACGTTTTGTGCTCAGTTACCTTACTTTTATCTAACCACTCGGCTTTGCACAAGTGCTTTTATAGCAACGTTTTGTGCTCAGTTACCTTACTCTTATCTCATCAGATGTCATGGTCACATTAACAGAAATATTTTATATTAAATTATTTGTATACACATGTTTATATTGAATTAATTTTTGGACATCACCTAGATGTATAGATATCTGATAACATCAATTAAATTTCACATCAATTTAAATATGACTTATATGGTACTGGCTGGTCATAGGTTGCGTTAAGCTGAAAATAGGCTCGCTTAATTGACTCTTTGCTTCTAAGATATGTTGAAATCAAATCTGTGCTGTTTCCCATTTCAGGTGTTAGCTGGTCATGAAGGGCCGGTAAGCAGTCTCAGTTTCAGCCCAACAGAGACATTGCTGGCGTCCGGCTCTTGGGATAAGTCAGTCAAGTTATGGGATATATTTGATAACAAAGGTGCTAAAGAGACATTGGAGGTTTCCTCAGACGGTATGTTCTGCTTTTATTTTCCTTTAAAGGATTTGTGTTATTGTCAGCTGTGTTAGAATAATGGGGAAAGAGGTGGGGTTGGACATTCAGACATGAGTTTAAGCTCTTGACACGGCTAATATGGCTGTTTGTTTGAAGACAATGAAAAATCTCTCTTCAAACTGAGTTTTCAAATATTTACTTGAACAATCAGTTTCGTTTATGATGAATATCTTAATATGTATTCCATGGCCTTTTTATACATTTTCATTGATAAACCTAGCTTACAGAACGTCAGTGGTTCTACTCAGGTGCCCGTTCGGCCCTGAAATATTGCATGGAAGGGCACCTGAGGTCTTCCTCCACCAGTAAAGCTGGAACGTCGCCAAATGACCTATACTGTGTCGGTGTGACGTAAAACCCAATCATAAACAAAACAAAAAACTAAGTGATAAACGAATAGACACAAAATAGTATCATTTAATAGGTCTAATATTGTATCAAGAGTAATGAAACAAGTGGAAAAAACTTGGTGCAGAATATACAGTAGAACTTCGGTAAGTCGAAGTTGAAGGGACTTGCGTAAAAACTTCGACACATCGGGACTTCGACTCATGAATCGCTCTCAATTCCATGACAAAATTTCGACCCGTGACTAGTCTATAACCGAACCTATTTCATGTTTTTCCATCGTTAATCTGATATTCACATTTTACAATGATAAATATAGCATGTTAAATAACGTTTTTCACGGCTAATTATTTGAACTACCCGTTGACGTATGCAAAAGAGTTACAAAAGGCATAACAATACGAAAGGGCGATAACTTAACCAACTTATAGTATATATTTTGCGTGTTATTCTCACGCGACACCGGGTCAAGGATGTAATCAAATGAAAGTAGTTCTTACTGTTTACTTTCAAATACCACTACGGCAATTAAAATAGTAACGATTAAAGCATTTTATCACACATTTTATCGCAAACAAAGGCTGTTTGAACACACGGCTATGTAATTAACACCTGTCACACAAGTTGATTGGAAATTGTCTTCGCAACCAGAGAAGGTGTGAGATCGACGGTGTAAAAATAATCGAACAACTTCGACTTATTTGTGGTAAATTGCACTAGATTTACTTAACACGGACCACGAAAAAACTTCGACACATCGAAAAATTCGACACATAAAATCTCGACTCATAAATAGGTTTTTATAAGGAATATATAGGGGGAAAAGTCGGGACTTTAATTTTTCTTCGACACATCGAGAAAATCGACTAATCGAAGTTCGACTCATAGAAGTTCTACTGTATAACATTTTGACCCTAGTATTGCTAAATTTTTCTTAAGTATTTATCCAATACCAAAGTGATCAGATAAATTTTTGGAACAGTACATATCATCTGGAAAAAAATGCATAAAAATTATCTTAAAAATTATTCCAGTATTAGCAGTGGCATTTCGTCCCGATGGAGGAGAGCTTGCTGTATCTACGTTGAATGCCCAGATCACCTTCTGGGAGCCCCATCAGGCTAAACAGGTGGGGTCCATTGAGGGGAGACATGATGTAGGATACTCAAGAAAGGAACAAGAGAAGATAACTGCTAAAAAATCCGCATTTGGAAAGTAAGAGTTACACACCTATTGCTAAATCCACCATTAGAATTTATAAATGGCTTTTTGTTCATAAAATGTATGGTCTTGATTCATTTTTTTTTTTGTTATAGAGAACTGGTCTAAAATGAGAGGAGTTCAGTCATTGGTCGATTTCAATACTGTGCTCAGAAGCAAAATAAGAAGAGCTTAGCAATTGGTTGTTTAAAAAAAAAAACAGTACTGAGAATCAAATAATCATATTTTACATCCATATCAACACACTGGTTTACAACTAAATTAAATTCTTCTTAAGGATTATCTTATGGGTGCATATTGATTCATTACTACCTTATTTCAGGGCATTTAATACTATATGTTACTCTGCTGATGGGAAATGTATATTAGCTGCTGGTAGGTCAAAGAATGTGTGTATATACTCAGTAGAGGACCAGTTGATCATCAAGAAATTTGAAATCACCTGCAACATGTCGTTTGATGGAATGGAGGTAAAATTTTCGTCTTTTGGTAAAATATTTGCAAATATAGTGATGAAAAACAATAATTCTTTGTTGCAGCAAGTTTTTAAAGAAAGTAAACATTGGTTATGAAAATTGTTTAGAAGCTCATTTCCATCTTGGATTATCTAGTATTCTAAATTATGAACCCTTTACTGGCTCAATTTATTTTCAAGACTTTGTCTACTTTTGGAACTGTTTATTATTAATTTTTGTGGGTAGCAAGGTGAAAATTGAAAGTTAGTCAGCTAACAGTATAGAGCCTGGTCAGACTGCACAGAATGTATAGTCTAACATGGATTGATACTTGTGGCAAAAGCTTATCACTTTTGATTCCAGCAGGGAAAAACAGTAATTCTATCCTAACATTGTATGAGTTTTTGGCTTGTCCTTTTTGGTTCCTCAGGGAAAACATTAATTCTATCCTGATATTGTAGGAGTTTTTGGCTTGTCCCTTTTGGTTCCTTAGGGAAAACATTAATTCTATCCTAACATTGTAGGAGTTTTTGGACAAGAGAAAGATGACAGAGTTTGGTAGTCTCTCCCTGGTAGATTCTGAAGAGGGCAAAGATTTAAGTTTACCTGGTAATACTTTTTTATAAACAAAAAAAAAAAGGACAAAATACTGTAGTCAAATGATTATTTGCGACTTATTTATATTCTTTCTATTTGGCGGTGGCAATCAAGGTGGCAAGGAAATAAGCTGGCACAACCAAATTGGTGAAAAAGTTTTCTTATATCTGGATGTTGATGATGTGCAGCGGGTTTATTTTAATTTTATTTCGTTAAAAATTATTTTTAGCTCGACTATTCGATAAGAATAAGTAGAGCTATTGCAGTCACCCGAGCGTCGGCGTAACCACTTCTGTTAAAGTTTTTGTAATAGTTCAAATATTTTCAAAGTCCATAGACATATGGCTTTGAAACTTTGCACACTTGTTCACCATCATGACCCCAACCTGTAGACAGGAGGAGGTAACTCTATCAAGCATTTTGACAGAATTATGCCCCTTTTTCGACTTAGAATTTACGTTAAAGTTTTTGTAATAGTTCAAATATTTTCAAAGACCATTGACATATGGCTTTGAAACTTTGCACACTTGTTCACCATCATGACCCCAACCTGTAAACAGGAGGAGGTAACTCTATCAAGCATTTTTTTACTATCAAGCACTAAGAATAGTCGAGTGTTGCTGTCCTACCGACAGCTCTTGATAATTTAAAAATTTAAAAATACCAAATTAGCCATCATTTTAGGGATGAACATGTTAAGAAATGAAGCAAAACTGTCCATACATGTCAATAAAGAAAATGTTGACCTGAATTGTGATCACAATTCATTTACCTACAAGCTAACTGTTATCCCATTGTATGAACCTTTCATAGTTTCACTTTTTGAAGATCATTGCAGAAAAATGCCAAAAAATAATTGTCAATTTGACAACTACTCAATTGTGCATATACAAGAATAATTTGTTTTGGAAAATAGGTATATAAATGTTTAAGAATATGTTAAACATCAGCAAAATGCAAAAATGTTTATTCAAAAATATAAATTGGGTTACAGTACCACACTTTAGGGAAAAAGAAAAGTGGAACCTTAAGCATGTAATTTATGGAAAGGTTTGAGAACTTGTGTAATTCCATATTATTTGGTTGATTGATAGTTTACTGACAAAAGCAATACTGTCATATGTGTGGGACAGATCAGCACCATACAGGTGTAGAATGGAAAAGTATGTTAAATTTACTACTTAGTATTGCCTGGGCATAATTAAAGTTAATAATTATAGTAAAAAATATTTGCAATTTACTGCCAGGATAGTTGTTAAAGTACCGTCATGACCCTCTGGTGAAAGTTATTCATGTATTTTTAGCATGTATTTAGTATATTAGAATCATACATTTTGTGTATCATTATTTGTCACATGTATATGAAGTTTTATAAGTAACAATCTTCAATACTATATAATATTGATTGATATATTCACACAGGTGTGAAGAAAGGTGACATGTCGTCAAGACACTGGAAACCTGAAGTTCGAGTTTCTTCTGTCAGATTTTCTCCAACAGGTACGATAAGTTCTATTTTAGACCGTAATATAATGTGAATAATTAAGTGTTTTCATGATGGCCTTGTTATTGGACTGAAGACTGTCATATTAGCCTGAGGCCAAAGGCTTATTTGACAGCCTAAAGCCCAATAACAAGGCCATTATGAGAACACTTAATTATTGACAACTTTATTAATAACTACACATAATCTAAAAAACTTAACATACAATGTATATAGTGAACAAAAAAATAACTAATGTGAAATCCTGTTGTTGTGAGGTATTGCAAATGAGATTCTTGTTTTAAAAATGTCTTGGAAACCTACCTTGCAGCGACTTTTTTTCAATGTAAAAACAAATGAATTCATAATGGCAGAGCTGGAGAGCCAATCAAAATTCTCTGATCTCATAAAAGCTGAGTTTTCTCATAAAGGCCGTACTTTTTGCATAATGGCCTTGTTTTATGTTCATAATATCTTGGTGAACTTCATATTAGCCTTACATTTGAAGTGAAAACCTACTTGATATTGAAAAGTTAATTAATAATGTCATGTAACAGTTATCTGATGAGAATAGGGGGAGGGTAGCAGGTACCCCAGTAAATGAATTAGTTGGTATCAAATATTTTTCAGTACCAGATGAAATTTTTATGAGGTCAAAATTAGTTGAAATAAGTAAACCCTCTCTGTGTAGAAAACTGACTCAATTCAGTTATAAATGTAAGCTTGAATAGCAAGCATTATAGTAACACAGATGTATTGTTGGCCTTATATGTACATATATATTTGTGGCATTGAAAAATTGCAGAAAATTAAAAAATTAGACAAATATTTTTCAATGCAGACTTTCTTTTTAATTTTCTTTTAAAGGAAGGGCCTGGGCTGCTACTACAACAGAAGGACTTCTCATGTACTCATTAGACAGTAATCTTGTGTTTGATCCATTCGACCTTGACATTGATATTACTCCCTCCAATGTGAAGAAGACACTGGCAAAGGGAGAGCACTCTACTGCACTGATGCTGAGTTTTCGTTTAAATGAGCACAGTCTGATACAGGAAGTGCTGGAAAATATACCAGTCTCTGATGGTAAGATATGTTTTGGATTGTTTTTAGTTGGGCCCCATTAGCATTTTGCATCGCTAAATTAAGCAAGAATAGATAATGTATATTTTAAAGGATGTAAGATTTTGATTTCAGTGAACTTGAGATGAATGATATTATAGATGGATTAACTGTAATTCGTAATTTTTTTTGTCTTTATTAAAGATAGTAGTTTTACCCAAAAATGTGATTTCTAAACAAACATGTTTGATTAATTTAATAAATGATTTCAGTTGAAGTGATTGTGGATAATCTACCAGATGTTTATGTCGATAAGTTGATGTCGTTTGTGGCGGGTATGATAGAATCAACAGCACACATAGAATTCTACCTGATATGGGCGAGTAGGCTTCTCATGCAGCATGGACCGAGGTTAAAACAAAGGTCACAACAAGTCATGGCCACGCTGAGGTCAATGCAGAAAAATGTTACACGTAAATCTGAGGAGTTGGGGAAAATGTGAGTACTTCTATATGTTTGTGTATTATGTACATATTTTATTTGTTTTCTTGTTTATATCAAGTTAAGTATATTGTCTTTGTTATTGAGCAGTTGTTCAATGGCAATGAATTATGTTGTTGAAAGTGAAATACATGTACTTAAACACAAATGTACTTAAACACTCCATCCAACCAGCTGTTAACCATGTGTCTTTGTTGTTGGATTTGATGTGACTCAGTCACTCTAACACTGAAAAGGTCATAATTCTTCACTTTAGTGCAATAACTGATTAACTTGTATTTAAGTTTGAAGGACTTACTCTGTTACTGCACTAATGTGACAGTATAAGACACCTTTGTGCATTGTTTCAGACATAAGAGAGTACTTGAGCTTAGCCACCGGCATTCTCTATGGTAGCAGAGTAGCAGCCTGACTTGAAAATTATTTACAGTTTCTGTAGGGGGTTCAAATGATCATTGATAAGGGATAAGTGATTAAAAGTCAAATTGGTCATGGAGCCCCCTGTGTAAGCTCATGAAGTAAAGTTACCCACTTCTTATCTTTTTACCCTTCACCTTAGTAATTGCAAATCTAATAATAGACAAATACACTTATTTTATATGAAACAGGTCTCAAACTAGGTTTTAAATAGTTTATTTTTCTACCTTGAATGTCAGCCTTTTATAATTAATCCAACATTGAAAATGAAAATAAAGGTAAAAAATGTAATCAATTATCTATTAATTTTCAGATGTGATCACAATAAATATAGTATCCAGTATATAATTGCATTGTCCAAGGCCAAGAGAAAATTTGTGGAGGCATCAGATAGTGTTGAAGCAGGGAATGGAGGAGTGGAACCAGCCAGTGATGATGATGACGAAAACAGGGAACCAGGCACAGATGATAATATAATGGAGGGTGAATCTGAAAATGAACTCGAGTCAGATGATGAACTTGAAAATATAGTGAAAGAGAATAATGGTGAAATATTGACAGACTCTGATGAAGAATCTGGAAGTTCTAGTTCCTCAATGGATGCTACATGAGGAAAGTTCTTGTAACAATGGTAGTTTGAACATGGATGTTTCGATGTGTATTCTTCTATATTTCATGGATATATGAATATCACGATAATATGTTAAAGACTTAAAGAGACTGGTTAAGCTATATTTGAAGAAATTAAAGGATTTGTTATATGAATAGTGTTGTAACACAATCAAACTAAAATAAATTTTGTATAAACTAATATAATAAAGCATATGAATCTGAATGATAACTTTAATAAGAAACAAGCTTAGGAATGAAAGATAATCAAGTCCTTTGATTACAAGGTGCATCACTTTTGATAGAGGTTATATCACTAGGTGTAAAGTATCCAAATATCTGTAGATCCAAACTGGGATCAGAATGACTTGGAGTGTTATATTCAGGAAGTATAACAATATAAACATGTTTGAATAAATACAAATGAATGATGTTAAAATGTACATCGACTAGATTAATGAAAACTAAAAAAAAAGCAAGGTCTTATTATATTTTATAAGATATCCTTTTTGTGTTTGTGGTTAAAATTGCTGACTTTGAATCACTTGCCCCTCAATGCTTTAGTTTGAAACTTGTTGAAACTGGATCCATTGATTACAGAATTTTTTCATTTGAGGGAGCTATCCAGCTAGCTTGTATGTCAGTAGGTCAGTAATTCTACTCAGGTGCCTGCTACTGCCTGAAAAAAGTATTTAAGGACCACCTAAAGTCTTAAACCATCAGTAAAGCTGGAAGGTTGCTGTAAATGTGTGATGTAAAAACAAACAAATCAGTTCAGAATCTACGGCCGCTTGTTACATATTCTAGCCTGATTACTTCATATAACTTATATTGAATAATGTCTGTCAAATGCATGTTCAAAATGCATGAAGTTAATGAATTAGTGCCATCTACTGATTTACTTAAATAATTAAATTTTTATTGTATATACCCCAAAGAAAACTGTTGGCATGAAGGTCCTTTATTTATGACTCTTGCAGAAATTGCAAAATAAAATATAAAATCATAAAAATGTATAATATAAAATGGTATCAATTTAAGTAGATTTTACAAGGTTTCAATTTATCTTAAATATGGTATAAAATTACAGCCAATAATTTGTTTGATCGTACCTGCATTATAGGTATGATTGCCTTTGTTTTTATAGGATACACTTTTGATTTACTATTTATTTAATACAATTATTTTGAAGCTTAAAATGTTTTGTGTGGTATGTATTTTTTATCTCAAAAATCAAAATATGTACATGCGTTTTAGGTTTTTACATCACTAAAAGTAGAAGGTCTCCGAGAGTTTATGATTAAGTATGTAAGAACTACATGTATTATAAGTAAAAAAAAGTGACTCCTGTATGTATCTTTTGATATCTTTAGGCTGGTGTAATTAAAGAGAAATGGAAAACGTCATAAAAATATAAAAATAATTCCTCTCACCGCTAATCTTACTGCATTTAAATCTTTGAATCATTTTTTTGAAGACTGAAATAGTACAGAATATAATAATTAATGTGTGTGTTGAACGCTTTAAAACACTTGATGAAGTACTTCAAAAACATTTAAAATTCGTTTGGCAGACTTTCAGGATCGTTTATACACATTTGGGCCTTGTGAATCTTGCTTATAGCTAATTTTTGTTTACAATTATATGCAATGCAGTAAATGGCGTGGAATATGCGTCTGATAAGAGTGCACTTTCGTAACAATGGCGGGTGTTGCAAGTATACCCTCGGGATCATGGCAGTAAACCATTTTGAATTCACCAGAGCTCAGGTTTAGCACCACATCGTTAGATTACTAGTACCAGTTTCCTTAAATTTCACAAGGAACTAATTACTGTAGAAAGAATTTCATGATCAGTCACAACAAAAATGACCATCAACCGTGGCTATCTATTTGTGCTAACCGCGCGCGGTCTGTGACGTAAGAATGTTTGCCGTTGCACCTATCTACAAAATGATTCGCAATATATAACATGACATGTAAGTGTGGGATGGGAATGAACTTTTTATATGCTTGTAATACAAAATGTAATAGTGGCTAATTCCAGGTACATTTACGCAAGGCATGTGCGTTTGATGTTATTGATAAGTAAGTGGCAGCGTCAATTAATACAGTTAGTTAAATAACACCAATATACACTACAAATTTTCTACGAAACCTATTCAACATTTGTGTTATAAAATCTTCTAACGATTATATGCATTATATTTTGAGCAGCTTCCATGAAATTGTTAGACTATTATTGTTTATTTGCATGTGGGGTTGGTGTTTCCAACTTGATGTTTCCAAAATAACCTCTTGTTACAAAGACGGCGACCCTGGAAGCTACTCTCGACATATTTGTGACAAAACGAGATAATCGGACAAGGGAACAAAAATACAATGACATCCCAAAGTTCTTCACTTCAATGTGACTCTCAAGGAAGTTTGCTTTTTTAAAAATTATCAGAGATGATATAGACGACACTATACTTGGCCTAGGTTAATGTCATACTTTTCAGCATACCGTTTTTATACTATAATTGATAACACTGCTTAATGATATACTTGTTTTATTCTTTTATTTACATTTTATACAGTTTTCAAGATATAGATGGATGTAAAAACAATATGAATTTTATCTGAAGGCTTTATCATTTATAACATACATGTACAATGTATTTGTTTAACAAAGGCTTATTAGTATTATTTACATATCACAAAATTACCATATTCTCCATTCACTTAAAATTTGCTGATTTAATATGCCACCATTATTCACAGATGATGTTTTTGTTTACTTGCATGAACATGTTGGAACAGAAAGTGATAAGCCTTTGCCACACTTTAGATCCTACATATCCGTGTAGTCTTTCAAGGCACTTATATATCTTTGGTAGCACAACCACTTGGATGTAAAATAGCCTGTTCCAAGACAAAAGTAGGACAAATTCTTAACACAAATCTTCAACCAGTTGATGGTTAAATAGAGTAAAAGTTTGAAATATAAGCAATTCATTTGCACACTTAAACTAATCTTATGTAACACGAAACAAGAATAATTTTTTTTAACTTTATTATTTGTAAAATTAACTCCTTTGAAATGGGATGTAAAAATAAGCATTTCACAGCTTTCAAATATTGAATCACTCAATAAGTAGCAAACATATAATAGTAATGAAATGAGTTCTTTTCTGCACAGTCAATGAACAAGAAATTATTCAAACTGAGGTAATGATTTATTGAATGATTTCTGTGAATTTTTTTTTTCGTCTTTACGTGAAAAATACATACTTTCGCGAATTCATTTCTTACATTTACGAGTCGACTCACAATTGTGCTTGCTTGTAGATTTGGAGAAAATTGTCATCTTTGTCATTCATGGTGAAACAATAGTAGTACAGTTCTTTTCTTTCAGCACACCAACATACTACATAGGGACTTTTAATCTCTTTTACTATAACTGTCCCTGCTGAACAATCTTCCGCTATCTCTTCTATAACATTTTTCATATTGTCGCACACGAAGATTGTGCCATCATCTGATAGTGCTAATCCACTTGGAAAACCCATACCGCCATAGCTACCAATCACCTCACCCTTCCAACTTAATCTTGTAACTGATTTCGTTCCCCAGTCAGATACGAAGATAGAACTACTGCTTGTAGCGACATATAGTGGACTTCTAAAAATATTTATGATTTTTGTGAGGACCTTGCCATCCATGTCAAGGATCTGAAGTTTTGCAGGATTGTAGAATAACACAACAAGTTTACCTTGGTAACAACTTATACCGTGACAGTCTCCATCAACTGCAATAGCGTGATGCTTTGTAAGGGTGTTAGACAATGTTGAGATAAACTGAACTTTTTGTTGTTCAGGAAGTGTGACAGCAATTCTAGTACTTGTAACATTGGTCACATCTCGTGGACTGCTTTCTAGAGGTAACTGATCATTGACTAAAAGACGGTTGAAGTCAATCATTTTTAAAGTCCCATTCACCTGGTCAGTAACGATAATAATATCTGGAGCAAGTAGTGTAATCCCAGATATCTGGCACCCGTCTTCATCCCGTGAACTCTTTACACACACCTGTCCCTGATATGAAAATCGTCTTGGTTCCTTTTGAATATCTTGACCAAGACTTACTTTACTTGATATTTTCGGCAGTGATGTACATATACCTACTGACTTCTCGTTTTCAATACATTTAATTAATTCTTCATTTGGTTTGAAATCGTACTCGTTCACTACCCAAGATTGTAGTTGATGAATATTGTTTTCAGCTTCTGCTTTCATATCCTCTGCAAGTTTCATTTCCACGAATAATTTGTTGTCCTGACCTGACAAGCTAAGTTCCTGGATCGAGTTAGAGGATAAAGTGATAGATTTGAGTAAATCAGCATATGTCGCGTCCAATGTTTTCAGATAATTCTCATTCTCTTTTTGAATTATCTTGACGTCATCTTCAGCTTGTCTCTCCATCTCATCTAGCCTTTGATTGACATCTTCTCGAAATTTCTTGATGTTTGTCAATACTTCAGTCAGTGAATTGTTTGATCTTGCGGTCTTTTCCTTAAATTCTATGATCATCTTTTTATATTTTTCGATTATATCATCCAATTCTTTTAACCTATTGTAGTATTCTTTACTGTTGGCGAACTGTTTAGAAATGTCAGGAATGTAGTAGACTTTGCACGAATCAGTTGTGTGTTGAAGTGAAACGCAAATATTGCACAGCAACTGTTTATGGCTCTTGCAATAAAACTTGATAATTTCGTTAGAGTGTTTAAAACAGGGCGTGATCAAGTCATCGGACCGGCATGCTTTGGTTGATGTTAAGGGATGTTGCACTGGTGTAGACATACCTTTTGCATCTAAAAGGGTATGATGTCTACAAAGTTTATTTTTTCTGTGAAATGTGAAGCATTCCTTACAAAGATTTTCCTTGCAATCTGCGCAGTAGCCATAGGCCGGGAGCCTTAGTCCTTCTTTATCACAAGGCTGGCAAACAGATTCCAAGTCTTCATCTGATGCAACTGAAAGCGTTGACGACGGACATCGTTTTGATGTATGTCTCTCTTGGACAGCCATATCCTGTCTTTATACTATAAACAAACAAAAACTTAATTTTGAAATGACTTTCTATTTGTTTTCCTTAAACCACTAAAATGATGATTTACTGTTAGGGATTATACACTAGAATTTAGATGTCAATAACTGATAATATCTCTGTAAATACATATAGTTGACAGAAGCTTTGCTACACTCTCCCTGCAGATATGAATAATTATCAACGTGTTTTATGTTATTTGAAATTATTTTAAACATTATTTGTGTATGAATTTTTTTTCCGAATACGATTGCAGTATTTCAAATGAATCGTAACACATTTTCTTCAATTGTTAATCAGTCTAGTAAATGGACTGTTTATAAAAATATTTTTAAACATTAAACTGACCTGACCTGACCGCGCCTGACCAATTTAATTTTGTTAAATACGTACTTATAAACTTTAACCTATACTTAAACATTCGAGCTCGTTAATATGTAAAAATACCAATACTTACATTAATTTATTCAATGAATTGCAGAATAGATTTAATGAATTAATATTTCGTTTTCACCTCCTACCATGTCATAATTTTCTCTATGTTTACTAGTATTTACTGTGTATCGTATTTTTATACGAGTGCGGAATAAGATAAAGAAGAAGAAAAAAAAGTAAAAACCTAATTTATTTCATACAATTTCCGTGTTTAATTGTTTTCATTCTGTATTCCACGAAAAAGAGATTACGCTTAAGAAGGGAAGATAAAGCAATTCTTAGTTACTTATAAAGCCGGTGCAAATGTTAAGGATGTGCTTGAATCAATATATTTCGAGAGGCAAAACAATAAGTTAACATATACATGTACGTATACTGATGATTGAAAAATACCACATCACATGTCAGGAAAACTTGTCATTGGCTACTCACTGAGTGTCTTCTAGGAAGCATAACAATATTCTGTGTTTATGGGACGAATATATTAGTTACCCTAGTTATGCAATTTTTTGATAAAGATATACTATATTCATCTTTGAGTAAAATATTTTTATTGCAGAAATTTATTAAAATCTATAAAATTCTTTCTGAATATGTCTTACTTGAAATGAAAGAACGTTCAAGTTATGTATGGGAATCTGCTTTCCTTATTCGCGTCCTTTAATTCTTTAAAAAGGTTTTCTTTGTGTATCCATTTTCTGACGATTTATTACGACAATCTTGGAGTAGATGATGGCCAGTAAGTTTCCACCAACAGTCTATAAACTACTTCATGAAAAATTAATTTTATCTGTTTCAATATACCTCACTAAGTTACCACAACTTGTTCAATTTATTTCTAAATAATATGACGGGACTCATGACAATACTTTCAGGTAGGCTAGTTCTATTTATCGGAAAACTATTTAAAGCAGCACGCCTCCAGATTCATGCTAATTTTCATGAAAATATTGAAAATGTATTTGAATGTGTAATATTGTGAAGTCACTAAAAGGAAGCAATTTACACATAACCAGTGGCATTTACGAACCACAAAAATTACCAAAAAGTGGTCAAAAAATGCCTTAGATTTACTGCGTTAGTAACCTTTACTACGTTAGTAACGCAGTAGAAATATAGTTGTAAATACTGAAAAATCACTTATTTATCGCACACAATATGTAAAAAAAATACCTGAATCTTGAAACTTTTTACTTTTCCTTACATCTTAGTACATTTTTCAATCAAGTTTGATTTTATTGAAATATTTTGAATCATCTGGAGGCATGTAGCTTTAAACACAGGTTCTTATTGCAATTGACTTTATTTATCTGATAGGATGTGTCTTCTTGAGATGTTATAATTAAAAGTAAAACAAAAATGCCAATATCTATTTCTTCGTTACTATGAACAAATTAGAGTGGCTTTATCAAATAAAAACGTTTCCTACGGTAATATAGTTGTGGAAGATTTAGATATTTGAGTCTTTCTTGATAAAGAAATTGTTGTACATAGTAAAGGCTTTACCATGAACAGGCTCAATCAAACCGAACCTGCAACATTTTCAATTTTGTCGTGTTGGGCTTTCTTTAGGGATTCTGTATTTCTCTATTTTACTACTTCAACAGTTAGTAAGGTGTATTTAAGTGCGGTTCTTTTTTTTTTAGAAAACTGTTGCATGTTATTTTAATCGTTAAACATCGGTTCTTGGACAAGAAGCCTCGTACGGAGAAACACCACGCAGCAACGCAATTCGCTATTATTATAAGGTAGTACATGTATAAGTATTTAGAGCATTTCTTTTTGTGACATCTTTTTCTATTACTTTTTCTATTGACATGAGTCATATGAATTGAAAACAATAAATAATGAGTAAGGGGCAAATATTAAAGTGACAAAAGACTTAACCAATGTATGCGTCGACACTTGAACTTTGTTAAGATAATACTTTAGAAGAAAAATATTGCAATAATTAGTTCACGGTCATACTTCCTTAAATCAAGCCAATGTGTACTTGAACAAACTTATTGAAAAGTGCTTATCAAAGTATTTAAAAAAAACCCAACAATATAGTGATAACAATATTGACCACATCATTTTCAAGGAGATTTATCATTGTCTACTCAACGGACATCTTTTTGGACACGTAATGATTTTGTTAGTTTATGCGTAGTATATTTTCAACGTCTCTTTCAAGATGGATTTTTCTGGAAATTGAACCATTAAACCACAGGCCTACTTAGCCTCACTGTTACACTACTTCTTCACATAATTAAATGTCGTGCTGTAGGAATATTGATATAATACATCATGCAGTCAAATTCACTTACACTGCAACACTATTGGTATTGTTGGGAGAAAAAATCACGGGTCTGTTCCTGGAACATGACCATCTGTCACAGCTAGCTAGAGCGGGCAGCGCTGTGAATAGTCTGTTTACACAATGTAGATAAATTCCAGGGATCGATCCTACGCTAAAACAGGCAAAATTACTAGGAAACAAAATGGACAATACATGTACTCCAAATATTAGTGTCTCGTGAAATGGTATTTTAGCCCTTGCTCGTAAAAGAACACATTGTTTCTACTGGGAGGGTACTATTTCTGTATCTTGGAAAGAAAATTACAAAGAGTCTCCTGGAATGAGTCACCATATGGGTGGCTGAACACGCATCATCTGGTTATAGTCAATGACCAGTACATTTCTTTTATCAAAGATAATCATGCTTATTTGTAATAGATATATTTTCAATGATAAATAATTGCTCTAATATAATCATATATTAGGTATTAATTATTCACAATACTCATACTTATTTCTTAATTAAGTCTTAATTTCTTATTTAGTCATGTATCTGAATGTAAAATCAGACAATTTATTTAATATGCTGACTTTTATAGTTCTAATGTAGTTTTAATTGTACCTTAAGTTTAATATCAAATCAACATTTATGTGATAGTGTATTATATTACTAACTGGTTGATTACCTTTATTGTACGTAAATTTTCATCTTGATATACCCGAAATTAATAGTTGACAGTTCTAAAAATGGAAGCTTGAAAATTAACATTTTTAAAATACGAAGGTTTTTAAAGCACAAACATAGCCAATTTCTACGAGAAAACAAAACAATATAGGTAGCAAATTCAATTTGGGAACAGACCAGTGTGTTCAATTTGGTTTCCATGACAGATATTAATAATGAATGGAATCGCTGCCTTAGTTGCATTTTGTGTTAAAGTATTTCAAGAAAGTCATCTTTGAAAAAAAAGTACAACGACTCTAAGAAAAGTGAACATATTCACAATTTAAGTAATAATGGACATGCTATATATAATTAATGACAGATTTCGCAGTATTTAAATTGGCACCAAATTTCTACTGCGTGACTAGCACAGTAAATACTATTTTGGTAATTTACGTAGATTTTAAATGTGGTTTGCAATGTGTAACTTACTTTGTATGGTCGCAGGACAATATTTTCTTTTTCAAAACAAATTTCAAATTTTTCAGGAAAATCTGCAGAAGGTAAGATCCGTTTCCAGCAGTTCGTTTAATGAAATAAAATCTGAACTGTGTCAAGTTTTTAAAAATGTTGAATTTAACATTCACTGAAATTGTTCATGATTCAAAATGTTTTACCAACAATTTCTTACATGTTTCTCAAAATAACAACTATGTCATATTCTCCTCTTTCTTTGGCTTTATATCAAGCGGAACGTGAGTTTATATAGCTTGTTTAGTAAAACATTTTAAATCGCAAGTTAAAAGAAGTAACTACCTTTTCAGTATAGCGCAAGATGCCAAGCACTTTTATACCGGACATCGGTGTAATGTATCGAGTAAAAGATATTTTGGGAAACCTCTCCAAAACAAGTCATTCCCCGTTTTCACAAGAAAAGTACGAGTTGAAATATATTATGCTCCAAAGTAAAATACAGTGGTTAGAAAAAGCAGGTGCAAGCATGAAGAATATGCTTACAAGACATGGTACATCAATTTCGTTTATCCACCGCGAAATAGTGAAAAATGGTCCAATGATCGTATACAACAGTGCTAATAGAATGCCATGTTCGTGGCCATACGTAGCATAGTAGAAACATACTAAAGTAGTCCATTAAAAAATGACCTTATTGAATAGAAAGTAATGAGCTATAAGAGATGAAAGAAACATACTTGATCCGCGTCACGACAAACCCAACATAGTGCGTTTGCGACCAGCATGGATTCAGACCAGCCTGCGCGTCCGCGCAGTCTGATCAGGATCCATGCTGTTCGCTATCAGTTTCTCTACTTGTAATAGAGTTGGTAAGCGAACAGCATGGATCCTGATCAGACTGCGCGGATGGGCAGGCTGGTCTGGATTCATGCTGGTCGCACACCCATTATGTTGGTTTTGTCATGACGCGGCTCATTTTATGTCTTTGCCTAAAGCCAATGACGGAGAAAGAATCATTTAAATACACATCTTGCATATCCTTTTCCTTACTGTAACCCACAAATGAAAACGTATAATACTTTCGTTATGTCAATTGATAACTGGCATGTTGAAGCTTTATAGCGGACAAATATAACATTGAGACTTTCAAAACTTCAAACTTCATATCATTTAATCGTTCCCCCACCAAAATATTTACATGAAGGAGTATATACAATTTTAACAGTATCACATCGAAGTTGTGTTAGACTGCAAGATTCTGCAAGCTTTTCAAGATACATACTTGTGGGGCATGCAAGAAGTTCCTCAAAAATAAAAAAGAAAGAAAACTTAAAAAAAAACAATATCTTATGCAGCAAAAGTAGTAGTTGGTGTACATATTTTAGATATGATATCTTTAAATATTTTCAAATATCAAGATAAAACTGACGGAAGGTCGGTGTTTCAACTTAAGTGCCCGTTCGTGCCTGAAGTAAGGCACGGAGGGGCACTCTAGGTCTTCTTCGAGCAGTAAAGCTGGAAAGTCGTTATGACCATGACTGTGTTGATGCTACTTAAAACTCAGCACAATTCTCTCTCTCAAAAATTGGCATATATCCATTATGCATATAACCCGTTTCATAAACAAATATTGTGGTTACCCATTCAATAACGATTTTTTATCTGACTTAAGTTAAAAGGTGTATGTATATGCAAACATTCTAAACATTCTAGTCGAGTTTAAGATTAAGAACAAATATCAGACGTGGCATGATCATTTTATGATTTATGTACTCAAAATCATATAACTAAATTAGGATTTAATTTTATTCAAGGTATTTTCGTTGTGTGTTTAAGATTTTATTTTCATTCTTGATTCAATTTAACTTCTTAATTTTTGACATTTATCAGGAAAAAAATATCAAAAAAGTGTAATTAATAGTTATAATTAACATTACATTTTGAAGACAATAAATTCATTTAAAGGTGATGTCTGAGGGATTATCGGTATATTGTGAAAATTTTCACTTTGAAACAGATGTGTATCATTTGAAAAATGTTTGACATAGAAAGTGAAGTCTTTGTCATTGTAAACATTAATGATTTGAAGCGGAATAAGAGCAGGTTGGCATAAATCGCTAGATGCTTTAAATCATTTGGTCATTAATTCAGCTGGGGGAGTGGTTACATTCTTACATGTCAAGAAGCTATCTAGCTCAGATCGTTGGTTGAATTCAAAAGCATTCTTTTTCTGCAGGAGAATTATCAAGGTTACTTTTCTACAAGCAAGTAGGCACAGAATTAACAGTGACAATTTCAAAAACCCTGTGAAAGACTATGTTTAAAAAGATTCGTGTACAAACAATACAAAAATATCAGAAAATAGTGTCAACTTTATAACATTTTTGTATTCATGAACTTCCATGTAAAGTGTCATATGCCTTTCCAGATTGAAATAATTTTATAGCCAAATACACGGTAGTAATTTTACTTCGTCAAAACTTACATAAGTGTCTTTAATAAATTTCAGATAAATATGGCAGTTCCACGAAAGGAAACTTCTAAATTGCTGTTATCTTCAACACAATCCACCACCTCTGATGGGAAATCATCAGACAGATATTCAATATCAACAACTGCTATAACATCAGATGAATATTATGAAGTCTACTGCCAACCTTGTGACGAGGACGGAGCCAGGCTTCCAGCCAAAGGTTACTGCTCAGATTGCAAGGAACATCTATGCAGGGATTGTTTCATATTCCACAGAAAAAATAAACTTTCTAAACATCATACTCTTCTTGATGCGAAGTCTATGCCTACATCATTGCAACAACCCACAACAGCAACCAACACAGCCACGTCTGATGACTTGACCACACCTTGTCCCGAACATTCAAAAGAGATGATCAAGTTTTATTGCAAAGATCATAAAAAATTGCTATGCAGTGTGTGTGTCACTCTTAAACACACAACTGCGTCGTGCAAAGTCAACTATATACCTGACATTTCCACACAGTATGTCAATAGTAAAGAATACCACACTAAACTGAAAGAAATGGCTAGCTTTTCTGAAAAATATAAAAAGATTATTGAAGATTTAAAGAAATTGACAGCAAAATCAAACAGTTCACTGACAGAAGTATTAAGAGACATTAGGAAGTTTCGAGAAGAAATCAACCAAACACTTGATGAAATGGAAAGACGAGCTGAGGATGAAGCTAAGCTGATTCAGCAAAGCAATGAGAACTTTCTGAAGACAATGGAAACAACACATTCTGATTTAATGAACTCTCTCTCCTTATCCTCTAACACGATCAAAGAACTCAACACTTCAGACCAAGCCAATAAATTATTTGTGGCATTGAAACTTGCAGAAAAAACGATAGAAGAAAGTAAAAGAAACATTCGTCATGTACAATCAACTGTTGTGGATGAGTACGATTTCAAACCAAATGAAGCAGTGTTGGAAGGGATTGAAAAAGAGAAGTCATTAGGTAAACTAGTGCCAAAAAGATGTCCTACTCAACCAATTGAAATGAAACCAAGAAAATCTTCACATCAGGGACAGGTGAATGTTAAGATTTCACAGGATAAGGACGGGTGCCAGATATCTGGGATGGTGCTCCTTAATCCAGATACCATTATCATTACTGACCAGGTAAACAGTACTGTAAAAATGATTGATACCAGCCGTTATTTGGTCACTGATTGCTTGCTACTAGATAGCAGACCACGAGACGTTACTTCAATTATCAGTACTAATGTTGCTGTCACAATTCCTTCCGAACAAAAAGTTCAGTTCATATCTACCAATATTGCTAACAAACTTACGAAGAAACGGGCAATAAGCGTTGATGGAGACTGCCATGGTATAAGCTGTTATAGAGATAAACTTATTGTATCTTTCTTCAATCCTGCAAAACTACAGATCCTTGATATGGATGGCAATATCCTTACGAATATTAAAGAGACAAACTTTTTGAGAAGTCCATTACATGTCGCAACAAACAATAGTTCAATCTTCGTATCTGACTGGGGAATGAAATCAGTTACAATATTAAGTTGGAAGGGCGAAGTGATTGGTAGCTATGGCGGTATGGGTTTTCCAAGTGGATTAGCACTATCAGATGTTGGTACACTTTTCGTGTGCGATAATGAGAAAAATGTTATAGAAGAGATAGCGGAAGATTGTTCAATAGGAAACGTTGTATTAAAAGATATTGTATCTCCCTATGTAGTATGTTGGTGTGCTGAGAGAAAGATGCTTTACTACTGTTGCTTCACAATGAATGACAAGGATGACAATTTTCTCCATATTTGTAAGATGTAAAAAAGATCTGGAAAAAAATGTGTTCCCTCGGAAGCAACTCAGGCAAATGAGACGTACTGACTGTTCATTTAAATGATAAAAACTGTGGCGGCGTCTTTACTTCTAAAATGTAATAATTGGTGTATGTGTACCAGCTGTGTGCTTGATAAACTGACTGGGCTACTCAATGAGCAGAACTATTAGCTGATCATGTTCACTATTTCGAAGGGATTAAGTATCGTTTCTGAATACGGGCCATATGTGTATTTGGCAATACAAATGAATTTAAGTGACCATGCTCATTTTGACAAGTGTCATTTGATCTAATGTAGCGTATAATCTTCATAAGAGTTTATATTATAATGGTGATTGACTACTATCTGATAATGCAAACGTTTAATGTAAACTATATAAATGTGGACAAATAAAAATCAAAGCACAGAAGGCGCTGAATTTGTTTGGGTCTCAGAATGTCAGAAAGGTGAAGGTTGTGAGATTATAAACCAATTTGTTTAGTGCCAGCAATGCTGTTTCTAGACTTATAATTGTAGTAAATTGGCTATAAGGCTAACACTGATTATTCAATTCAATGTTTATTTGGCTTAAACAATTTTTTTAAAAAAAGAAGAAAAAAGGTTGTCTTATCTGGGATTTGAACCCCAGACCTCTCGCTTTCTTATCGAGCGTGTAACCCCTGGACCACCGGGAAATTACAAGAATCAACCTGAAGCAAACAATATAAGGATATAAGGATATCGTTACTGAAAATTGATAGAAGTTTCCAAAGAACTTAAATTTAGTGTTTTAATCTATTCCGATCTATATTTTGTTAAATGCAAATAAATGATATGTAAATAAAAGAAAATAAAAAAGAATATATAACAAATTGTTTGGAATATCTCGGATACATTTCAACATGCAAGTTTCTCAAAATACAATGTATTATGATTGCTGATTATTTCAAAAAAAATAAAATAACTTAAAAATTCCAGTCATACATTTTTGTCCCTTGTCAAGTTTTAAAAAACAGCTCTAAGACGTGGTTGGGCCACGATTAAAGCAGTCTTTCAAGTGACTCAAACTGTCAACGCGAAATGCAAAATAGGTTAGTTTATCATTATCATACTTAGAAGCTGGACAATACAACTCATATAACGGTTAGGTCTGTTTTAATCATCAAGGAATTAAGAAGTGATGACAAGTAACAATCTGACCAGTAACAAGAGCTGTCAGTAGGACAGCATGCTCGACTATTCTTAGTGCTTGATATTAAAAAAAATGCCTGATACAGTTACCTCCTCCTGTTTACAGGTTGGGGTCATGATGGTGAACAAGTGTGCAAAGTTTCAAAGCCATGTGTCAATAGACTTTGAAAATATTTGAACTATTACAAAAACTTTAACGTAAATTCTAAGTCGAAAAAGGGGCATAATTCTGTCAAAATGCTTGATAGAGTTACCTCCTCCTGTTTACAGGTTGGGGTCATGATGTTGAACAAGTGTGCAAAGTTTCAAAGCCATATGTCAATGGACTTTGAAAATATTTGAACTATTACAAAAACTTTAACGTAAATTCTAAGTCGAAAAAGGGGCATAATTCTGTCAAAATGCTTAATAGAGTTACCTCCTGCTGTTTACAGGTTAGGGTCATGATGTTGGACAAGTGTGCAAAGTTTCAAAGCCATATGTCTATGGACTTTGAAAATATTTGAACTATTACAAAAACTTTAACGTAAATTCTAAGTCGAAAAAGGGGCATAATTCTGTCAAAATGCTTGATAGAGTTACCTCCTCCTGTCTACAGGTTGGGGTCATGATGTTGAACAAGTGTGCAAAGTTTCAAAGCCATATGTCTATGGACTTTGAAAATATTTGAACTATTACAAAAACTTTAACGTAAATTCTAAGTCGAAAAAGGGGCATAATTCTGTCAAAATGCTTGATAGAGTTACCTCCTCCTGTCTACAGGTTGGGGTCATGATGTTGAACAAGTGTGCAAAGTTTCAAAGCCATATGTCTATGGACTTTGAAAATATTTGAACTATTACAAAAACTTTAACGTAAATTCTAAGTCGAAAAAGGGGCATAATTCTGTCAACATGCTTGATACAGTTACCTCCTCCTGTCTACAGGTTGGGGTCATGATGGTGAACAAGTGTGCAAAGTTTCAAAGCCATATGTCAATGGACTTTGAAAATATTTGAACTATTACAAAAACTTGAACGTAAATTCTAAGTCGAAAAAGGGGCATAATTCTGTCAAAATACTTGATAGAGTTACCTCCTCCTGTCTACAGGTTGGGGTCATGATGGTGAACAAGTGTGCAAAGTTTCAAAGCCATATGTCAATGGACTTTGAAAATATTTGAACTATTACAAAAACTTTAACGTAAATTCTAAGTCGAAAAAGGGGCATAATTCTGTCAAAATGCTTGATAGAGTTACCTCCTCCTGTTTACAGGTTGGGGTCATGATGGTGAACAAGTGTGCAAAGTTTCAAAGCCATATGTCAATGGACTTTGAAAATATTTGAACTATTACAAAAACTTTAACGTAAATTCTAAGTCGAAAAAGGGGCATAATTCTGTCAAAATACTTGATAGAGTTACCTCCTCCTGTCTACAGGTTGGGGTCATGATGGTGAACAAGTGTGCAAAGTTTCAAAGCCATATGTCAATGGACTTTGAAAATATTTGAACTATTACAAAAACTTTAACATAAGTGGTTACGCCGACGCCGACGCCGACGCCGACGCTCGGGTGACTGCAATAGCTCTACTTATTCTTATCGAATAGTCGAGCTAAAAACGAAGATTTATTTTCTAAATAATAAGATTATCTGATAAAAAGAATCGGTATATAAGAATCAATATCGGATAAAAATTGAGAAGTTGTCATCATAAAATTAAATATTTAGAACATTTATTAAAGACGTTTTCTGCAGTTTTCATATAGACATATGGGCAACATTTAAAACTGTTCAATAGAATTTCTTTAAACTTGGCATGCTAACAGAAACATTTTAAAGGGAAAAAATTGGGGTCACCTTTCCTCATTTTCGAGTTATCTGCCCTTGAATTGGACTTTTTCGTTAAATTCAAGGGCAGATAATTTACAAAGAAGCGAAACAATACATGTTTTTGCTTCTTCTTTTCATGAAGCTTACCTTCATTTTAGTCAATATGCAAAATTTTAAGAACAAGTTAAGAGTGGATAGTTTTTTATCCAACTTCTTCTCTTAACCTGAGCATTTTTTCTTAAAAAATTGGCCTATTTTTTATTAATTTAAGGTACCTTTATTTTTCATTGAAAAAAAACAACAACAAAAAACAAAAAAACAGAAACGATAGTCGGAATCGCATGTAATTATGCATTGTATTCAACAATAAAAGGAAGAACATTTTCCAGAAGTAAAAACAAGAATTCATTTACGTATAAGTTATCTGCCCTTTAAATGACCTCAAAGACGTAGAAAATTCTGATTCAGGGGCAGATAACTCAACAAGAGCTGTCGGTAGGACAGCAACGCTCGACTATTCTTAGTGCTTGATAGTAAAAAAAATGCTTGATACAGTTACCTCCTCCTGTTTACAGGTTGGGGTCATGATGGTGAACAAGTGTGCAAAGTTTCAAAGCCATATGTCTATGGACTTTGAAAATATTTGAACTATTACAAAAACTTTAACGTAAATTCTAAGTCGAAAAAGGGGCATAATTCTGTCAAAATGCTTGATAGAGTTACCTCCTCCTGTCTACAGGTTGGGGTCATGATGTTGAACAAGTGTGCAAAGTTTCAAAGCCATATGTCTATGGACTTTGAAAATATTTGAACTATTACAAAAACTTTAACGTAAATTCTAAGTCGAAAAAGGGGCATAATTCTGTCAACATGCTTGATACAGTTACCTCCTCCTGTCTACAGGTTGGGGTCATGATGGTGAACAAGTGTGCAAAGTTTCAAAGCCATATGTCAATGGACTTTGAAAATATTTGAACTATTACAAAAACTTGAACGTAAATTCTAAGTCGAAAAAGGGGCATAATTCTGTCAAAATACTTGATAGAGTTACCTCCTCCTGTCTACAGGTTGGGGTCATGATGGTGAACAAGTGTGCAAAGTTTCAAAGCCATATGTCAATGGACTTTGAAAATATTTGAACTATTACAAAAACTTTAACGTAAATTCTAAGTCGAAAAAGGGGCATAATTCTGTCAAAATGCTTGATAGAGTTACCTCCTCCTGTTTACAGGTTGGGGTCATGATGGTGAACAAGTGTGCAAAGTTTCAAAGCCATATGTCAATGGACTTTGAAAATATTTGAACTATTACAAAAACTTTAACGTAAATTCTAAGTCGAAAAAGGGGCATAATTCTGTCAAAATACTTGATAGAGTTACCTCCTCCTGTCTACAGGTTGGGGTCATGATGGTGAACAAGTGTGCAAAGTTTCAAAGCCATATGTCAATGGACTTTGAAAATATTTGAACTATTACAAAACTTTAACATAAGTGGTTACGCCGACGCCGACGCCGACGCCGACGCTCGGGTGACTGCAATAGCTCTACTTATTTTTATCGAATAGTCGAGCTAAAAACGAAGATTTATTTTTCTAAATAATAAGATAATCTGATAAAAAAATCGGTATATAAGAATCAATATCAGATAAAAATTGAGAAGTTGTCATCATAAAATTAAATATTTAGAACATTTATTAAAGACGTTTTCCGCAGTTTTCATATAGACATATATGCAACATTTAAAACAGTTCAATAGAATTTCTTTAAACTTGGCATGCTATTAGAACATGATAACAGAAACATTTTAAAGGGAAAAACATTTGGGGTCACCATTCTCATTTTTTTTCGAGTTATCTGCCCTTGAATTGGACTTTTTCGTTAAATTCGAGGGCAGATAATTTAAAACGAAGCGAAAAAATACATTTTTTTCTTCTTATTTTCATGAAGCTTACATTCGTCATAGTCAATATGCAAAATTTCAAGAACAAATTAAGAAGTGGATAGTTTTTTATCCAACTTCTTCTCTTAACCTGAGCATTTTTTTCTTAAAAAATTGGCCTATTTTTTATTAATTTAAGGTACCTTTATTTTTCATTGAAAAAAAACAACAACAAAAAACAAAAAACAGAAACGATAGTCGGAATCGCATGTAATTATGCATTGTATTCAACAATAAAAGGAAGAACATTTTCCAGAAGTAAAAACAAGAATTCATTTACGTATAAGTTATCTGCCCTTTAAATGACCTCAAAGACGTAGAAAATTCTGATTCAGGGGCAGATAACTCAACAAGAGCTGTCGGTAGGACAGCAACGCTCGACTATTCTTAGTGCTTGATAGTAAAAAAATGCTTGATACAGATACCTCCTCCTGTTTACAGGTTGGGGTCATGATGGTGAACAAGTGTGCAAAGTTTCAAAGCCATATGTCTATGGACTTTGAAAATATTTGAACTATTACAAAAACTTTAACGTAAATTCTAAGTCGAAAAAGGGGCATAATTCTGTCAAAATGCTTGATAGAGTTACCTCCTCCTGTCTACAGGTTGGGGTCATGATGTTGAACAAGTGTGCAAAGTTTCAAAGCCATATGTCTATGGACTTTGAAAATATTTGAACTATTACAAAAACTTTAACGTAAATTCTAAGTCGAAAAAGGGGCATAATTCTGTCAAAATGCTTGATACAGTTACCTTCTCCTGTCTACAGGTTGGGGTCATGATGGTGAACAAGTGTGCAAAGTTTCAAAGCCATATGTCAATGGACTTTGAAAATATTTGAACTATTACAAAAACTTGAACGTAAATTCTAAGTCGAAAAAGGGGCATAATTCTGTCAAAATACTTGATAGAGTTACCTCCTCCTGTCTACAGGTTGGGGTCATGATGGTGAACAAGTGTGCAAAGTTTCAAAGCCATATGTCAATGGACTTTGAAAATATTTGAACTATTACAAAAACTTTAACGTAAATTCTAAGTCGAAAAAGGGGCATAATTCTGTCAAAATGCTTGATAGAGTTACCTCCTCCTGTTTACAGGTTGGGGTCATGATGGTGAACAAGTGTGCAAAGTTTCAAAGCCATATGTCAATGGACTTTGAAAATATTTGAACTATTACAAAAACTTTAACGTAAATTCTAAGTCGAAAAAGGGGCATAATTCTGTCAAAATACTTGATAGAGTTACCTCCTCCTGTCTACAGGTTGGGGTCATGATGGTGAACAAGTGTGCAAAGTTTCAAAGCCATATGTCAATGGACTTTGAAAATATTTGAACTATTACAAAAACTTTAACATAAGTGGTTACGCCGACGCCGACGCCGACGCCGACGCTCGGGTGACTGCAATAGCTCTACTTATTTTTATCGAATAGTCGAGCTAAAAACGAAGATTTATTTTCTAAATAATAAGATTATCTGATAAAAAGAATCGGTATATAAGAATCAATATCGGATAAAAATTGAGAAGTTGTCATCATAAAATTAAATATTTAGAACATTTATTAAAGACGTTTTCTGCAGTTTTCATATAGACATATGGGCAACATTTAAAACTGTTCAATAGAATTTCTTTAAACTTGGCATGCTAACAGAAACATTTTAAAGGGAAAAAATTGGGGTCACCTTTCCTCATTTTCGAGTTATCTGCCCTTGAATTGGACTTTTTCGTTAAATTCAAGGGCAGATAATTTACAAAGAAGCGAAACAATACATGTTTTTGCTTCTTCTTTCATGAAGCTTACCTTCATTTTAGTCAATATGCAAAATTTTAAGAACAAGTTAAGAGTGGATAGTTTTTTATCCAACTTCTTCTCTTAACCTGAGCATTTTTTCTTAAAAAAATTGGCCTATTTTTTATTAATTTAAGGTACCTTTATTTTTCATTGAAAAAAAACAACAACAAAAAACAAAAAAACAGAAACGATAGTCGGAATCGCATGTAATTATGCATTGTATTCAACAATAAAAGGAAGAACATTTTCCAGAAGTAAAAACAAGAATTCATTTACGTATAAGTTATCTGCCCTTTAAATGACCTCAAAGACGTAGAAAATTCTGATTCAGGGGCAGATAACTCAACAAGAGCTGTCGGTAGGACAGCAACGCTCGACTATTCTTAGTGCTTGATAGTAAAAAAAATGCTTGATACAGTTACCTCCTCCTGTTTACAGGTTGGGGTCATGATGGTGAACAAGTGTGCAAAGTTTCAAAGCCATATGTCTATGGACTTTGAAAATATTTGAACTATTACAAAAACTTTAACGTAAATTCTAAGTCGAAAAAGGGGCATAATTCTGTCAAAATGCTTGATAGAGTTACCTCCTCCTGTCTACAGGTTGGGGTCATGATGGTGAACAAGTGTGCAAAGTTTCAAAGTCATATGTCTATGGACTTTGAAAATATTTGAACTATTACAAAAACTTTAACGTAAATTCTAAGTCGCAAAAGGGGCATAATTCTGTCAAAATGCTTGATAGAGTTACCTCCTCCTGTCTACAGGTTGGGGTCATGATGGTGAACAAGTGTGCAAAGTTTCAAAGCCATATGTCAATCGACTTTGAAAATATTTGAACTATTACAAAAACTTTAACGTAAATTCTAAGTCGAAAAAGGGGCATAATTCTGTCAAAATGCTTGATAGAGTTACCTCCTCCTGTCTACAGGTTGGGGTCATGATGGTGAACAAGTGTGCAAAGTTTCAAAGCCATATGTCAATGGACTTTGAAAATATTTGAACTATTACAAAAACTTTAACGTAAATTCTAAGTCGAAAAAGGGGCATAATTCTGTCAAAATGCTTGATAGTTACCTTCTCCTGTCTACAGGTTGGGGTCATGATGGTGAACAAGTGTGCAAAGTTTCAAAGCCATATGTCAATGGACTTTGAAAATATTTGAACTATTACAAAAACTTTAACATAAGTGGTTACGCCGACGCCGACGCGGACGCCGACGCTCGGGTGACTGCAATAGCTCTACTTATTCTTATCGAATAGTGGAGCTAAAAACGAGAACGGTGACGCCAATTGTTTTTCGCTTAAAATGTTTCTGTTGTCATTTTCTAACAACATGCCAAGTTTAAAGAAATTCTAAAATAACCCTATTTTAAACAAAGAAAAATACGTGCACATGGTATGACTAGATATAAGCCTACATATGTTATACATTTACGTGTATAAATAATTATATATAAAGTGAGAATTTATAAAGTATATAGAAGATAAAATACAAAAAAAAAACACACAAAAAAAACAATTAACATAAAAATTACATAATGACGAAAGACTTATTCATCTCAACAAAACAAGTAATGTATGTTGTACAGATAAAAATTGATAATATCAGTGAAACACTGGCATGTATTAAGATAAGTTATCTTATTTTATCAGAAGATGGCCGATTTACATTTTATAATATATTACCCATTTCATATACATATAGCATGGTGACGTGCAAACCTGAACATTTTAATTATTTGTTATTTTGACAGAAGTAAGAATTGTAGTTGGTAAGTAATTTTTATTCATACTTTTATAGAACGCAATGCGTATTTTTATTAATGGCACTAATAACATATTTGTAATAATAGTGAAATCAATCTGCTTTTCAATTGTCTGTAGTTTTTCTTTAATGGCAAACAACGGACTATATAAAGTTGAAAATTGAGAATTCTATATCTAATTTATGTGTCGATGACTTAACAATGGCTACACCATAATGCCTTTGAATTGACACTAGTTTTCTGCATTGGTCGTTAATATGTAAAAAAGTTACAAAATAAAATCTCCATATTTTACTAGACTTTTCATTAATTGCTTCGTAGGTATGGAATCAGAATCTTTATGTAGCGTTGGTTCAGAGGAGGATATCGTTTTGTATTGTCTCCCCTGTGAACGAGATGATATAAGTGTACCCGCCTTCGGATACTGTACCGATTGTAACGAGCATCTGTGTCAAACATGCTTTACATTCCACAAGCGACACAGCCTTTCAAGGAGCCACTCGCTGCTTGACAAAAATAAAATGCCGCTGACCCCACATGTGTTGACAACAAAAGGTCCGTCACAAGTAACAACAGATCACATCCAGACCTGTACTCGCCATAAGAAGGAAATCATTAAGTTTTACTGTCAATTTCACAATGCACTACTATGCAATGTCTGTGTTACTCTTGAACACCAAATTACTACCTGCAAAGTCAACTATATACCCGACATTTCCGGCGAGATCGTGAACAGCAACGAATGTCTGGATATGTTGACCACCATCGACAGTATGATCAATCAATGTAAAACAATGTATGAGGTCGTGCAGAAAACTACGGCGTTGTCAAATAGTTCTTTGAGAGAAGTATTATCTGAAATCGCTAAATTTAGAAAGGAAATTGATCAGAAATTAGATGAACTGGAAACAAGTGCGAAAGAGAAAACAAAATCTATTCACCGTGCTAATAAGAGAAAGCAACACGAAATTGAAAAGCAATGTGCTGACATAACTAAAACTTTAGAGGAAAAAAGAAGTTGTATCAAGCATCTTAATACATCGGATCAATCTGACAAACTTTTTATTGAATTAAAAGAGGCAGAGAAAATAGTTGAACGCAGCCGTAGCGCGTTCCAGTTGTTAACTGTATCCGATATCGAAGAATACAAGTTTTTACCAAATGGAGAAATAAGAAACATGCTTGGACAGGAGAAATCAATAGGTATAGTGGTACAGAAATCAATTAATCCAAATATTCAATCTACAGCCGTCGATCTAAAGTCACAGAAAATGTTATACAAAGGGGAAATATGTGTGAAGACACCACAAAACAAGCACGGTTGTTGTATCACAGGTATAGCTCTCATTAACCCTGTTTATCTTGTAATAAGTGACCACGACAACAAGTCTATTAAGATGGTTGAAACGCTTAGCCAATCAATCGTGGACGAACTATCACTTGATGCTAACCCGTGGGATGTAACCATAGTTTCCAGCAGCAAAATTGCTATAACCATTCCTAATACCCAAACTATTCAGTTTGCAAAAATCTGCTCCGGCAAATTGAAAAAGATTAATTCCATCATGGTGAATGGACATTGCCAAGGTTTGAGTTTTTTCCAAGGTAAACTTGTGGTCACTTTTAGCGAGCCTGCCAAACTTCAGATTCTTGAAACAAATGGCGATATACAAACAACTGTTTCAGGACAAAATATTTTCTGTTACCCTGAATATGTAGCAACGGATATGAATAGCATATACATATCAGACTGGAAGCTGAAACAGGTAACAAGGCTAAATTGGCAGGGCAATGTAACTGGTGTATTTTGTGATCTAGCTGAGCCTGGAGGAATAGCGTTGACAGAAGAAGGGACTGTGTTTGTTGGTGACAACAGCAAGCATAGTATAGAGGAAATATCAGGACAGTGTGCAAAGATACAAGCCGTTTTGAAGAATCCAAAGTGCGCGCGAGCTCTCTGTTGGTGCAAAGAAAAAAATGTTCTATATTTCAGTAGTGAAGTTGCCCAAGTAAATAATTATCTGCAAATCTATGTGCGATCTTAAAATAGGGTCCGATGAAATATCTACCGATTTCATTAAAGTTTATTAATAACATGAACAGGACAGTGAAGTTTAATTGGTATCCCTGCTTTTATCATATAGCTTTCGGACAAAGTGCATTTATCTGTGAACCTTTGAATATCTAACATTTGAGAAAATAGGAACTGTTGCAATATCTTTTATAATGTAATAATATAATAAAGAATCGTTTGCTATTCTTTTTTCTTCATTTATTATAAAGAAATGTTTTTGTTTTCTTTTGATTTAAAAACATTTTCTTAGGGCGATCCGCGTTCATGAAGAAAAAAAACTATACATGTAAATCTCTTTATAATTTTATGTTTCAGGTCTTCTGATGCGCTATTTCATTTCCTTGAATTTGATGTACAATAAAAATATTGGTTCATTCACATTCCGTTATGCTCGTTTCAGCCACAGATTTGAACAGTTTTGCGTTACTTTGCACGATTCCTGCATTATTTGCACATTCCTGCGTTACTGGATATACACGGTGATATGAGGAAAACTGTGACCTCTGGGACACTAAAAATGCTATTTAGACCCTTTAAGTGGGTCATGAGAAATAAAATGTAGAGGGCCACAAGTTGATACTACATACCCAAATGTCAATGCTTTGGGCAATGTAGTGTCAGAGATTATTTAGATATGTTTACTATAGGAGTCTATGTTCCTCCAAGGGACTGGGTTATGCCATTTTTGACACTATGTACATATTTATACAGTTTTTGTAGAACCTTGAAAAGTAATTATACCTGCAAAAATATCAAAGCTCAGGGAATTGTAGTTTTCCACAATATGTGTGTTCCCCTAACTAAGTGACACCTAGGGTGGGGACAATTTTAACAGGACATGATTTATATAGCTTTGTAGATGACCTCAAGGTGACAAGACGTATTTTTTTTTGTATTTTTAAAACAACATTGTGAAATTTAACATCAGTGACAAGATAACTGTCACTTTTGTAGATGTCCACAAAGTGATGCTTTACAACACATAAATATGCTCTTGGCATTGTAGTTTTTGAAGAGAAGATCTTTAGATTATTTAATTTTCAAGTCTAATTTTAACCCTTGTGACCTAATTATGAATCAGACTGGAATCATTTATAATTTTTTTCAGAGGGCCAAATAAGGATCTTTCCTTTGAGGTTTGGTTGAAAGCTATCCACTATACTATAGACAGCAGACAAAGTGACATTACAAAAGCTCACCTTTGAGCACTTTGTGCTCATGCTCAGATGAACTTTAATTGTATCAAAACTTGTTAAGACTTATTTTATAATTTTCATACATTCTTACTATTTCTGTTATCTCTGAATGTTATAAACTTCAACATTTCAACTGATTGTCAGTCATATGACCACTGATAGCACATTCACTTCCTTGTTATATCTTGTTTGTCCATCATAATCAGTAGATAACCTATTAACCATTAGTAGATATCTATCATAATTTTGTCAATCTGATATTCATCTTACTTTTGTCTATCTGACAACTTTTTAATGACAAGTTTTTAACAAATTGCATTGACAAATGTCTCAGTAAAGATTGAGACATATTAGGCGACTTGACACAGTGAGGAAATAGACAATATTTTTTTCTTCAAAATAATACAATTTTATTGCAATTTTAGCACATAACATGTGACATATTACCTAGGAAACTCTTCCTGTGCATTTTTTGAGACATACAACAGTTAAAATAGCTGATTATTTTCATTCTATATACATATCTGTCCAATCTGTCACACAATGTTAACATCCCTAATAGCTTTTTTTTCTGTAATAAAAGTTCACAAACAACTTTGCTTAAGAAATCAACACATACATTTACTTTTGATACACAAAAATATCTTAAAAATATCAGTCAGTCATTTAGGTTCTGAACAGTATAAAAAATGAAAAAACACGAAATTGAAAAGCAATGTGCTGACATAACTAAATCTCTAGAAGAAAGAAGAAGCTGTATTAAGCATCTTAATACGTCGGATCAATCTGACAAACTTTTTATTGAATTAAAAGAGGCAGAGAAAATAGTTGAACGCAGCCGTAGCGCATTCCAGTTGTTAACTGTCTCCGATATCGAAGAATACAAGTTTTTACCAAATGGAGAAATAAGAAATCTGTTTGGACAGGAGAAATCAATAGGTAAAGTGATACAGAAATCAATTAATCCAAATATTCAATATCCAAAGTCACAGAAAATGTTATACAAAGGGGAAATATGTGTGAAGACACCACAAAACAAGCACGGTTGTTGTATCACAGGTATAGCTCTCATTAACCCTGTTTATCTTGTGATAAGTGACCACGACAACAAGTCAATTAAGATGGTTGAAACACTTAGCCAATCAATCGTGGACGAACTACCACTTGATGCTAACCCGTGGGATGTAACAATAGTTTCCAGTAGCAAAATTGCTGTAACAATTCCTAATACCCAAACTATTCAGTTTGCAAAAATCTGCTCCGGCAAATTGAAAAAGATTAATTCCATCATGGTAAATGGACATTGCCAAGGTTTGAGTTTTTTCCAAGGTAAACTTGTGGTCACCTTTAGCGAGCCTGCCAAACTTCAGATTCTTGAAACAAATGGCGATATACAAACAACTGTTTCAGGACAAAATATTTTCTGTTACCCTGAATATGTAGCAACGGATATGAATAGCATATACATATCAGACTGGAAGCTGAAACAGGTAACGAGGCTAAATTGGCAGGGCAATGTAACTGGTGTTCTTTGTGACCTAGCTGAGCCTGGAGGAATAGCGTTGACAGAAGAAGGGACTGTGTTTGTTGGTGACAATAGCAAACATAGTATAGAGGAAATATCAGGACAGTGTGCAAAGATACAAGCCGTTTTGAGGGACCCAAAGTGCGCGCGAGCTCTCTGTTGGTGCAAAGAAAAAAATGTTCTATATTTCAGTAGTGAAGTTGCCCAAGTAAATAATTATCTGCAAATCTATGTGCGATCTTAAAAGAGGGTCCGATGAAATATCTACCGATTTCATTAAAGTTTATTAATAAAATGAACAGGACAGTGAAATTTAATTGGTATCCCTGCTTTTATCACAAAATGCCTCTAAATATCTAACATTTGAGAAATAAGGAACTGTTGCAATATCTTTTAAAATGTAACAATATAATAAAGAATCGTTTGCTATTCTTTTTTCTTCATTTATTATAAAGAAATGTTTTTGTTTTCTTTTGGTTTAAAAACATTTTCTTAGGTAGATCCGCGTTCATGAAGAAAAACTATACATGTAAATCTCTTTATAATTTTATGGTTTAGATCTTCTGTCTCAGCAACCATATGCGTTAATTCATTTCTTTGAATTTGATTTACAATAAAAATATTGGTTCATTCACATTCCGTGGTGCTCGTTTCAGCCACAGATTTGAACATTTTTGCGTTACTTTGCACGATTCCTGTGTTATTTGCACATTCCTGCGTTACTGGAATACGGTGATATGAAAAAACTGACCTCTGGGACAATAAAAATGCTATTTAGACCCTTTAAGTGGGTCATGAGAAATAAAATGTAGAGGGCCACAAGTTGATCCTACATGCCCAAATGTTAATGCTTTGGGCGATGTAGTGACTCAGAGATTATTTAGGTGTTTACTATAGGAGTCTATGTTCCTCCAAGGGACTGGGTTAGGCCATTTTTGAAACTATGTACATATTTATACAGTTTTTGTAGAACCTTGGACAGTTATTATACCTGCAAAAATAACAAAGCTCAGGGAATTGTAGTGTTCCACAATATGTATGTTCCCCTAAATTAGCGACACCTAGGATGGGGACAATTTTAACAGGACATGATTTATATAGCTTTGTAGATGATCTCAAGGTGACAGAGGTTTTTTTTTTAAAATTTAAATCGACATTGTGCAATTTAGCATCAGTGACAAGATAACTTTAACTTTTGTAGAGGTCCACAAGGTGATGTTTTACAACACATAAATATGCTCTTGGCAGTGTAGTTATAGAAGTGGAGATCTTTAAATTATTTAAATTTCAAGTCTAATTTTAACCCTTGTGACATAATTATGAATCAGACTGGAACCTTTAATAAAAGTTTGTAGAGGGCCAAATAAGAATCTTTCCTTTAAAGTTTGGTTGAAATTCATCCAACAAACTATTGAAAGGAGGCACAGTGTGCCATTACAAAAGTTCACCTTTTGTGCTCATGCTCAGATGAACTTAAATCGTATCAAAACTTGTAAACACTTATTTTATAATATTCATACATTCTTACTATTTCTGTTATCTCTGAATGTTATAAACTTCAACATTTCAACTGATTGTCAGTCATATGACCACTGATAGCACATTCACTTCCTTGTTATATCTTGTTTGTCCATCATAATCAGTAGATAATCTATTTACCATTAGTAGATATCTATCATAATTTTGTCAATCTGATATTCATCAAGGTTTTGTCTGACAACTTTTTAATGACAAGTTTTTAACAAATTGCATAGACAAATGTCTCAGTAAAGATTGAAACATATTAGGCAACTTGACACAGTGAGGAAATAGACAATCTCTTTTTTCTTCAAAATAATACAATTTTATTGCAATTTTTGCACATAATATGTGACATATTACCTAGGAAACTCTTCCTGTGCATTTTTTTGAGACATACAACAGTTAAAATAGCTGATTATTTTCATTCTATATACATATCTATTCAATCTGTCAAATAATCTTAACATCCCTAATAGCTTTTTTTCTGTAATAAAAGTTCACAAACAACTTTGCTTAACAAATCAACACATACATTTACTTTTGATACACAAAAATATCTTAAAAATATCAGTCAGTCATTTAGGTTCTGAACAGTATAAAAAATGCTAAATTTACATATTTAGCTCAACACAACATTAACACTTAGCATTCTGAATTTACCCTCACAACCAACAAAGACCAAGATATCAGCTAATCTTAAAAAAAGGGTTGAATACTTTTTTGACTATGTATATCCTGAATGGCAAGATAAAATTCAAACTATTTTAAGTATTCAGTCATCAAACATAATCCATCCATTTCAGCACATTCAGTTCAACACAACCATGCTGCAACACAAGGTTGACAAAACAATGTCACTTTGATTCCCTATCTCCTTTTAATCCTTAATTCAGTCAGAAAAGGCTAAAACATGAACATGTGACAAAGAGAAATAGGAAAATTTATCTGTAGCATCAGTGACCTTGAACCAATTGATCTGGAACCCCTGCCTATAAAAGAGCAGTCAATAAATAATGCTATGTGAATTTTAAGAATTGAAAATTAAGGGAGAGAAGAATGAAGGGCAGACTACTTGTATATGCCACATCAAAAAAAAAAAAAAAAAAAAAACATTCGAGAAGCATTAAAAAATATTAAGTGATCAATAGTGATAAATACATGTGTGCATATCAATTGGCAAAAGTATAGATATCAAAAATCATAACTAAGTAAATAACTGTGATAAATGAAACAGCACATGATTGTTTCATTCTAAAATACTGACATAATTTCACATAGATACATGTATATAGAACAATTTATTCTAAAAAGCACTTATGCTGCTATACAATCCTTGCACTGACTGGCATATATGCACATTTACTTCTGGTCTAAAAGAGACAGAAACAGGAAACAATTCTTTGTAACATGTCAAAATAGATCACTGTCACTTACAAAGAGATGTGGCACAGAAGGAAATCTTATATCTCATAATACAACTTTCTACATACTATTCTCCTAAAATCTGGGATAAGAGATAAAGTTACAATAGTTGCTAAAAGTTATTTAAACAATTCATTCCGGCAACCTGATGCCAGTTATTGCCACTTTTAATAACTATCCTTGAAACTTGACCATTCACAGGCTTCTATAATGATCTGTATAATCATAAACATAAGGATGATTCTAATCCTATTCATCGTATAACTGATATAACTGTTTATATCTCACTTTAGCATAAATAATTATTGTATCAGCAAGCCGGGAAAGTCCTGCAACAGAATAAGAATAATATTAAGTATTACTATATTATTTATCATTTGTGTATATTTTCAAAACAAAGTCAAAATCTTTATCATAATACAAGTACAATCTGTATAAAAATCCCCCCCCCCATTCTCTTAACAGATAAACACTCAGATCATTTTATAGCAAATTCCAAATAAAGTATTGGTGTTTGACCATCAGAATCCCATAATTTTTAATTTTAAATACGAGGCCATAAGTTATTTGGTAGAACCATTAACTTATGGACAACATATCACAACAGCTGATCTATAATCATTGTAATAGAAAAATTAATCATACAGGAAGACAAGTAGGGCATTTCTTCATAACTTTAAACATATCTATTTATTTTAGCTTGATTGTGAAACAAGTTTTTGCAACTTATATTAATCACTTTTGAGTCCGCTTCCTGGAACTAACCAGTGCTGGTGTCATTATGAGAAATCATGGTTGTGACCCGAGCAGGGCTTAAACCCATGATCCCTGGGTTGTGAGGCAGATACCTTAACTACTAGGCCATGGCTCCTCTATATTTGTCTTTCATTGCTTTACATCACAATAACGTAATATAAAGAGAAATATATAATTTCTACATATAACTATTACTTACGGTTGAAAATGAGCTGTGGGCATGGCCATTTTGTTTCTGACAAGAAATGTAGCTAATACTTCCGCGACCTGTATAAAACATCATAGCTTAAAAGAACATACTAATATCATTTCTTGAAAAGGGCTGATCCATTGTGAGTAATTAAAAGAAAAGCAAAGAGATGAAAATTACAGAATCAGTTTGATTCTATTAAACAAAACTAATAAGAGGATTTGATTGTTAAAGGAACTCCGCTGAGGTCTAATAGCCTAAAAGTCGGATGTGTCGCCTTTTGAACAATATAGTTTAGGAGAAATGGCCAGGACAAGAAAATTAACAAAGGTAATGACTCAAAAATAAGAAATGTAGAGTATGGGTTCTTGTACACTGCACTTCTTCTTATTGAGATCTATTATCCTATAAAGTTTCAAGTCCATAGCTTTTATACTTTCAGAGAAATGGCCCGCACAAAAATAAAGTATGAAAATAAACAAAGGGCAATTACTCAAAAAATAAGAAATGCAGAGTACCAGTTCTTGTGCACTGCACTTCTTCTTAATGAGATCTATCATCCTATGAAGTTTCAAGTCCATGGCTTTTATACATTAGGAGAAATGGCCCGGACAAAACTGGTTCTTGTGCACTGCACTTTGGGTTATTAAAAGAAGCTTGCATACCAAGTTTGAAGTCAATCAGACTTATAGTGACTGAGTTATGCTCCGGACAAGCTTTAGGGGACGCAGACACCGACAAAAGTAACCCCTATATGATGCCTTTTGAAGGCGACTAATAAATTCTTACAAACATCAACTGGTGCACTAAAAATAGAAAACTATGCAATAGACAATATGTAAATATGCGGTTTTGCAACGCTTTTCATTTCGGGGTCATATATACACAATCAAATTGATTATTTCCAGTAAGTGGAATGAGCAAATGATCTGAAGTTTTGCACAAAAGTTATTAGTCTAGACCTACATTCAGATATACAAAAATATTGAAAAATTATTTCCAGTCCCTTCATGTCAAAAAACCTCAGTTGAGTCCCTTTAATGACAGAAAATGGAGAAACGCATTATGTCTCACCGATATCAACACAGACTGATAGAAATTATTTAACCACCAATACTATTGGAATCAATTGATTCTGACAAATAAGAAATAAGAACACCAGGATAACATAATATCCTTTTACAGGTGCCAACCAGCTCTAGATTATCCCACTGTGAGTGTTTAAATAGAGGGGAGAGGAAATACCTAAGATGTCTTTATAAGAAAATTATTAATAGAAAACTGGTATCCAAAAAATAATATGATAAAACTTATTCTTCTAGGTATTATTTTAAATTTTAGCCCAGAAACTGCCAGAACCAAAAGTGATTAGCTTTTACCACTGGTCTGACCAAGCTCGATTATGGAAAGTTCCAATAAGGAAGATGATTATGTCCATTTAAGAAATTCAGTAGGTTAAAGGTGAACTTTTTGTTAATGCTGAAATGATTTACCTGTTCAGGGACATCTTCATGCACAGCATGACCACTTTTAGGTAAAACCTGCATTTGAAATTTACCTGTAACACAAAAACAGTGTTATAAACTAAAAACGAAATTTATTAAAAAGTTAAAATTTACACCACTATTCTAAAAGTATGTTTAATGATTACAGATCAGTTACTTTGCTTCAGCATTTTCATCTTTTCTAATGATGTGAACGTTTCTTGAAAATCTGTCAAAATTTTATTTTCTTAGGGTTTAAATCCTTCCAATATTATAATGGTCTTATGGTAACTAAGGTTTATTTAATTTTTATTTCAAGGCGCCAGCACAGTATTTTATGCAAAAGCTGAAACATGTGTAGTAAATGAATGCCTAATATTTGCTTATTTAATACTCAAATTTTAAGAAAAACGTGATTTATCATTTAGAAAACATTAATAGCCTTTCTAAATATGAATCTTTTCAAAGAAAAAACAAATTCGTGGAAAGAAATACCTAAACATCTGAAAATTTTTCTTATTTTTATCCCCAACTTTTAAGTTAGGGACATTTTCTGACAGAGAATAAAAGTGTAAAATGTACCTTGCATTTGACCTATAGTTAAATCTTTATCAAGTCTGTCCACACCTGTAATAAACATGAAACTGACATTAATATTGTTTCATCAGATATAACCCCTACCTTACTATAATCCGAAATGATTAGCTTTTGCCAGCTAATTCCGTGCAGTCTGACCAGGCTCTATATTGTTGGCAGCTCAATTTTTATATTTTGATATTGAAATTCCTCAAGACTTCAAATGGACTGTTACAAATGCCTTATGACTTCAAATGGATTGTTCCAAATGCCTTAAGTCTTCAAATAGACTGTTCCAAATGCCTTAAGACTTCAAATGGACTGTTTCAAATGCCTAAGACTTCAAATGGACTGTTTCAAATGCCTTAAACTTCAAATGTACTGTTTCAAATGCAAAGAAAGGCAAAGCCATTTTAAAATTTCAGCATGTTAAAGGTTGACACTATAATCATTCACTGTTTAATAAAGACCTTCATAGCACTAAATTTTAGTATTTTGATACTTAAATCCCTTAGACTACAAAATGGATTGTTCTAAGTTCAAAGTATGGCCAGTCCATTACAGGAATTCAGCAGGGAAAGGGTTAATCAACAAATTTCCTGGAATCATAAAATGAATGGTTTAACCCTTTATCTGCTGATTTTGTGTAATGGATTTGCCTTGCTTTGAATTTGGAACAGTCCATTTGAAGTTTAAGGTATTTCAATATCAAAATTGAGAAACAAACAGTATGGAGCATGGTCAGACTGCATGAATGTGCAGGCTGGCAAAGGCTAAAACACTTTTACGGTTCCAGCAGTATAAGGGTTGCTTCATTATTGCCTTGAGCTTAAAGAATCTCAATTATGCTTTCCTTTGAACGCTTATTTCTTTCAGTCAAATTTCAAGTCAAATTCAGCACACATTTTATGCTTAAAATAATGTTTGTAGCAATCAACACTTCAAAACTTAACTCATTCTCTTTTAAATCTAAGCATGGTAAACAAGTGGTGATAAACACCAATATACCAAATAATAATTGCCTTAATACTATATGATATACTTTACATAGTGTCTGTGTTAAAATATATCTCAAGTTGTGTTGACAATAAATAAATCATATTTTTCATAAATGATAGCATTCATAATGAAGAACCTTTTACACATCAAACTAAAAAAAAAAAAAAAAATCTGTACATATATAAATGCAAATATACCTGCTAATAAAAGTAATTTTGGGACTTCAACAGACAAAAACTTATTTGATAACCCTTCAAACCAGCCTCTCCAATACGGTTCTGTTCTACCAAGGTCTATCCTCCATGTGTACTGTATTTCTGGGGTCTGAAAAAAAATATTACAAATCTGTTTTCCCTCATTGCTTTATAAGACTAACAATCAAAAGTGAGGTTATGTTTTCAGGTATGCTGAGGGTTTTATGGAAACTTTCAAGCTTAAAACCGTTGAACTGGAACCAAAAGTGATATGCCTTTCCATCAATATAAAGCCTGCTTCTATACAAACGGTAGTTCAAGTTTTGTATTTTGATATTAAAAGCCTGTTAAGTCAGAAAAGACTTTTCCAAATTCAAAGCACATAAAATCCTGAACACAAGTTTTTTAGTTTAAAGGTTAATGGCAGATAAAGGCATTTTTTCAAGTATGTGTTAGCACTAGTGTTAAACATGCACTGTAGAGCATTTCTTTCTTCTCAGGCTGGTGGTTTGAATTACATACATCAGAATGTAAATGGAAAGTAATTACACTTTAACATGTATATCACTGACCAAACATGTTACTTGTCTGCTGCTTCATAGGAATCAATTAAAGATAGCAAATTATCACAATTAAATACTTTCAACCAATCCGAATAAGGTATTAATTAAAATCAAAATTTTTAGAGAGAAGTCTCCACCTTGATGTGAAGTGCAAGTGATTAAACTCACCCTCTGTCCTATAATATCTTAAAGTTGAAAATACAAGAACAAATATGACCATAAAATAATCTTTAAAAAAAAAACCCACTCTGCCTCAGTTTTAGCTAGAAGATTTATTTCAATCAATTCTTTTTAGACCATGAATGGTTCTTTCTAGGTAAAGTATCTGACTGCTGTACAAGGAAATTATGTAGAAATATAAAAAGTCCATAACATTTCTAGATTGATACTCACTTCAGGTTTTTTAAATTCGTTGTCACTTTTCTGCTGTGTTGAACATTGATTGGCTGTTGATGAACTTTGACCCGTAGATTCTCCGCCTTCTTCCTCCTCTTCAGCTATAGTTTCACTTGCATTATGTATGATATGGTCTTCATGTTGATGCTCTAGCTCTGACGAGGCCGTCTCATTTGTATCTACTCTAAATAGAACACATGAAAAATATATTTTACATAGGTTACTGCTCCCCATTGTTCCATTGTTTTTTTTGACAAAGCTTAAAACATGATTTTTCTTTAAGGAACAAAAGAAAAACTATTTTTTTATGTCCTTGGAACTTAACCCATCATATGAAACCCCAACCAAGGGTAGAGGTCAAAGGTACCAATACATCTTACACCTGTTACTATTAATTATAAATATACAGAGGTAAATAAATGACAACTTACCTTTTGACTTGACCCACCATGGATACTCTTGCAGAATCTACATTTCTTACTTGACCACTTCTTACACTGAAAAATCAAGCAATGAATAGGCGAGATTAAATGCTGCTTAAAGAATAATATGAAACTTTATCCATACAAAACTTACACTCTATATTGCATGCAAATAATAAAGTGTTAAATAGATCTGCTTAAATTTAGTTTAGTTCAATTCAGAAACTTGTGACTTTACTAGATCAACCATATGATGCCCTGTCTGAAGATCTATTCATTTTGTTAAACTGGATGGAATTTCATGACCAAGTCAAGTATAAACAGGCAATTATGGTATATAAATCAATTTACAATATTTGCCCAGAGTACTAAACATTTTACATTCAACCATACAATTAATTCCTGGTGATGCAAAACAACAAAAGTTTCAACTATTCAGGGTCAAAAATCTGAAATAAATACCAATCAGCATACATTCTGCATAATCACTTCAAAACAAAGTTAATGAAGATGGAAGTCAACAAACACCAATTACAATTCAAAAAGTAAAGTTTGTTTCAAACATTTCATCACTTACCACCATTCTATAGCCTGTTCCAAAGATTTGAAAACTTTTGGTCTCCCTCTGAGGAAATTCTGCATGCTAGACAGAGCTTCCAAAGCTGTGCCCTCCACCACATCTATAACAACCAGGCCAGCAAGTGATGGGATCAAACCTCTTACCCCTGTATGCACTGCTATAGCACCTCCCATACTGTTATAACAAAACAGATCCAAATATTTGACAAATATTGACATGAACTTATAATACACTTGTACAAGTTTAACATAACTAATGGTGCTGGATACTATTTTGAAGCTATCTAACTTAGCATGTTACTTTTTACAAAATAATAAGAAATTACTTCTTTAAATAGTGAAAAAATATGGTACAATGTGATGCCATTTTTTTTTACAGAAAAATGAAGCCATCTTCTACAGAATAGTTGTAATGTATAGATAACTGGTACTTTTCATGCAAGAGATATCATTTTATATCCAACATTCTGAATCTTTTATTTGCTGTGTTTCATTTACACAAAGGATGCATCGGTCTTTCGGTTACTTTTCAGCTTAACACGTGTAGGAAGACCCTAAGTGCCCCTCAGTGCATTACTTCATGCATGAAATCTTAAATAAAGATCATTAATTTCCAACACAAACAATTTCTTTATACACCTTCATGTTAATCTATATATCATTGGCTGATATATAGACAAACTTGCCTGCTATTTATAGTAAGTATTGCCTAATATATATACAATGTTGACAGATATATAAACAGTATTGCCAGATAGACAATTTGGTCTGATATATATACAGTACTGCCTGATATATAAACAGTAAAGAGTGATATGCCCTATACCTTGTGACACTGACCTACCTATGTCCAATAAGTATAACAGGTGGTGCATTTTCTCCGTACAACTCTTTTACAATGTCACCAACATCACTGAAAATGAATCAAAATCAAATAATCACTAAAATAGAACCAAAATATAATCATCAAGTGACACAAAATTGTCACAAACCAGATTTTCTGCTGGCATTATTACACGAAAAAGCCCCCACAAATGGCAAAAAAATTATCACCTCACACAATTCTAACAGTATGTACCAGCACACTTGATGACAATCATTTTAGTAAAAGTTTAGTTGGAATTCCTCAGGAAAAGTATGAGTTGTGCACTATGGATATTGTTTATCATGCGCTGACAAATCTCCCTGATAAATTAGTTTTCTGACACTTCCTCCTTAGACAAAAGTTTCCAATAATTACTTTTCTCATAAAATCATTCAAACAATTAAATTTGTGTTCTAACAAATATTGCAAATAATTGTTTTTAAGATACAAAAACAAAAACGTATGTAGATCAAAGGTATCATGGATTGACAGAGTAATGATGTGTTTGTGGATTTTTTTTTACATCATTTAAAGAGAGAATTTTTTTTTTTTTTTTTTTTGATTTCATCTTTTTAAAAAAAAATCTTTATTAAACGCCCCCCTTTTGAAAAATGTCATGCCCGAAGGGGGAGTTAAATTGGGATTTTACGGTACTTAAAATTTCAGAAAAATGTATACATGTATAATCAACTTACCTTGACAACACGTCAGCTGACAATGTAGTTTCATCTGTGGTCACACTATCACCTATAAATTACAAGATATCCCATGAATTATTAATTCTCATATACTCTCGGAGAATGTCTTGAAATGTTAAGTACAAAAAATAGAGATAAAGTGAGCCCCTTCTTTTACAATTCCTTTCAAAATATGTAACTATGATACTTAGAATTTTACAAATTGTAAAAATTTCTTATGCATGTAATATTAACTTATTCCAATCTAATTGTAAATGGTAAGAGCAAAAGTAAAAGTCAAAATAACTTTTATTTTGTCATAACAGTTCAATAATTTATTTTCTTTCGCTATACAAAATAATATATAATCCACATCATCATATTGTCACCTTTATACTAATCAGTCTCTTGAAATATATTACTAATTTATTCAACTCAACTTTACAGGGGATAAATTAGCAAAATGTTACTTTAAGAACCATATTATAACCAGATGTTCTCAGAGATTCCATGTCCACATTTAATTTTTTATAACTAGAATGAACAGAATGGAAGCTACATACAACTGTTTCAGACATTATCTTTTCTCAAAGATCCTGAAACACAATTTTTTTTATGGTTTTATATCATAAATATGATGCTCAAAATAAGATTTATCAATTTTGTAAGTTCCAAAAAGCATTATAAAGATATTACCGAATTTAACATTTCATGTAAATAAAGGGAGGTAATAAAAAATTTATTTTCTATAAAGTCTAAGTCAAATATTTCAATAAGAAATGAATGCATATATTTTAATGATTACATATAATATGTACAAATATTTTCAGTACATATTTTACATATTCTTCGATGTTTGAAAATTATTTTATAAGCATAATTATATACATATATATGATTTCACTTAAGTGTGGTATACAACCTCACTTACAACATACAGGATCTTTAAATACGCGAATGAAGAAAATAAAAATCCTCTACTCTTGATCTCAGTATCAAAACTAGGGTAACACACCTACAATGTTTCATACATTGTAATACGTTATACAAAAATTTATTTGAAGTTGAATGCAAATAACAACATACATAAGCTGTGAATAGCTGTTGACCAAAACCTTCTAGTTTCTCTACTCCAGCTAAGAGGAGAAGTTGTGACACACACCATTTACTTACCATGACCTCTCAAATCAACTGCGGTACATCTACAAGCAATTAGCTTTGACAATGAGCCCTGAAACATTTATTTCAATATTTTTTAAATAGTTTTTTTTATTATGTTTTTTTTCTCTGAAAAAATTTCAACATTAGTACAATGATTTAAAGTGACATGTAAAATTAGTAATGTGTGGGTAAATTATCAAAATTATCTTCTTCAATATGATTTCAAAGAAAAGTCTGAGGAAAAAAATATTGATGTAAGATATTCCCTATTTTATAACAGAAAATTGGAAAGATAACTCTTTTGCATATTCATCTTTAAACTAAAGATATAATAATGGTATCCTAAAGACAGGTTTTCGAAATGTACATGTATAATAGCAAAATTACGAAAATATAAAAATTAGAATATTGTGTCTTACTGCATCAAGAATTATTATACAGTATGTATTACTTTATAATGCAAAAGTACTTCCATCAATCTCTGTAAACAAAAACTGTATATATACATATAAAACATAACACATTATCATATACACTGTTATTAAGTAAAATGAGGAAACTTACACAAAGAGCTGCCCAGGAAAGGGCAGAAAATCCTCCGCCATGAAGAAATAATAAAACAGGGCCCTCTGTTCCACATTCATACACGCGGAACACCTAATGTTGTTAAGGTATATACACATTAAAAATACTCATGCTGAAGTCATATAACTGATTACAAATTCTGAACCTCTACTTCCTATAGATAATTTCCGGTCTTCTTTTGCCCTGACCCTTTTAATCAGACCCTTTACTGGTGGCTGACTATCCTGACTGAGTCACTATCTTTACATTTTTAACTTGATGTTCTCTAAAAATTAAATTATGACAGTATTTGTAGTATTATTTGAAGCAATGAATTTTTTTTAACAGATTTGAAAAGAATTTGTACTACATATGAATTTTCCAAGGAGGAGAGTTTCTTTATTTTTATTACAGTATAAATATTTTTTATCATATATTATTAAATCTTGCACTGTCAAATTATAATTTAGATAATATGATATTGCAGGGAAGAATTATTGCTGGTGTTTTATAAAACCAGTGGTTTTAACTTTTGTTTTAAATATAATGATAAAATAAAGTTTTACATGTTAAACTTATAAAAACAAGCAAAAGTATAATTTATAAATTAAAGATGAACAGAAGATTTAAATATTAATGACAGAAAACCATTAACTTAAGTCAATACAACCTACTAATACTGGGCATTAAGTTAACCAGTCTATTATTTTGTAGAGCTTTGAAAAAGGAACAATCCATTTGAATTTTAAGTGATTTCAAAACTGAAATAATAAAATTAAGCTACCAACATTAAAGATCCTGTTTCACATTGCATAAATTGGTTCAAGCAGGTTAACAGTACACATGTACATTAGATAATTTTTGTAAGGATACATTTTCACCAACTTGGACATTCAACTCTTTTTCAAAATAGTTATCCCAATAAACTGGCGTATAGTCTCTTCTACGGCCAATTGGTTTCTTTTTTCCACCCCTGCAAAATAAAAGTTTATAAGTCATACATGTCCAAATGTTTCCTAGCAACCGTTAGGTCTAAGTCTAGATAACGATTTTACTTAAAAGTAGCATGCCTTCAGATAATTCTAATAAACAATTTCAAAAATGTTTTTTCATGGGTAAAAATATTGTTGGGTATATCAATAAGGTGATTTAATCTAGCCTAAGGTAACTTAAATCTTAACTTCTCTCAAAATGCAGAAACTTTCAATGTTACTATTTAGTGGCAGCATGGGTGGCATGCATGGCAGCATTATAGTCAATTTGTTTACCATAAACATGTCAGACTAATAATCTAAGGATTGATGGTTGAATGGGTTCAACCGCATCAGGGACAAGCTGTTATTTTTAAGCAAGAACTTTTACACTCATTGCTTAGTACTGGATGTTTCCAAGAACAGATTCGAGAATGTTTCATTAAGCTTACAGCTTCCAACACAATGAAAACAAGAGCAATGTCAACATGGCCATCCCCCGCCGAATGTGTTTGCTCATTGGAAGAATGTTGTGAGGATGTGATCGTGAATAAAACTAGGCGTTGTGTACGGTTCGTTTCCTTTATTCAAACTGAATGTTTACATACATAGGAAATGACGTTACGTTGAAAACATAAGTTAACAATTCGCGCCAAAGCGACGTTACGTGACGTCGCGCCAAATCTACAACATTCTCCGGGCCTCAGAAATGCTAAATGTAATAATTGTCATACAAAAAACATAAAGTAATGGAATTACTTATTTAAAATCATATTGAAATTGAGCACCATAATTAAAACAGCTATATTTAGATATATCACAAACAGATTGGCGCTATGTAAAGTCTCGTTTTGAATTATTTTCACTTGTCTATGTTTATACAAATTGAATTGTATTTTCACGAAATATTAGCGGTAAAGGATAAATATTTCAATAAGTATCGTTATGTCTATTCATCTGGTTTCTGGATAATTTCCAATGGGTACAATTTGACAATCGGTCGTGTAGTCAGCCCTCCGGATGTACGTATCCTTGCGGCCCTCGAAAACCCGTCATTTCCCGTTAAAAGTTCATCAACTACCGCAAGGCTCCACTATAGCCTGGGTGTAAAGTTGTCTTGGACAATAACAACGTCACCAACCTGAATAGTCTGGTTTGTGGTACCACTCGACCGTTGGTATTCTCTTAATGACGTCAGATACTCGTGTTTCCAGCGGTGCCAGTAGTGATTAATTAATTCCTCACGTCTTCTAGCACGTTGTCGAACATCGTCACCTTTACTATGGTAACCGGGAGTATCGTTGGTTACCACAGTATCGTAGAATGGTAGAGTTGTAAGTCTGCGTCCATGTAGTAAGTGTGAAGGGGTGAGAGGCTCTGGATCATCTCTAGCAGATGAAACGTAGGTAATTGGTCGATCGTTCATCATTGCCTCTACTTCGGTAACTATCGTCTTCAGCGTTTGCAAATTAATGGAAGCTTTGCCGAGAACTTTCTTAATCGTTGTTTTCATTACACCAATTAGTTGCTCCCACATTCCACCATACCAAGGTGCTCTTTTTGGAATAAACTGCCAATGTGTTCCTCTTTGTGTAAGGGCAGTATGAAGATTTTGTGAATTATAGAGTCGCCGGATTGTGGTACCATTATCAGATATCATAAGTCTTGGTAATGATCGTCTGCTGATGAATCGTCTGAAGGCTAACATAAATGATTCTTCTGTAAGGTCTGGAACTATTTCTAGATGAACAGCACGGGTTTTGGCACACGTGAATAGACATATGTATACCTTCTGCTGAACTTGCTTTTCTTTAATGTAAAGTGCCCCTGTGAAATCAACACCTGTTACGGAGAAGGGTGGTTCGACGATTACTCTGGAAACCGGAAGTGGTGGGGGATCTGGGGCGGTATAGGGTCTTCCTGTAACTTTTCTGCAAATGACACATCTTCGGAGAACACTTTTCACGTGCTGTCTGATTGATGGTATCCAGTATTTCTGGCGTAGATGGGTAACAGTATGGGCGACACCTGCATGTAACTGATTGTAATGAGCGTCTCCTATTATCAGTCTGGTGACATGACTTTTTGGGGACATAAGGAACGGGAATCTTGTTGTCTCTGGCAACTGTGCGTTATGTATTCTTCCGCCACAACGAATACAACCGTCCTTGTCTAGATAAAGTCTTAGCTGTCGAATTATTGGACTGCATTTTTTCTGGGATTTAAGATCTTGAATTACGTCTGGGAAATATTGTTGTTGGCAAGTTTCAATCAGTTTTCCTTCTGCTAATCTCAGCTCTTCTGTAGATAATGGACAAATTTGGCGATAATTATACGTCACTCTACAGTTTTTAGTGAAACGTATAACGTATGCCGTAACACGTAATAACGTCCATCAGCGCAAACAGGGGCTGTTGCAGTTTTTAATAAAACATCTGACTGGTGGGTTTTTGAAAATAATATAGTTGTATCACCGGCTTCAATATTAGTACTCCAGTTTCTATAACTTCCGGTTACGTCAGACTGTTGTGTTTCATGACTTCCTATGGCGGGCTTATTTGGGTAGTTCTGGGGAAATGTCGATTGGGAATGGCTGCATGTACTAGTATGATGTTTACCACGACACTGGCGGCAACGAGACTTGGACGGACATCCAGACACTTGGTGACCTTTACTTAGGCAGTTAAAACACAAATGTTTTATCTTTATGATTTGAATGCGCGATTTAACATCACTTACTTTCTTACAGTCTCCCATATGTATTTCATCACAGTAAACGCACTTTTTCTTTGAATGCTCAGTCCGGTATAATGACTTCCGGTTGTCTCTATTTCGTGCGGCGGTATAAAATGATGCTGTTGGTATGAATCTTTCCTGTTTAGTGTTCTGTGACTCTCCCGCTTCCATAATTTCAATCTCTCTGTTTAGTGATTTGCGTAAGTCTGGAAGCGTCCAACTTCCGGTACCATGTTCCCTAGCTAAATGACGTCTGGTTTCCGGTGGTAATCTTTCAAGGATTATTGGGATTAATAGATTGCCATATGTATCTTGTAGTTCACCTAATGATTCTAAACCCCGGATGTTTGTCTCAAGCATATCGTAAAATTGACGTAATTCTCGAATATCGTCTGCTGGTGTTGGTAACTTCAATAATGTCTGCATATATGCGGAGGTGATTTTTTGTTTCTGTCCGTAGCGCTCTTTTAATAAACACAATGCCTGAATGTAGTTTGCATTCGTTAACGCGAACCCGTCAATAGTTCTTGCAGCATCTCCTTCTAGTAATGACTTCAGGTAACTGAATTTCTGCACGTCTGTTAAACTGGGATTGTTGTGCACTGATGATTCAAATGAGTCCAAAAATGTCTGATACGTCAAGAGATCACCACTAAATGTCGGCATAGAAATTGTCGGCAACTTGTGATGAAATGAATTAGACAGCAGTATGCAGGTTCTGTCTCTAATGTAGTCCATCTGCTCGCAGTGATTGCTGGATGATGATTCTGTTCGTGACGAGTGGTTGATATTGTCTCTGTCTACGTCTCTTACGGAATCAGATAAAACCTGGAATTTCTTATATTTCTGTAGTTGACGTTTTACACGAATGTTGTACATAGCGGTTTCCTTCACCTCTACTGCTGTATTTTCTGTATCAATCTTGTTTAAAATGTCTGCATCAGTACTCGCCAAAGAAAGCATAATGTTTTCGATTGTTTTTATGAGAAGTTGAACATCTTCTATATTATTTTCTCTAATTGCATCTTCGATTTCCTGCAAATGTTCTGCTATAGTAGCTCTGTGGCCCTCTCTCACTGCTTGTAGTTTATGAAGATTCATGGTGGTTTCGGTTCACGGCACCATAAAATGTGAGGATGTGATCGTGAATAAAACTAGGCGTTGTGTACGGTTCGTTTCCATTATTCAAACTGAATGTTTACATACATAGGAAATGACGTTACGTTGAAAACATAAGTTAACAATTCGCGCCAAAGCGACGTTACGTGACGTCGCGCCAAATCTACAACAAATGTATATGTAGTAGAGCAGAATAATTCCATTTTAAGAGGTCTTTTGGTAATGAAAACTGATGGCTATAGTGATTACAGATTTGAAACCTATGTGAATACTGATGGCTGAAAATAACAAAGGGCAATAACTGAAAAATAATGCAGGGTAGGTTATCATTCTTGTGTGCTGCATCCCTCCTCAGTAAAATCTATCCACCTATGAAGTTTCAAGTTGATACCTCAAATACTTTTTGAGAAAAAAATTGAATTGAAAAATTAAGTATGAAAAATAACAAAGGGCAATAACTCAAAAATTATAAAAGGTAGAGTTATCATTCTTGTGCAGTGCACACCTCCTGAGTGAGATCTATGCACCTATGAAGTTTCATTTTGATATCTCAAAGGCTTTTGAGTTATGCTCTGGACAAAAATTAATTTTGAAAAATAACAAAGGGCAATAACTCAAAAATAATGCAGGGTAGAGTTATCATTCTTAAGCACTGCACACCTCCTCAATGAGATCCATCCACCTTTAAAGTTTCAAGTTGATACCTCAAATACTTTTTGAGATAAGCTCTGGACAAAATAGCATGAAAAAAACAAAGGGCAATAACTCAAAAATTGTATAGGAAAGAGTTATCATTCTTGCACACAACATTCTTCCTCAATAAGATCTATCCACCTATGACATTTCATGTTGATATCTCAAACACTTTTTGAGTTATGCTCCACTCAGGTGAAAAATTAGGTATGAAAAATAACAAAGGGCAATAACTCAAAAATTATGAAAGGTAGAGTTATCATTCTTGTGCACTGCACACCTCCTGAGTGAGATCTATGCACCTATGAAGTTTCATGTTAATATCTCATAGGCTTTTGGAGTTATGCTCTGGACAAAAATCAATTTTAAAAAATAACAAAGGGCAATAACTCAAAAATCATGCAAGGTAGAGTTATCATTCTTGTGCACTGCACTCCTCCTCAATGAGGTCTATCCACCTATGAAGTTTCAAGTTGATAACTCAAATACTTTAAGAGATATGCTCCGGACAAAAATGTCGGACAGAAGGACGGACGGACGGAAGGACGGAAGGTCGGACGGACGGAGACTATTTCTATATCCTCTTCCGAAAATTTTCGGCGGGGGATAATAAAATAAATTTGTATAAACTAACTGGATAGAATTCTTGTGACATAAATAGTAAATTTTGCCAGATTTTGCTCTATATTTTCAAAGCATTGCTAAGATAGTAAACATAATACATACATATCTTAAACTATAAGTATATTTCGCCTGGTATATTTTTCGCAAGTAAGAATTAAACAATGGGGTTTATAATTTATATACAAAATAACTGAGTTTTAATCATTCTCAAAGCAGATATGAATAACAGTACATGCATATACTTTTTAATTTTCCATCTAAATGAGTACATATTATCATCTTTATTGTTTTTTTTTTTCAATTTGATTAATCTTATACACCCATAAACACTTTCGATATGATGTACGTAAATAACTGAGGTATATCGAGTGGAAAAATACGAGTTGTTTCCCTTATCTTCAAGAAAAATTGGTATCTCTTAAGCTAAAACAATACAAATTCAGCCATTTTTAAACCGCTAGTTTGTTGTGATTAAATGTCCAATTTTAATTTTTTTACATCTATGGAAAGCTTGGGATCTTAGCTTTGTCACAGTATATAATTTTACATATCTTTTGACATCAAAGTATTTAAATTAACTGAAAAACCAGTCATGTGTCAGCCCATTTTACATATGATTTACACAGTGAGATACGCAACTGGCTATCTTTACTCGAAAACCTACTGATAAGAATAGCCAGTCGTCTGCTAGTTGGGGAAAGTGTTTATCAGTGTATTTATTAAGAACCTGTCTTGTGTCTAAAAAAAAAAAAAAAAAAAAAGATAGCATGAAACTTTGTCAAAATAATTAACACTAGTCCAATAACTAGCCGTTTTAGTAGAGAACATGAATATTTTCTTAGGATAGATTTTCTTTGAGTGACAAGCTTGAGAAGTTGACAAATTTAGGAAGTTACCAAGAAAAATACACCAGGATTGAACGCACGAGATAAAACCTATAGTGACACAATAAGATAAGATAGAAAATAAATCACAATTGGCAAATAAAAAACAGATTAATAGATCTTGTCAAAACTTCGAAATTACCCAACACCAGGTGGTGGCATCGGTGGTAAACCACCTCCTATTCGGTGTTTTATTGCTTGTCTTTGGAGGTCTGACATCTTTTTGTTTATTAGCCTCTAAACTTTTCAATGATGTTTTCCCAAAATCGAGTTTTTCTCAAAGTTTTGCTATAATAATTTCTTTTAAGGATGTAATAATAATTATGTATTATTATTATCTAGGAAAATTTGCTCTATAAATCGATTTAAGTAAAAATATTTTTTAGCTTACAGACTAATCCGAGATGTAAATAAATGGCGGACAAGTTTGGAATCGGGTTTGATTAGTAACCGTGAAAAACATCAAAATGTGATATGAAAATTGCATTGAAAGCTTTTAAACGGAAAATGAAATCAAAGAAAATTATATAGAAATGGTGAAGAAAAAGGTTAAAACGTCCCAGAAGCTGAAACGGCGCGGTATGCATAGAAAATATTTAGTTGACATTAGACAGAACCAAGTTTGTACATGTTTTGGTGCCAAAACTGAACTTTCTTTTCTCAAATTTCTGCTTATATATGACATTTTAAGTCTTATGAATTGATTTCAAGAAAAAGTCTGAATTTACTCACACTTTTGCATATTGTATATATCTGAATATTTGAAGAATTTTATATCAAGATGGATGATTGTTACTTATGAATCATTTTTTACCCCACCCACTTTTTTTTATAAATGTCAGCATGAGTTACATTAGTAAAGTTAGTTATTTGGTTTATTCAGGGTTCTAGCCAGTCAGTTAATGCTAGAGATGTGCCTTTAGTTTTTGATGTATGCAGCAAGCCCATTCAATTTCATTTCAAATATAAGGGTACAAGTAGTGAAGGGAAAAGAGTCAACTCGGCCCTATACCAACTCGGCACGGGTCAACTCGGCACGGGTCAACTCGGCCCACTTTACAAAAATATAAATAACGTATTAACTTTGCTTTGCATGTTGTTAAGGTAAATTAATAATGAGAAATATCTTATTGTTATATAATTATACTTCTGCCGAAATAAGTACATTTAGATATTTTTAATTTATTTGTTTGCAGATAAAATTAATATAGATTGATCTAATAAAAATGTGTTTCCTTAGAGGCATTTTGTTTGTTAAGTAATATACAAAAAAATATTAAACAAAAACGTGTTTACTTCATATCATAAGCTTCTAATTAATTGCAGGTGGTCACTATTCAAATGAATGAATGAGTCAATCATAATTATCACCTAATTAATCGGTATCCTTAACATACTCACTGATTGATAATAATAGCCCATAACAATATATATTTCAAAACATTGTTTGACACTAAAGGTATTAAAGTCAGAAATACAGTGAGATATACGCAATCGGTTATCTTTACTCGCAATTTTACTGATAAGAAAAGCCTGTCTGCTGCTAATTCGTAAACTATCAATAGGTGTTTTACAAATAATTACAATAAATAATGATAACACAAACCTAAATATTAATAATTGAAAAGTGGGCCGAGTTGACCCGTGCCGAGTTGGAATAGGGCCGAGCTGACTCGGGGGCCGAGTACGTTTTAAGGCCGAGCTGACCCGAATTCGTAGTGAAGTACCCTCTGTCAATGAAAATTGAGGGTTCATTTCAAAATACACCCATTTACAGTCTCCATTTGAACTAATTAAATAACCGAGGTATATTGAGTAAAAAAGTAAGAGTTGTTTTCCTTATCTTCGTGTAAAATTGATATCTCTTATGCTAAAACAAGGCAAATTTTGCTGTTTTTAAACCGCTAGTTTGTTGCGATTTAATGTCTGATTTTTAAATTGATTACACCAGTGTAAAGCTTGTGATCTGAGCTTTGTCTCAGTATATACTTTAACACATCTTTCAACACTAAAAATATTTAAATCAACTGTTAAACCTATCACAAGTCAGACCATTTTACATACAATTTATACAGTGAGATACACAACAGGTTATCTTTGCTCGCAAAACTACTGTTAAGAAAAGCCTGTCATCTGTAGTTCAGAAACTGTCAATCAGTGTTTTGGGGGCGAACACAGAAGTTCAAACATGTTTTTATGCTAATTTATGTAACAAAAAACATATTTTTCTCCAGCTCAATGTGTCATGGTTAGAGCTGTAGTCAATTGTCATGATTAGAGCTGTCGTCGATAGAGACAATATCAATGTATGGTTGATATTTTTCTGTCGATCAATATTTGATACACATTAGTAAATATTGATAATTTTGGTTAATTATTTTAATGTCTATAAATTAAGAAAATTCGACCAAAATATAAACAAAAGCAGGTGGCCATGTCTAACCACAAGCTGTTGTTACATGCCAATGGACACATTTCATAGCAGTGATAACAAAATTTATATAACATTAATAAACAGGACACAACATAATTGTATGAACAGAACATATATTTTACAAGGTATGGAAGTGAATTATATACAAGCAATAAGGAGTATATGTGATATAGATATATATCGGGGTATCGCTGATATTTCAATTTGTCATCCAATATCGATGTATCGTCAATATGCTTTGCTATGAATCAATGACAGCTCTAATCATGATATTAATGAACAGGTGTTCTACCCACTACATAGGCACAGACTCATTACTTGAGGTTGTAATCTAGCAATTTAGCTGACATTACAATCACTGATCTTCTGTTCAGTTCATATGTTCATTAATAAGTTCTGTTGCAGTCATTTTATATTTCATCAGTACATGCAACACTGTCATATATCTATATAGTTCCTTGCAAAGACTCCCCTACCTGGTATGATGCCAATTTTGCTTTCCTTGTTAATTTTGTTTTGCATCATGTCGCTAGAACTCTGTGATTATAACTCAAAAGATAAAGAGGATTGGCTTAAAAGATATTGAATCCTTCTGTTTTGATACTTAAACGAATTTTCAATACAAATTATGAAATATAACTTTTCCTTTTCCATAGAGAATTCTTGGCATCAAGAAGATGTGCAAGTCAACACTGGACTACCTCCGCAAGTTGAGGGTCAGCTGAGATGCTTTTGTAGAGTATCTGTCACTCAGATAACATGGGATGTCCCAAACACCCCAGATGTCACATATGTCAACCTAAAATGGTGGGGTGAACCAGGAAATGGAATTATGTTTAGGTACGCTTTCTAAAACATTTCATTCATTTTCAGGTTGAGACAATATTTCTATAAATGACACCTTCGAAAATGTTTTCTTACTTTAAACATTATCACGCTTTAGGAATATAAAAGAATTGAGGTGCTGTTTGAAATAGTTTGTGATTGTATGTAATAATGAAAGTAAAAAAAATCATTTTCAGACAACACTGTATACAGTGTGAATTTCATACTTTGTCTTATTCTGTAAAATCCGAAAACCAGGCTTTTTAAAGATAATACTGATAATATTGAATCATTTGAAATGTAACAGTTTTGAATATTTTTTGTTTTGCTTATACAGGCCTGTAGATCTTAAATGCGGTAGTGCAGGACAGGCAAAGACCACAGCCAGGTTTCCAGTACGATCTGGTCCTAAACAGTTCACAGCTTACTTGGCTGATATGTCCAGCCTAGTTCTAGATGTTCTGAGTGGTCCAATGCAAGTCCCTATTGGGAATGTCGAAGTTCCTAGTATAGGAGAGTTAGCACCAAATAGACCTATAAATGGACTGTACCCAATAATCTCACCTACGGAGGAGAAGATAGGAGAACTCCATGTATCTCTTGTTTTAGAATCTCTAATGGGTAAGTCTTTGAAATTACTTTTTATAGGCGCATATTTCGGGGATACTTATTACTTTGTTTTTGCAACAACCCATGACTTTTGAAGTTGGGAAGTTTTAGAAAGTTGAAAATATAACAGTTTCATTCTACCTATATAATAGAACTCTTTTATTTGGCAGATGATAAATTAATACACGTTTATGAATGGTGTCTTTCATAAAAAAAACACACCAAAAACACAATATATTTCTGCCTTAAAGGGGCAACATTCGCTGCCGCGGCAGCGAGTATTTGTGGGTGTGACTAATCAGTGATGTAAAACTGTCTGTTATAAACCATGAGCTAAAAATAGAATGCAGTGTTAACCTGCAGAGAGAATGTAAACAAAACAGCATATTTTACACAGGAGAGGTTTAATGGATGTTTTATATAACTCACAGATTAATCAGATTAATTAAAAGACATTATCAAGCCATCTTGTCCAGATATTATTTTTGAAGTCAGTTGTTTTTCATCAAGTCAGACAACTATGTCCAAATCCAAAAGATGTGCCTTACATGGGACATTTCTTTTAAGAAAAACTGCTAAAAATGATCTTGACAGGAATTTAAAATATTTTTAAACTATTAATATATAAAAATTTTATACAAATGATAAACATTTGTGAAATGTAATTTTGACTACAAGATATTTACAACAAAATATAGTGTAAATGAAATATACCTGGAAGTTACTTTTACTGTTTTCATGAAGTTTAAACCATTTAAATACAAGTTGAATCAGTACTTTGAAATTCAAAAAAAATCATAGATTAATGGATTATTGTAAATTTGTTGGATATAAATACTTTTTGATAAAGTAAGATCAGTAAAAGTTATTGTTTTTTCTTATCATGTATTCAGCATTAGAATGTGTCGTCTGCTGAAAATCTCCCTCCCTGAAATATATATCGTCTGCTACAAATCTCTCTCACTGAAATAAACACTGCCACGTGCATCTGTTTACTACTGAAGGTTCATGACCTGTAATGATCAGTTGGCTCCTCCCATTGAAATTCAAATTTCAAATTTGACAGCCAGTATTTTTTTCCAGAAACACACTTAACAAAGTTTTATTTTGAATAATTTTGGTCAATCTATATCAAGAATATCTATGCCTACATACATGCCAAGTGTTGTTTAAATGCATTTGGTAATTAATCTTAAATCTTTGAAAAAGGGTCCCTGAAGTGAAGCATGCATAAAATTAATAAGAAACCTGCCCTAGCGCCATCTGCTGGCTTTTATAGTCCAGTTGGGCCTTTAAAGTTGGTGATAAACTGGTTTTGGAAATTCTTAACATTTTTATTTATATAGATTAAACTGGAAATTTTCAACATTTTTCGCCATTAGAAAGGTTCCTATATACAGCCTTTATTTTATGCAGAAAAAGTCACTTTGTATTCTTGTGTAAATTTGCCGAAATGTGAAAAGTATATAGTTACTATAGTATCATTGTATTGATTTTGAAATGCATAGCATGGTATTTTGATTTTGCATGTATTAAAAGGCAATGGAGATTTTATTTTAGAATTTCTGTTGATTCATTTACATTTGTATATTGTTTAGTGTTAAATCATGCCTATGGTATTGTTTTTTGTAGCTTCCTATGACAGTACAGGGTCTATACCTACCACAGATGTTAGTATGGAAACTTATACATCTCATGTAACCCAAGAGTCCACATACCCGAAACAGTCCCGCCCCACTCCACACACTGATCAACCACAAAAGCCGATGGAAGATCCATTTATATCACCAGCTTCACATCAGGTATTCTTTTTTTTATTCTTTGGTTATTTATTTTGGTTGGGATTTCACACCTGCAAATTACTACAATGTAAATGTCATAGGCAACTTTCCAGATGTGCTGGTGGGTGAAGGCCTTAGGTGCAAGTAATTCAATTTTTTTTCAGGCATAAGCAGGCAGTATCCTCTTAATATGCTTTATACACTGACTAGGTAATGTATTGACTCTTAATTAATATTTTGTTTTGAATATTTGTAGAATGTTGAAACTAGATTTCAAAATGGCTATACGGAAGATTTGCGACAACATTTACGTTACGAGGCTGATCCGGCTGAACGTCGTTTCAAACAGATGGATAATGGCAGTGCCGTTGCTATAACAACTAATGGTGATGTCATCAAAACTAGTAGTGGAGAGTCACTTCAAAGCAGACGTAAGAAATATTTCAAATGGTCTCAACCGTTTTTAGGGAAATTTATGACATCTACTCCTTGTTTAAAAGACTGGTCTCTTTTACAAGTTGATAGCAAAGTACAATGACAGTATGAGCCCCAAATTGCATGCATTTTCACTGAAACTGAAATTTTTATCAGATTAAATTTTTACAATGAAAAATGTACATGTATCATGATTTTTAACTGAAATGAAAAGGGTCAGAACACACAGATCTGAATTTGTGTCTTCAGACTTGAGCCTACTTTAGAAATTGAAGAAGTTGCTTATGAATAGTTTTTTGTACCCAACAGAAAATGTGCGGGGAGAAGACCCCCAACAGAGACAAGCAGACGGTGACCTGTTGTCAGTTCTGTTGGATCGAGGGAACAAATTACGAGAACAAATGATCATATCTTCACTAGAATCCAAGTCAAAAGCTGGGAACCATGAACAGATGGAACCAGCTTCTATTCAACCAATCAGAGGTTTACCTGATAGGAGGGAAGTTGACATGTCTTTAAGGTAAATTTTTATATTTATGTTTGCAGTTTCATTACACAAATTCTTAAAACAATCTATTTCGCTCTTGCTTAGTATACAACAAAAGAAGAGCCCAATGGCAGCTATATAGAGCCCAACTCACTGACATATCTAAATCATCGAATACTCTTTAAGAATTGGCTCTTCAAATGTTTTGTTTAAAATTTCAAAACCTTTGCAATTTATAGTGGACTGATCCAAATATTAAAGATGGCGAGTCCATTACAAAAAAAAATCAGTCAGAAAATAGTTAAGTTTGTTGCATGATAAGAATGTTCTAGTCAAATGTCCTAGAATCTGCCTGATAAGTTGACATTGTAGTGTATTCTTTATTTTTGTAAGCATGGCTGTTTATCTATAATTAAAAATATTTTTTTAATGATTTTAAATGTACATATAGAAGTACAGATGGTAGTTTCCTACATGAGATATTGAGAGCAGAGAAGTTGTATGGAGGTGGAGAAGAAGTTGATCTAGAGGATGCTGCAGTTGATCTTGTGTTTGGTGACCAACTGACGGATGATATTAGAGTGAGTATATTTTAGCCAACTAGCTACTGATTTAACTGTACATGAATTAATGTGTACATACATATTTGTTTTATGTACAAATACTGATATGTTTAATATACATATACTGTTTTGCTTACTGGAAATGTACTTATTTGTTTATTGTACAAGTAACAATTTGTTTAATATACATAATTATACTGATTTGTTTATTGTATGTGTACTTATTTTATTAAATATATATGTACTGTATTGATTAAATGTACATGTATATAAACTAATTAGTTACAAGTACAAGCATTGATTTGTTTAATATACATGTACATTTACATAATTTAACTGATTTGTTAAAGCAGCAAGCAGCCAGAATTATATATATTTTCTATAAGAAAAATTTTAATTGTTCAAATTTGTGAAAAGCGTTTTTCAGAACTAAACCTAGTACAATGCATTATTTTACTCTCCTATATTAACTACGCAGAAAATAATGAGTGTCTGTTTTTAATTTATTCAGTTATTTGGGCGTGGCAGTCCCAATCAGAGTTTATCAGATGATGATATTATTAGTGACCAGGAGGATCCTGTACACAGCGAGTCAATCCTAAATGAATTATTTTATAAGAACCCCGCCTCAGAGGAGGAGCTTAGTGGAGATGACAGGAGGAAAACGCCCAACAAACACTTGGATGATGAGGCTAATATGGTATGGTCTATTTGTCAGCTTTTCTACCGGCACATCACTTAAAATATAATTTAAGCTCTCAAGATAAAATATAATCACAAGTAGCACTTTTCCTTTTTCCTGTTAAAAAAATTCTCAATTCATTGTGTTGAGAATAATCAGGTTTCAGCGGAGTGTTTTTCGGTGTTGTTGTTCTTGGCTGATAGGGGTAATGATAGAATAATAGAGTAATCAGGGTTTTTATTATTTAACAGATTGGCGATGCATATGATCAGTTGAAATGCTGTTAAAATTGGTTGTATTTTCCGCCTGTAGATTTAAATATCCCCCTTGACCCTTACCCAAATCTGTTGTTTTTGTTGGCACATCTGATGCCTCAGATAAAAATGATTATCCTGTGAAAACTACAATTTCCTCTAGTTAAATAACATTGTCAAGGTGAGATGTTAAATATACTCTCTTTATTTCAGCGCCCACCCTCCAGAAGTTCTTCTGTTTCAAGCTTAAATCTGGCATTCCCACCAGATCCAGCTCCAAAAAAGACATCAAAAGCAAAGACCCCTCCAAGAACCCCAAAGCGTAAATCCAGAGTAAAATTACGTCGAAAAGGTAGCAAGAAAAGGAAGTCATCAAGGTCAAGGTCTAGGGCAAGTGCCAGTGATTGTAGTGATAGTGAGGCATTAAGTACTGCTAGCACTCCGAGGTCAGAGTCGTCGCGGGTTTCCTTTGATATGATACCATCAGATATTGATGAGCCGCCAGAACAAGGTAAATTTTTTAATAATTACAATGTTATCTTGAAAAAAAAGAGTATGTTTTCGAACAATTAATCATGTCCCAAACATTTTAAAAGAACTGTTGTTGTTGTTTTTTTTCAGCAGCTAAGATTAATTAATTATGTAATAGTCAACTATATTTTATAATATTTGATAAAAGCCAATTATGGAGAACCTGATTCAAAAGAACCTAAACCAATTGAAAATACTCAATAATAGTGAAATACATTTGGTATTTGACCAATGAAAGTTTTAGAAAAACATTTCTATTTTGCCATTATCGGGTTTTTAAGACAGATTTAGCTTTGTGTATATTTTTTGGGGTTTAAGAATGAGAATTGTTTCTTATTATTTATTTTAATGATTAGATTATATATTTTGGGATTAAATACAAACTGTTTATAACTGATTGAAGGCTCACAGATGATTCAACATCTTTCAGTATCTGTTAAGTCTACAAAAGGTGTGTTATTAAAAACTTATATAAGACTTTTTGATAATTAATGTCTTTTATAATTTACAGAAGTAGCAAGGCACAAGAAGAACAACAAAGTTGATGGATTGAGTGTTGAACGTTTGACGTTGTTAGGTCGTGTTCATGTTGCCAGGGTTACAATAGATCAGTTAATACTGACAGTGCATGACCTTGACTCTTCCAGCAGTAAACCGAAACCAAAGACAAAATACGGCATTAGACCACCAAAACCATCTCCTAAAGCAAAGAAATCATGGTCAGTTATTTAAGTGTTTATCTGTGTACATGGAAGATTACATGTTAGGTATATGCCCTATCTAACTAAGTGTAACGATAAGTTTAATGTGGGTACATAGGAATCACCTTTCAGTTGGCTTGGACAATAGATTTGTTGAAATCTTATTCTCTGGTTCATGACTCAATAACTTTACAACACTTTACAAGAACTTGTGACTGTGCCTTAAATTTTAAGATATTGATAATTAAAGTGTGATGATCAAGATGTGTAACTCTTGTCTGATCCTATTTTTTGAATTGTCTCCCTTTTTGTCAGTAGTAATTCTGTTGCATTGAGTATTTGCTAAATTTGTGTAATGGGCTTTCAATTGGAACAGTCCATCGTACATGTTTGGAGTTTTTATAGCCAACTGTATAGAAACAGATATATTGATTGGTCTATGTCTGTATTGGTTGCAAAGGCATGTCAATATTGCAGGTAGCATTTACGGTGTTCAGAAATTGGTGGTAACAGCAACTTTCGATAAACCTTTACCGCACTGAATATCCTGCATATTTAGTTGACAAGGAATGCAATGTTAGACATATCGGGTGTGTAGGTATGCACCTTGCATGGACTACTACCTTTGGATTGCGTTAAGGTTGATGGACTTGAGTCTGACTTTAGTATGGGTCAAAGAGGCTAAAAAAAGATTTTTTATGTTCCCTCATAGTTAACTGTGTCAAAGAGACATAATGGAGCATCCATTGATGTCACCTACATGTATGTTTATTTATTGTAACTTCTCATTACAGTTTAAATAGCAAGTAATTTTGATTGTGTTTCAAAAAATTTCAGTACATATTTTATCGAGTACCAGTTCCCAGTTGTTGCTACCTCAAGAGATAAATACTCGCCTAACGCCATGGCAACTGAAGTGATGAGGGTTGTGTCGAGAAATGTGAAAAATGGAGGTAAGTTATTAATATATTCATGTAAATTTTACTCATAAATTTTTGAAATATCCCCCAGAGGTTTTTCTTGAAAATGTATGCAAGGATCTGTTGCCATGATACACTTTATTTCTTTTGTTTGAATCCTTGCTAATAATATCCTTTTTTCTTTATTTTGAAAAAAATTGACATGAATCAGAAAAAAATTAAAATGGACATTAAGTAAAGGTTAAAGTTTATTAGTACGTATTTTCAAAATTAAAATGGTCAGACGCCTTACAGCCACGCGACCAATTTAACTTTGTTAATACGTACTAATAAATTTTAACAAGCTTAATGTTTTAAATTATTTTTATAAACAGTTGATTTACTTGACTGATTAACAGTTACGATTCATTTGAAATACTGCAATCCTATTGGACAAAAAATAATTTCAAACACTAACATTGATTTAAAGAACAAAAAAAAGTGAAAAAAATAAAGAAAGAAAATATTATATTGCAGATAATTGCTTGTAAATAAAATAATTGTATGTTGTTGTTATTTTTCAGTGGTAACATTTAATCATCGTTCTGTATTTCCTGTGATGTTTGATGGATCAGCTGTTGAGAAATGGTGGAAGTCTGCACTCGTGTTTAAACTTTACTCTAGAACGGCTGGGCAGAAAGTGGTAGGTTTAAACTTACCTGTTGTATGATTTTTAATCACTTGCAGAATGATTTTCCAGTTTGCCATTAAAAACATCTGTGGACTGGCTGAGAATGAAATTGCCTTGGTTTTTACTAAACTCTTCACAGTGATTACCTCCCTTGGCAGATTGTGTCTGTACTGATAAGGGGAGACCACTGTGTAGGAGATTGGGCTATTACTAGTACTGTAGAGGATTATTTAAAATACAAATCTAAATTTTTTATCTTCAGAGTGGCTAGAGATGTGTGATTTTCTTTTATTATTTTTAAGTAAGTTGAGCCTCTGACACTATGCTTGAATTACAAAAGAAAACTGTTTGAAAATAATTGTAAAATGATTAGGAAGATTCTTAGAGGAATGTGTAATTGACTGTTTTACACAGATAGTTTCAAAGTAGTTCATCACAAAAGTTATTTAACATTTACCCTGCCGAATTTCTCTAATGGACTTGTCCTTATGTGACTTTGGGACTATTCTTTGTGTGGATGAGATATTCAGGCTGTTAAAATAATAAAAGCAAACAACATAATATTGTCAGATCTGCTGACTGACGTGGCTCGTGATTAATGTCATTAATGGACTTGTCTAGCTTAAATTTTGGAACATACTATTATATTTTTAGGAAATCAAGATGAAAATTGAAAGTTGGTCACATGACATTATAGAGCCTGTTAGGTCTGCAGGGATGTGAAAGCCTGTCTGACTATATTGATGACTTTAGGCTAAGCTGTGGAAGGGTTAACTAAAAAAATTTTTTTTTATCTTTCAGCCATCACTCATTGGAAGTTGCGGTATTCCTCTTAAATCAATTTTGAAGTCTGAGAGTCTGTATATATCAAAGGATATGGAGGTACGACAGTCAGACAAAGCTGGTAATGTCTCGTTGAATGGTTCTAAACATGGCGCTGATGGAATGTTGGGGGCTTTGAAGGTGATTATCATAATTTTATTTTTTCAAGAATTAATCCAAATTTGTATTGAATTGTTTTGTGTTGGTTTTTTTCTCTCAGTACATTACAAACTTGTCTTATTCAAAGAAAAGGTTGAGCTTATATGACCACTGAGTCATCGTTGTTGTTCTGGTGCAAACACTTTAACATAGCCTATTATTCAAACATTTAAAAGTAATAAGAAACCTGGAATACTTGCTTCTTATGACAAGCTGCAATTGTAAAACATGGGGCGTAAGTCTGAAAGCTATATTTTTGAGGTTATGCCCCTTTTTAACTTTTTTTAGAGAATTAGTTTTCCATAGTCATGTCTCTTATCATTTGAGCATTTACACCTTCTTTGACTATGTGAAAAATTGCAGTACTGTAGAATACCTAATAAAACTTTTTCAGCCAAATTTGTGGATCTTCCAAAGCACAAGAAATTCATATTGCAAAAGAAATTTATTATAAATTAATTTTTTTTCTTCAGATTATTGTTGAACTAGCTTCTGACAGTAAAGAGTTTCCAACTCAGTTGGCAAGAACCAAGCTGGCAGAGATGACAGGAAAAGCTAAAATAGTTCCTATATCTCAGACCCCGCCTCCACCATCACAGATCCCGCCTCCTCCTTTACAGCCCCTCCTTCAGGCTCCTAAACCACCAGTCCCTCCAGTGCAGCAGAAAGTCAGTGAACCAGAAAGAGGTTTTCCAAGGGGTAGAGGTAAAGATATTTTTGTTCTTATCAAGTGAACAATTTCCTTTTAATTAAATGATTAGAGATTAAGATTTTCTTTAAAAGAAATCCTGTTATTATTTCTATATTCATTTCTTGGAAAACATACGGAAAGCTGAGAGACGGACCACATTTAGTTGTCTTTCATCACTTAAAAACTGACAATTTGTTCTAATTGCAAAGTTCTTAAAATGTTAGTTTAAGATACTAGGAGATTAAAGCTGTTAAAAATAAAACTGTTAAAAATTAATAACAATAAAAATAGTTTCATCCTAGCTTGCTAATGTCACCAGTATAAAGTCATTCCTGCCAACACAATCCATACAGTCTGACCATTCTGTATAATGTTGACTGATTAATTATAGCAAAATCCTTAAAATTAACAATGTGTTGTTCCATATTCAAAGAAAGTCAAGTCTACTTTACATATTTAGCATGGTCAGGTTACATCAAGAGATGTCCAAATGATCCAATAATTCAATGATATTGTGAAGCATACTGAAGCTGATGTATAATTATTTCAATGTTTCGTAGAAGGAAGAAGTAGGTCAAGATCACCAGCCAATAAAGTGTCAGCAAACTATGAAGCCTCGCCTCTTGAAGGTCTGTCAGTCCCGCCTCCTGTATCAGTTCAACATTATCAAGGAGATCAAGTGATTTTAAACTATCCCAGCATGCAACAGGAAATGGGAGAGGTAGGTGTCTATTTATAAACATGTTGCGCAATACTCACAATGATATGTGTATTTACCCCTTTTGATTTGGATAAACAATAATTTTTAAATTATGTGTGTCCATGTAATATCGCAGGTAACAGACCGTTTAAAATATACCTGATAAAATGAGACGTTAACTGTTGCAAGCAGGCACCAACATGTAAACATTGAAAGAATAAAATGCTATGTTGAATTGAATATTATTCTTGGTTGCATTTTATTTTTAGATTGTAAATGAAAAAAGATAAAAAAATAGAAGTGAAAAAAAAATATGTGAAAGTTTATACAAACTTGTTTTAGTTTGATTTGTGTCTGAAGCTTTTTGAAATACTCTCGAACCCATTCTTGGAACCAACCAGTACTAAGCAATAAGTGTAAAGTTTCTTACTCAAGGAAACAATGGCTTATCCCTTGAGGTGTTTGAACCAACATGGCCAGTAATCTTTAGATTACTAGTTGGAGGTGTTGACCACTCAGCCATGCCGCCACATGTGAATGTTTGAAAATGGCATTGGCTGAAATGTTATTATAAAGAGTTTGAATTGAAAGGATATCCAAATTAATCATTAAGAACTTAAAATATAGACCCAAATTTCTTTTACAATTTTTGATTAATGAAGTACATCATGTAGTATATTACATGATATTTATATTAATATATCAGTGATTTGGACTAAACTGTTTTGTTCAGGTAATGACGCTTCATGCATTGTTGATGATACCAGATGGTAAAGGAATTACAACTCAGGGTATTCCATCTCTTATGTCAGCCAAGAGACATCCAGTCTTCCAGCCACCTAGTGCCCTATCTGCTCCAGGTTTGTCACCTTCAAAAAAAGTCTTGATTATAGAATGTTTGCTACAGTTTTCATGTAGACATTAAAACAGAATGAAAATCAAATTCAAGGGCACATAACTCAAACACAAGTTATCCAATTTTTGCTTCAAATATTTTTTTATCATGCAAAATTTGAATAAATAAAATGACCTTGAAGGCTAAATGAAAGAACTTTTTTATTTTTGTAGTAACGTTTATCTTTAGAATTATGAATGATTCCATTAAAATACATCATTATTATAATGATTTTGCTCTTCATGTATACAAGAGTTCAGATAGAAAGCTAAATAAATAAACTTTATAGCCATTTGTCTGAACTAAAAATTCATGTATTTAAGTTATTTTTTATGCTGAATACTTTATTCACATAATGAAATCTTTTTGTTTTTCAGGTGTTCGGGCAAGAGACATGTGTGTTCGCAACACATACCTAGTGTGTAAGATGTTTTGGTGTGATGAGGCTGTACATAGTGCTGTGTGCTGGGGTACTAGTGAACCCCAGTTCAAATTTCAGCAGGTATAGTAAAATTTATGTGGCAATTATTATATTATGGTGTTGTATGTTTATATATTCTTTCATGGATGCAATCAATAAAATTAATGGGACACAGTGTTAAATCTCAGTGTCTGAAGGGACCTCATTAAACCTTAAACATCAACAGCAAGCTTATTATCCAAACTGGGAGCATTTCTATATAATTGAGGGAAGTATGTAGCCGAAGGGTTAAAGTTTGTGACTTCAAACCACTTGCCCCTTTCTACTGTTTGTTTCAATTTCGACTTGACTTTGGATTCTTTCATGTGAGTAAGCTATCCGGCAAGCTTATGGAACATATGTGGTTCTACTCAGGTGCCAAATTGTGCCTAATATAATGCACGGAAGGCCACCTGAAGTCTTCTTGCACCAGTAAAGCTGGAAAGTTACATATGACCTATACTGTGTTGGTGTGACAAACAACCCAAACAAATAAAAAATATATGCAATTTTGTATGCTATAGAACGATTTTCAAGAAGGTTATACATTATTATAATGTCTTACATTTTCAGGTTGCCCCTGTGTTAATGTCTCAATCCTTACTTGAACGTTTGAAGAATAATTTTATGATTGTTGAAGTATGGGATAAGAAAACTTCGGCTGACAATGATAAGGTTTGTAACTCTTGTTAAATAAAGTCATAAAATGTATGACATTTATCTTTAGTTTGGTCAGTTGAATAATAGTAAGTCTATTGCATTTACCTTGGTATCAACATAACACTTTGTTTTGAAATTTTGCTTGCAACATCTTGCTGCACAGCTTTTTATCTTATAAACTATGAAAGATATTTGCTTGAAAATACAAACTTATCAGGGTTATTAAATTTTGTATGTTTTTTGCATCAAGCAAAAGACATTGATGGTATTTTATTGTACATTTTCAGCTTGTTGGAATTGTGAAGTTGAGTCTACACCAGTTTTATATGTCATTCAGAGACAAAAGAATAGCTTCAGCATTGCTCAAATCTCAAGTAAGTCTAACAGTATTAATTATTGTCTTTTTGATAAGTTTAAGCAGCTTTATCTACCCTGTTTAATAAATCATCACATTGTTAAGTTGACATAAGTCTTAAGCTCTTCTGGTGCCTCTCTGTACATAATTTCAGGCACAAATGGGCACCAGAATAGAATCACTTACTTTTGTAAGCTTGCTTGAAATGTATTGTTATCACCTTTTCGAAGACATCTTACAATCATCACAGTCGTATTGACATTGTAAAAATGATAAAAAGCATTCCCAGCTTGACTTGTGGAAGAAGACTACCTGTGCCTCTCTGAGCACTGGTTCAGGCATGTATATACACCTGACTTAAATGACCGATCTTTTGTAAGTTAGCGGGATAGCTTCCTCACATGAAAGAATCAAAGAGTGATAGAAACTTTCTATGGGTTTTCATTATTAACCGATTGGTGATCCATATCATGAGTTAAAATTGGTTATATTTTTAGCCTGTTGTTTAAAATAACCCCCTTGACCTAATGAGGTTAATTTTTGTCGGCTCATCTGTTGCATCAGATAAAAAATGAAAACTCTTGAGTATATATAACTGGTATAGTTTTCCTACTTCCATATTTCTATTTATAGCAACACATGTTTCTATTTATAGCATTATTTCTATTTATAGTATCCTGTGATAGCAGTGGAGAATTCACTGCCAGTTGTTGATGTGTTTAGTGGCTCACAGTTTGGTCAACTTAATGTTCTTCTTGCCATGGGATCAGCAGAACAGGTAGACTTTTAATGTTGATTTTTATATACATAAAATATTTGGTATGAAAAGAAGCAGCAGTTCAGTTGTTGTTGTTTTTTTTGTTCATATAAAATGAATTACCAGTAAATGTAGAAATTTTCATTTTGCAAACTTCAATCTGTTTTCTAAGAATGACCTTACTGATGTAAGTTTTTACCTAATGTAATTTTATATGAAAAATAGGTTCTGTATTATTCATTGATTTAATGATAAAATCAAAGCAGAAAAAAGGATAGATATATAAAAAAGGAAAACAAAGAAGAAGAAAAATGGCTGGAAATAAGATGATTTTTTTTCCGTACAGGTGGCGCACCTTGTCAGGATGAAATCTGATGGAATGTCAGCTGTATCGGCACCCGAACGACCACAACATTATCTTGAAAGGTAATTGTTTGAAAAATGTCCTTATCTTTAACCTGCCGAATTTGTGTAATGGATTTGTCCAGCTTCCATTTTTGGATTTGTCCATTATTGATTATGGGGATGTCAAGATGAAAAATGAAAAGTTAGTAGGCAATACAGAGTTTGGTCAGCCTGCACAGATGTGAAGACTTTAAAAATGATATCCCTTAAAGTTTAAAATGAACTGTTCCAAAATGAAAGCATGAAATGAGCTAAGTGATATTCATGAAAGGGAGGAAGATTTCTGTTATCAAATATGTGAACTGAAATCTATTCAATTTGTTTATAAGCAACTGTATCTATCTGAAATAAAGCTGCGAGGTTATCTGGTGATAATATTTTTTTATTTTGAAAATTGAGATTTGGTGTATTCATTCCTCATAAGTATCATTATAACTCTAAATGTGGCAACATAAATGCTACAAAGTTTTTTAGGAAGATTGAATGTAATATTTACACAATATTGCTTTCAAATTAGAATGTGCAAGAACGCCTGAATGTGACGACATTTTTTAACTGACAATTTTTGTTCATTTTTACCCACATTTTTGTCATTTTTTTACAGACAAGATTTATTGCATCATAGAGATACAATACCAGCCCAAATAGGTACAGAGTCTGTCGGTAAGTAAAGTGTATCCATAAATTTTTCGGTAAATTACATGTACAGTCAAACGTGTATTAAGCGACCGGGCAAGGGAAACACCAAAAACGGTCGCTTAATGAAACGGTCTCTTAAGACAGTCAGCATGATATAAAAGTCAAAATTTATAAATGACATTTTTATTCGATGGGATTGTTTTTCAAATTCATTTTTATATAAATGTTGAATAATAAGTACGCTCCGATAATCTAAACGGATGCAAATGTAAAAATAACGTTCTGATATTTATTGACAAAACAGTTTTGATCCATTACGTACATGTTTGACATTTTTTCCAGAATTTTTTAACTTCTCCGTTGTTTTTCCTTGTCTCCAACACGAAAACCCTATTATTGAAGATGTTTACTGCTGTGCATTTTTTTCATTTGAAATAAACAAACTACATCTATTTGTTACGATTAATTTAATGGCTGATCAAGTTCAAGGTCAATTCAATGCAGTCTAAATGTCAACAAGCGAAGCGTATACACCATCTCAGTATGGGCGGAGCGTTGCATTGTTTATCCGATATTATTGGATAATACACGTCACGCGTATACTTAACTTCATTTGCATACGCTAAAACGGTATGGGAAATAGAGTTTTTCACACGTTTATTGTTGTGTTTTGATTGCTGACACTTGTGACATAACGAGGTGGCGTTGTCTAAAAACACAATTACTTAACAGGTAAAAGTGGTCGTTTAATGAAAAGATTGATGTCAATTAGGTGACTAATTAGCGGTCGCTGGTCGCGTTGAGCAAAAGTCGCTTAATACATTAAAGATATAGAGAGAAAATGATCGGGGGGAATTTAAAGTGGTCGTTTAAGACAAAAGTCGCTTAATACACGTGGTCGCATGGGCAAGTTAGACTGTATATACTTGGTGGTTGCCCTTCCGACTAAAAATTTTGGCACATTAATTTGGCACATTAATTTATATCATAAGATGTTTAAAAAATATTTCAAAATCAAGATTAAGAGAGCTGAAAATATTGATTTTGTCAAAAGAATAAAGCACAAATGTTATATACATTAAAAAATTAATATTGCTATTTCAGTGGAGCATATATTTGAGATAGTGATCGAAGGAGTACGAGGTTTGAGCTTGTTTGAGAACATGATCTGGGGCGAGGCAGATTGTTTCGTCCAGTACAACTTCCCAGCCCAGCAACAGAACAACCCACCAGGCACCCCAGTTATACGGCATGGTAAGGATTTTATGATGATTTATTATTGTCAGATACATACAATTTAGAAATATTTTGGGTAAATAAAAAGTTACTAATTCATTGGTAAAAAGCATTTTACGTGGAATTGTCTACTCCAGTCACTTCCTTTGACATTCTCATTGTTACTGTCTCTGTTACTTGAGTTACCACAACTGACATTTTTTTACATCTGACATTTAAATCTGACATTTAAATCTGACATTTACACACATATGAATTTAATTACCTCCCTTGAAATCTATAAAGTCCAGAATATGACTTTTGTTACATCACCTTAGATACTCAAAGTCTCAAATTTGGCCTTAACTACCTCTTCAGAAATGCTTTTTTAAGCATCTCTTTATTTTCCAGTTAAAATGACATTCTTTATCACCTCTAAAAAGTGGTTCAGCTCCAGATTGTCTATTTATTTTGATAAAATGCTGTGTTTTTTTTGCAGCTGTACCTACTATGAAAGCTTTCCGAACTGCCACAACATTGTGTATAGCTGATCCAACATTCCATGATGTAACTAGACATAGAATATTACTACCACAGGGTACTCCTGTACAGAGAGAACTGCTCACAGGTAAATTTGAAAAAAAAAAATTATGACTGGTTTTGTATTATAACAGGCAAAATGGGCACATGATTATATTTGTGAATATTGGCTTGATATTTTGGTAATTTGGAATACAAAATCTTTGAAATTTGCGTTAGGGCGAGACTGCATGGAGATATGTTGAGTGAAATTTTGAATGTGTTAGGCTAAGTAAGGATATGTTGAGTGAAATCTGGGGTGGGCGAGACTGCAAAGGGATATGCTGAGTAAAATTTGGGATTAACGAGACTGTGTATGGATATGTTGAATGAAATTTGGGATGGGTTAGACTGTGTAGGGTTATGTTAAGTGAAATTTGAGATGGGTGAGGCTGCCTTTGCATATTTTGAGTGAAATTTGGGATGGGTTAGACTGTGTAGGGTTATGTTAAGTGAAATTTGAGATGGGTGAGGCTGCCTTTGCATATTTTGAGTGAAATTTGGGATGGGCGAGACTGCCTATGGATATGTTGAGATAAATTTGGGATGGGCGAGGCTGCCTTTGCATATTTTGAGTGAAATTTGGGATGGGCAATGCTGTCTATGGATATGTTGAGTGACATTTGGGATGGGTGAGTCTGCATAGGGACTGCATGATATAGTGATAAAATTCCTAGACTGTTGAATTATACCAAAGGAAACAAACACCCATATATGTAACACAACTTGACCATTATACTCAAGGCCATAGGGAACTGATTTTAATCACTTCTGAAATATAGGATAATATGCATTCATATGAGAAACTGGTGATTAAGATAAATGTTAAATAATTCCCTGTTTTGTGACAAAGAATAGGGGTATCTGTAGCCAAGTGGTTAATATTGAGAAAATTAACTTGGTCCCAACCTCACTGCAGAGGAGGATTTTTAATTTTTTTTTCATGTGAGAAAGCTATCTATCTATATGTTTTTTTTGAAAAAAAAAAATAGAAAGAAATTGACAGTGTATATGTAGAAACTTTGTCATAGGTATGATTGGTCTTCCTCCACCAGTAAAGCTTCCTATACTGCATTGGTGCAACGTAAAATCCAACAAATAAAAAAAATAAAATAAGTAATGGTATGATTAGATGTTTGACGTATTTTATTACAATATTTTATGTCATATTTTCACAGCATGTGCTAATACTGGCAGTGGCTCTGGAGGTCTACCATTCGAGCTGTGGTGTAGATATTATCATCCTAATGTAAGAGACCAGTGTATTGCCAAGGTAGGTTTTTTTTTTGATAATTCACTGTTCAACAATGTGTTAATAGAAAGTTTATTATTAGGTTAACTTGATTTTTATTACCAGCTTAAAATATTTTTGCCTAAACTTTTAACTTAATTGAATTAACCTTGACATAATTGATAGTTTAATTTAATTAATTTATTTAGCAACTTAATTTTTGAGTAAACTTAATTGTTGGCTAAATAAAACTTCATAATTTTGACTAAGTTTTATGAGTTGCTTAATTTAATTATTGGCTGAACTGACCGAGGTTGATTAACTTAAAGCCTTAATGATTCTTTTTTTTTGGCTCACCTGTCACAAAGTGACAGGGTGAGCTTTTGTAATCGCTTTTCGTCCGGTGTCCGTCCGGCGTCCATCCGTCGTCCGTCCGTAAACTTTTACTTTAAATGACATCTCCTCATAAACCACTAAGCCGATTTATCTCCTCATAAACCACTAAGCCGATTTCATCCAAACTTCACAGGAATGTTCCTTTGGTGGTCACCTTTAAAAATTGTTCAAAGAATTTAATTCCATGCAGAACTCTGGTTGCCATGGCAACCGAAAGAAAAAACTTTAAATATCTTCTTTTAAAAAACAATAAGAGCTAGAGCTTAGATATTTGGCATGAAACATCTTCTAGTGAGTGTCTACCAAGTTTGTTCAAATAAAAGCCCTTGGGTCAAAATTGGCCCCGCCCCGGGGGGTCATTGATTTTCCCTATATGCATATAGTAAAAACTTATAAAAATCTTCTTTTAAAGAACCCAAAGAGCTAGAGCTAAGATATTTAGCATGAAACATGTTCTAATGGGTGTCTACCAAGTTTGTGCAAATAAAAGCCCTTGGGTTAAGTTGGGGGGGGGGTGGGGGGCTATATACAGGTGAGCGACCTCGGGGCCATCATGGCCCTCTTGTTTTTTAAATAATCTTTCAAGGTTTAATTTATTTTATCACTCAAAATATGCTGGTTCCTGAAAAGACTTTGCTTATCATATGTTTATTGATCTAAATAGCTTTGATTTTTGTTCGGGGATTTACCATGTGTGAGGATTATGTGTATAAATAAACTATCGCTCAATGAGTTATATGTTTACATATGTTCTATATTATTTTAGGCAAGTCTACCTCTAGCGAAGCTGTGTGCAATGATAACTATGCAGAAACGTGGAGAACCCTCTGTGCAGACGTTCTCATTCCCTCTGACTCATGTACAAAGTGACCATGATTCAGATAAACAGAAATCCAAGACCATGGATGCTGGACTCATGGACATCACTGTCCATTATAAAAATCAAGTCATGCAGGTATTATAATTAAAGAATCTTACAATGGGTAACTCTTTGGGATGCTTTTACTACATATCCAATATTCTAATCGCTGGTAATTGTTTAAGTTGGTAAGCAAGCTTTGCTGAGTTATTGCATAACAGTTACCTGAGACTCCTGGGGCCGAGGTAATAAAGAAAGATTGTATTTTCAAATTTAGATCTCGGGCATTTGATTGGTCATAAACAGGCACAGAGTGTGAATTGACCAATGAAAATCCTGAGATTCAAACTTGATTTCAGGAAAAGGTTTTATTACCTTGGGACCTGCATATCCTGACTCACTCCAGTAGCTAGTGTTTGTTTCCTTTTTGTTTCATATTTCTTAAATTATTGTTTGAAAAGCAATGGAAAGTAATACTTTTTCATATACATACATGTAGTTCTATCACCTAAAAATCTTAAAAAATTTGAATTTTCCACTGGCGTCTAGTTGTAATTTTATTTTTGAATTTAAGTTCTGCTAAGTATTGGCTGTTTGTATTACATATTGCAGTGATTTCATTTGTTTTTCATTTTTAGCTCGACTATTCGATAAGAATAAGTAGAGCTATTGTAGTCACCCGAGCGTCGGCGTAACCACTTATGTTAAAGTTTTTGTAATACCTCAAATATTTTCAAAGTCTATTGACATATGGCTTTGAAACTTTGCACACTTGTTTACCATCATGACCCCAACCTGTAGACAGGAGGAGGTAACTCTATCAAGCATGTTGACAGAATTATGCCCCTTTTTCGACTTAGAATTTACGTTAAAGTTTTTGTAATACCTCAAATATTTTTAAAGTACATTGACAAATAGCTTTGAAACATGTTGAAATTTTATACTCTTCTTTGAGAGCATAATAGGACTCCCTCCAATTCCTATAACTGTAATATGGATTTAAAGAAAAAATTTGCCTTTTTCTTTACTTAGAAAAATTTTACCTTTTTATCAAGGTTTTTTTTTTTACTATCAAGCACTAAGAATAGTCGAGCGTTGCTGTCCTACCGACAGCTCTTGTTTTTGAATGTCTTGTTTTTGTCCTTTGTAGCATTGTTCTGTTATTTCATACTTCATCAAGTTTTTGCCTTTTTTCTGATATATAAAAAAACATGATTATAGGAAGGAACAATGTTTTGTGTTTACAGACAGAAACAGGTTCTGCAGCGGCCAATAAAAACCTTACTGGAGCCCAAGTGTGTATCTCAGTGGGAGTTATTCGGGCATGTGGACTTAAGGTAAGTTTTCTCTCTTAAATTCCTTTTTTTCTCCCCCTGTCGATTTAAGGGAAGTGATGAATAAGTGCTTAAAGTGTCTGCCTCTCAACCCAGGGATCTTGGATTTAAACCCTTCAGTGATCATGATAATGTTTTCTTCATGTGACCCAAGTTCTGGTTAGTTGCAGGAAGTGGAATTAAGAATAGTAAAAAAAATTAGCTTCACCAATGGTGCTAGAATAAATATATTTAAATTAAAATTGATTACTTTTATTGTCAGGAAGTAAGGATTGTAGGGAAAATATATAGGGAGTTTTATATGATGAGATAAGTAGTCACACAGATGAGTAAGCTCAATTCTTGGATAACAATCGGAGATTTAATATTATGTATTTCAAAATACAAACTGTTAAAACTACTTTTGTCACAGTCACAACACATTTATAAGAATGCACATATGATATTGGGATTACTCATACCAATTGCCCATGATTATAATATGCTGGCTTTGTGTCATAGTCTTTTAGTTGTATTTTCAATCAATGTTCCGTGTAAAAAGCTTTATTTGATTTTTTTTTGCTGAATTTTAGGTAGCAGCCGAGAGTGTATTTTCAATCAATATTCTGTGTAAAAGGCTTAATTTGATTGTTTTTTGCTGAATTTTAGGCAGCAGCAGAGAGTGCTGCGTATTTATATCAGGGAATGCAGTATTCAGCAGAGGTTGGTGTAAATGCTTACGTTCGTTGTAAACTGTCGTTCCTCGGTGCCGATGGTGAGAGGATTACCCGCACCGTCGCCAGGTCTTTTTCCCCGGAGTTCTCACACTTTATGGACTTCCCATGCCCTCTGTTGTGGACGGAGGCTAGCTCTGATGCTCTATGTCTGGCTGAGATCCTGGAGACGGCAGAAGCCACCTTCGAAGTCTGGCATCAAGTCCCAGGAATGTCATCTGGTATATATACATTTTAATAATTTAAAGAAAAATGAAATATACTAATTAAGACATAAAATCTATTTTTAGAACAAATTACGTGATTTTAGTATACCAGAGTTTTATACGTTAGACAATGATTTCTTTATAGTCTGATATTTTATAACCCTGATGAAGACTCATGAGAGTTGAAACATCGGTTATCATCATTAAATAGAAACCTTAAAACTTATCCTGTGTTGATTGTTTGTTCCACTTTTATTAATGTTCTTAGTAATTAAGACAATGTTTAAATAAATTCTATAAAAACATGGTCCACTAGTTGTCTGAATTTTATATTTTTATGTACCTTAATTATATTTTATATTCTTTAAATAAAGACTTACTAAAAAGGGCTTTCTTTTCTTTTTCTATATTACTATGATAATGAGTTCTTATACCAATGGAGATATTGATATTTTTAAACAAAGTTGTCTCAATGACTTGTAGAAATTAAGATATTTCTTGATTGTGCCATAGTTGTTTCACTTGAATGCTTTCACAGATTTGGATAGACAGTTAAATGCGTTGACAGCTGATGGTGTGTCAGGACGTCAGATTGTTGAGAAAACGTCAGATGTTTTAATCGGCTCTACAACACTGACTTTGGTCAATTTGCTGTTACAGCGAACAGGTATGTAGAAAAATATTCAGGTATTATAGTTTGCTGTGAGAGCCGTTGAAACAAAATTATCTAGGTTGCTGATTACTTACTAAAGGTATATTTCACAAGTGATGCAGCCATGAGTGAAATTTGAACTTTTGGTGTTCACGAGGTTATATATTATTTGATCTTACACTGAACATAACAAATTATCTTTCCATTATATGCAAAGAAAAGTATAAAATGACATTTGAACCTAATACTAAATGAAAAGGGTGCCAAATGTTAATACAACATGACGTCATCTACAACATCATGTTATTAAGTTGATTCCCAGTACTGTGCACATTTGATTGAAACATCGTAAGGGGCTTAAATTCAGAACAGTGAAATTATCAAATTGATAATTTCACTGTTTCAAACAGTGAAAATATCAGTTTTATATTTCACTGATATATTTCTATAAAGCACCAAAATGCATGTAATAAAAAACATCTTTGTTTTTAATTTTAAGGTATAAATGGCTGGTACCCTGTAAATATCCCAGTATCAGCCTGGAACCAGGAACAGCAAGATGAGAACCAGAGCAAATCTGGTCAGAGTGGAGGTTTGCAGAGAGTGGGTGGGGGACTAGAAGTGTCAATAAAGTTTGCCCATCATGAAGACCGAGAAAGAGTTATACATGCAGCTAGAGGTGTTGGTTGGTCGCCAGTTAACCTTGATATAGAACAAGATGACTGGGAAAGTGAAGGTAAGAAATAATAAAAGTTTGGTTGTATGTTTTTATCTGGCCAAGAGGTTAAGGTCACTGGTTTCCAATTGCTTGTTCCATTCATATATGAGATTACTTCTGAACTAGCATACAAAATGTTTGTAATAATAGAAAATTAAGACAAAGCAATAGCCAGTAATACTGGATTAAATGAAACCTTAGTTAAAAAAAATAATGAAAAAATTATAAAAAAGACATGTAATTTGAAAATTAACTTCAAGAGACTTAAAAGTTTCTTTTCTTGAAATACATGTATCAGTACTGTGTTTTTATCTAGATATTGTCTTCAATAAAAATACCATTCCATAGGTAAGAAACCTTTGAAAATTGTGTAAAGAAGAGATTTTATTGTGGCATAAGATACTTGAACACACTGGCACTCTCCTGCTGATACGATCAGCAGGACTGCCTCGCCCTTATAATTAGATAGTAATGCAGAAGAAAAAGTATACTCAAAACCAAACTACATATTGATCATGTGAACTCCGTGCATAATTCATATCATTGTTTGATTTATATCATATCTCTGTTAACAGATGAGGACAGCAATAGATATCATCATATCAACATCACCATAGATCATGTCAACTTTCCAGTACAGAATGCCCTTATAGCTGGACAGAACACTCTCGATAAAACTGCCAAGTGCTATGTGAGATACAAGTTTTATGATAAAGGTATGAGTGTCACTTTTCTATATGTACCAGCCCCTCCCTTAACCAAAAATATAAAAATTTACCATTGGCACCAGTATAGAGCCAGACCATCCATGCATTTTAACTAGGCTCTACACTGTTCATGCTGTTGAGTGACTAACTTAAAATTTTCATCTTGACATCACCAAGATGTATAATGGACAATTTCAAAAATAGAAACTGGTGATGTCCATTTCAAGAAACTCACTAGGTTAAGGACTAGTGTTTGATTTTGATTTGTCTGTGCTATCAATATAGAGCCAGAGTGCATTACTATGCCTCTCAAATGGTATTTTGTCATTTTATTCTTATTGTTTTTGTCTATTTTCTATCATTGACTACATTTACATGGCTGTATATTCTTACCTGATCAATTCTTACCTGATCAATTCTTACCTGATCAAATGCTGTTTTCTTGACTTTGAAATCCCTCTAACTTGGCAGTGGGCCTCTTAACCTAGGGATCATGGATTCAAGCCCTATTTGGTTTATACATAATTTATTCAAGCTATAAGCTTATAGACACAATTTCAAATCCGTTCCTGGAACCAACCAGTACTGAGCAATGAGTTTAATATTTGTTGCTCAAGGAAACAACGACTTGCCCCTGACGAGGTTTGAACCCATGCAGCTAGCGATCATTAGATTACTAGTCAGACACGTTAACCACTTGGCCATGCCGCCACTCTATTTGGATGACAACCTTGTTTTTCTCATGTGACAATGGGTATGGGTTAGTGAACATAGTTCTCAGCAGACTTAATAAGTTTCAGCTCAATTGAGCTTAAAATATACATTTTTAGAATAAACTGATGATGACTTATTCCAATGTTGAAAGCATTTAATTGTAAAAGTATATTGGGTAAATGACTGATATCTTGAGATTATGATGAAATGATAGTATGATATTGACATTTCAGCTGCTGTGATGTCAAAGTTTTCACCAGTCACTGTCAACAGTAGTGGTTATATAGTGTCACAACCTAGAAACAGACATGACCTTCAACTTCCAGATAGCTCTATGTTTAGATGGTAAGTGGCAATATGTCCATACAAATGTAAATGGTCATTGAACAGATAAATATCAAAATAAGTTGACGTTTTGCCTTAAATGTGTTCAGTTTTATGTATAACAGTGAAAAAATAATCAATAATATACATTCTTTTGCATTGTATGTTTAACTTGTACATTTTATTTTGGTGATTTCTTTACTCCCAAATCAGAACTCTTGTCTACTTTAAATGTAACTATATGTACAGGTATCTGAGAGAAGAAAGGCTTGAAGTTCAAGTTTGGGTGACCTATGGTTCCCATAGAGATGACCTTCAGAGACCTAAACATAGAGACAAGCTGATTGGCTCAGCCTATATCTCCATGGAAACACTAAGTGATCAAAGACGGAAACAACACAGAGTCAGGTGAGGATTTTTCATCTGTATTTTAATGATACTGTATTATTAACAAATTATCTCCCCTTTTCAGTTTTAAAATTTGAATCAAAGTCTTATGATTTTACCTTTTCAGTAAGTTTAGTTTATACGAATTTATTATAGTTTGTGTTAGAAGCTAGAAGCTTACTGTAACACTCTCAAATCCTATTTAGCATGTTGTTAACTATATTAAAGGTATCAGTTTGTGTTCAAAAGGTTTTGTAAAGACATGGTTTAAGTGTTGATTTTTTTGCAGATACTTAAAGAGCATATGTTGATTTTTTTGCCACTGTTTTCATTTCTTTGTGAGAAATTGACCTTTTTTTCTATATTTTTTAGTTTCATTCTGTTTGAGTAATTTTCTATATATTGTCTAAATTATTTCAGCGGAATGTTTCCCCTATTCAAGCCAGGTAGCAGTAATCTTGGTGGGGGATACATAAGAGCTCACATTACAGCGAAACCACAGTTTGGCCGAAATGATCAGGTGAGTGATGCATTCATTTTATTGATCATATAACTTTGTTTTCTTCCTTTTTGAAAACAAATGTATTTTATTAGAAAGAATGTCAGAACTGGGTGTAAAGATTAGTCTTATGAGATGGAGAGGATTTTTATTTAGGTTTTTTTTTTGACAGGCAGTCAGTCTTTCAATGTGATTTTGAGAAAAAGTCATCCATATGTTAAAATTAAAATATAAAAATAAAATACTGTAAAATCAATAGTTTTTGTGAGGCCAGAATCTTTTAAATTAACGTTTTTTACAAAAGATCAGATTGCTTTTGTTTTGATTAAAAATACTTGTATGTAGTCACATGATGAAATTAAAATAACACATTGCGGGCCGAGTGCAACCCATATGGCATATTTCTTTATCTGACAGTCTGAGTGCCAAGAGGGTCTGATAACTCTCAATGATGAAGAACTTGATGATGATTATGACCCTGATGATAGCTTCCACCAGATAGTCAGTCACAAACCAAAGCAAAAATCTCCCCAGAAATCCAGCTCTCCAATAAAGGAGGTGACATCAGAGGTGGAGAATACTGAATCAGGGGAGACTACTAATAATTTCTCTGTAATAATCCAAGTGGAAAGAGCTCTACACCTGCCACAAATGCATGATAAACAAAAGTAAGTGATCAATGATATAGAAAAATAATGAACAAAATTTGCTGTATTACTTCCTTAGACTGTTTGGTTGAGTTTCTTAACCTTGAATTACATCATTTGAAATGATTATTATGCTCATTTTTCGATGTCAAATTGAATGAATAATATATTTCAAGAAATTGACTGTTATAATGGTGATTGACCATTAATTGATAATGAAAAATATTTCGAAAAAATATTAAAAACTTCCAAAATTATAAAAAGATTGCCCCACTCTTTTCATCTTTTCTTGATACATTCCTAACAATATTTATATAGAAATGTCTGTGGGTTACATGATTATTGGCAAAACCTATTTAGTGATTTTGACTTCTACCTGTTTGCTAACTATTCACACTTAGATGGGCATAATGTCATTTTAATGCATATAAGGGTCATAGGAAAGAAGATAAACTTTAGCTTTAATGATAACTTTTTGAGTAGGGACAGTTATAGAGCTAGGTGTATAAGAAAGTCAGTCACTTTTTCCAGGAGATGGCTTTGTTTTCTAAGATAATGATTATTGTTTGTAATACATAATGTACTTAAAAACCCAACTTCTGGAAAAACTGTTTTCATTCAAAGGTAAAAGCGTATCTCAAATATTGTTTTTTTTTAATTTTCACAGGGGTTCGGACTACATGCCCAATACTTACGTCTCGTATCCAACGGCTGAGAGCACCATACCGTCATATTCTACTGTCTTCCACAACTCAGATAACCCGGTCTGGGACCATGAGCACGAGACCAAACTGGGCACTGAAATGCTTCATCAAGAAAATAAACATTTAGTTTTTAAAGTGTGGCATAAGCCGGATGGGGCACCTAAAAGTCCAGGTAAGATTTTATTTTTGATACACACATGTATATGGAAATTTTTTTATTAAGATTATTTTTAGTTCAACAAAATATGTATTTTGTTATTAATGGATGTTTTTTTTAAAGGTTTTAAATTTTGTTATTTTCATGTTTAAGGTATTATTTAATTTTATGCTATTTATACTGGGTTTTATCAATGGGGTTAAGTCTATATACCTCCTTGTACCTTGTTCATGTTTCTATATACCTGAACAGTTTGAACTACTGTAAAATCATTAATATTCATGGGGCACTAATTTTCGTGGGTAGAACAATGCATGAATTTCAGATCCAACAAATTTTGTCAGCTTTAAAATCTTTAGATTATTTACATTTCATTTGAAAAAATAACCAATCCAGGAAGTTAAGAAGCCACAAAAATGTCTTTTTTGACAAAACCCAAAACTTAGTGCCCACAAAATCAAATGAATTCACAGTGTCTATATTTCCATTGTCAAATTTGGATTAGGCTTTTATTATGTAAGGGGCTTCGATATAAAAAGAAATGAAATTGGGTAAATAATTAGAAAAAGTAAAGATCCCTGTAGAGCAATGAAAAAGACTGTAAAAAGAGTGAATATTGCTGATTCGGATTTATTTGAGTCTGTTAATGAGAGATGATGAAATGTGCATCATCTCCATGTCCACCAGCACCAGCTTTAGCACTGTTAAAGCTTCAACAAAAATAAACTACTGGAATCAATGATATTGAAGGGCCAGAAAAACATATGACTCAAAAAAATACCAGAAAAATGTCAGACAGTATGGCATGTCTGTAAACTGGTGTTAACTTCTGTTGTTGGTGTTGAAATAGTGAAGCTTTGAATAGTAAAATATATTCGGTAGACATAGAAAATGAATTTTATTTCAGTGATTATGTCTGTGATTTTGTTATAATTATCATTAGTATGAGGTTTTTATTTTTTCCAGATAAATTAACAGATAGAGTTCTAGGATTTGTATCGGTTGACTTGACGCCATTGTCTAATGGACTCCAGCAAATCTCAGGCTGGTATAACATAATGGACTTTAATGGTCAAGTCAAAGGTCAAATTAAGGTTTGTTTAGTCTAATATTCATTTATTAGTACCCTACCGGTTTAACCGGAGGGGACTTTAGGTTTACCCTCCGTCCGTCTGTCCGCACTCACAGGACAGTAATTATGTGGCTAGAGGAACAATAGGTAACTGTTCTTTCTCTTTGATGTCATTCATGCTTTTATGTGGCTATTTTCTTTTGTGTGGCTAAAAAGAACAATAGAGAGAACAATAGAGTAGCCACATTATTACTCTCCTGTTAGAACGTCCGTCTGTCCGTCCGCACTCACGAGAGGGTATATGTTGGGTACTGAAAACTCAACAACTACCAATCCTACTCACTCCGTACATATTGTTGGGTATTTTCTTTGAGTGTTGGGTACCCTTTTTACACAGTAAAATACCCAACAAGAATACAAATGTAAGAATGTCCGTCTGTCTGTCAGTCCGTCCGTCCACAAAACTGGATCCCGCAATAACGCAAAAGGTACTGAAAATATTTTTATGAAACTTGATATATGGATAGATGGCAGTATGGAGATGATGCACGTCTTTTTCTTTTCTTCCTATGTTGAAAATTCTGGTTGCTATGGCAACAAATAGTCTGAAAATATGGCAAATTTAACACATAAACTGGATCCAGTGATAACTCAAAAAGTACTGAAAATATTTTTATGAAACATAAAATATGGGTAGATGGCAGTCTGCAGATTATGCACATCTTTTTCTTTTCTTCCTATGTTGAAAATTCTGGTTGCTATGGCAACAAATAGCCTGGATTTCAAGATTTCTGATTTAATTTTTTCAGCTTTTTCACTGTAAGTTCTTTATTTCTTAAGGTGTTTACTTCAAACTTTAAATATAAGTTTCTGGTCATCAACCACATCATATGTGACAAGGTTTACAACTCTAGCACAAAAATTATCAGTATTACCTCCCTTGAACTTAGAATTTTTATGAAAAAAAATGTTGTCTTTTTTAAATAACTTCTTTATTTCCTAATGTATCTACTTCAAACTTCATATATATGTTTCTTATTATCACTCAACATTTTTGAGAAGGTTAAATACTCTAGCAAGACTATTTCCAGAATTATGTCCCCCTTGAACTTAGATTTTTTTCGAGAAATTGGTATTTTTTACTCCAACTTCTTCATTCCTTATAGGATTTACTTTAAAATCCCACATCGTAATAATATGACAAGGTTGTATAAACATAATTGCCTTACTAGGCAGGGAAACTTAACACATTACTGTGAAATAGACAAACTTAGAACTCAAAAGATTTAAGTTCATTCATGTCATTCATTCACTGGTAAAATTGAAATCAGTATGTTGCTGGGGTTCTAACCGGTAGGGGACTTATGGATTGCTTGCAATACTATGATAATTGCTTGTATTACAGAGTATTTAAACTTACTTCAAGTTTATTTGTGATTTTACTGTCCTTTTTTTCCCCTTTAATCTGTACTTATGTTCTGTTCTTGTCTTTTCTGTGTTATCCTGATACAATTGTTATTATTGTTCTTTATTCTGGTTCTGTTGTGCTACCTGATCTGCTTTGTCATGCTGTATGTTTGTTGACTCCATATCAATTTTCTTTTCCAGATAAATGTGATACCTCAAGAATCTGTGATATCAGGAGAGATAGGGGCTACTTGTCAAAGAACAGATGCTTTCTCCCACCCTACAAGTGCTTCTTTCCTGTCCCTCCCACCCTGGGGAACTCAAGGCCAGACAACCTCAGCCCCTGGGCCGTTCTCGTTACCCCAGTTTGATCTGCCTCACTACAAGCAACATTATGACCAAGTGAAACAACACCATGAGATGTTACAACAGCAACTTCAAGAGCACATTCAACAGTTTCTACGGCAACAAGAAGAATGTCAAGGGTCAAGGTCATCAGAACCAGTAGCTGCATCATCTGATGTTACAACAGTAACTCAGGGACTTACAGATGTTATTTCTTCCGTACCTGATCCATCACTTTATCAAAGGGAGCCGTCCCTGTACCAAAGGGAACCATCTATCCACTGGAGGCCAAATTTGCCAGAGTTAAGACAGGAAGACTCGTCGTCTAGGTCTTACCTGTTTAGTAATCTCAGGTATGCTTTGTTGGCAACATTTAATTCAAGGCACAATTTCTCTATGACAATTCATCTTGGATATTATTTATATGGCCATTTGCCTCTCATTGTTAATTCCATAAGAGCCAGTTAGGTGGACCGAATGCTGAGATGTGACGAGAAATGTTAAAAATTGGATTAAAAACAAATTCAGGATAATTGGGCTATCTTACTCATTCAGGCATTAGTGTTGGTTAAGGTTAAGGATTTATATGCAACTGTATTTTAATTCTTTTTGTAAAAGCTATTGACTTTAAGCACCCTTCGTATCTTCAGTGCCCTAGCTTTAGTTCACAGACAAAGATAAATAACTGGCATGGACTTTTACTAAATTATTTAACATTGTCAACTTGAAAAATAAAAAAAGTGCTTCTTTTGTATTGTGTGCTATCCCTACAATATTTATAATCCTAGTGATTCTTTTAATGTTTTATGCAATATGTAACAAAATTAACATAAAGTACTAATTATTTTGTTATCATGTTTCTACCATTAATTTTTCTTCATAATCTGACACTTCATTGGTAATTTCTGATAATTTCTGTTGATTTCAAATGCCTCAGTACATCATCTCTATTAAGTGCTAAAAATTTTGATTATCTTAAAAATTAGTCTAGGGTTATGCTGCTTATAGGTACCGAAAAATTATCATTTTTGTAGGACTATTTATACCTTTTTACTATTCAATTTGCAGGAGACAGATGCAAGATCTAGATGATGTTACCAACAATCTCAGATCCAAGTTGACATGCCGGTCAACTGATGCTGGACCATCTCAATCTGATATGAACCGTCTTCCGGACTTTGACATTCCAGTGACCTCACAGTATCCTCTCACTTCCACTCAGTCTTCTTTAACACTTTCAAACTTTCCGCGAAGTCAGAATGAAACTCCCAGAGACGATCTTGCATACACTGGGTCACATGGTGCCGAGTCGTCAAGAACAGTCGCAGATTCTGGTGCTTTCTCTGCCGAGCAGTCCGCAGAAAAGTATGAAGATTCTGCCCCAACATCACAAAGAAGTGTTAGTGACCGTCTCGATACTTTACGTTCAGGTGTTACTCCCAGAGATTTTCTCGATAGTGGAATACCTCACACTAATAATAATTCTAATGTAGAAGAACCAGAACAAAATATGTGGTTAACCATGTCTCCGAGAGATTCTGAGGAGAAGAAAGATGAATATTCTGAATCTGGTGGGTTTAGTTTCCGTCATTCGCCAAGGGAGGCATTACGTACTCCAAGAGATTCTGTTCGAACACCTAGAGATATGAAAAACTCCTCTAAAGAGGTTGAACAACTTGTTAATTCTAATATGGAAGTAAATAAAGAAAATGGTCTTGGGAGATCATCAGCTGAAGAAAAAGTTTCCAAAAGTGACCAAAAACAAATGAGTATTATACAGGAATACTCTGAAAATGATAAAAGTGATTCAGAAGATGAAGAAGGGGAGAATAGATACTATCATCGTTATCGTGACATGCTAGATAAAAAAGATGATGATGTAAATGAAGATGATGAGGAGGAAGAAGAAGATGAAGGTGAAATAGTTGTTCCAAGGAGGATAAATGATATTTCTGGAAAGTTTTCGCCAACTGGAGAGATTATTATGCTGAGTGATGATATTAGTAGGTCAGTGCCATATGATTTTACTGCTCGTAATTCTCATGAACAATATTCGGAACACTCTGATAGTCGTAGTAACACGACCAGGTCAGTGCCAAATTCAGCAAGGAGTGTCGATACAGAGAAGGGAGGAAATTTTCCAAGAGAAACAACTGACGTATTACAAGACATTGAATCAGAAAACGAAATGGAACCTAGGGTTAGAGATTCAGTAGAAATGGATCAGCAGCCAGTTATATTTGATGAAAAAGACAGTTGGTTGTCAGACTCGGATAAAGAACCGGACCGCGAGGAACATGTGATAGGGTACCAATATTTACAAAACCAAGGGCATTTAATGAAAAATAAACACCAGAGACAGGATTCTGACACTGGATATAGTTCTCGAGATAATGTTTCTGAAAGTTATCTGACACCAAGTGGAGGTGGAACAAATTCGGAGACAGATATATCTAGGTTACACGAACATGAGCACTGGGATCATCGAGATAGTGATGACCATGTTTTCTTGGATAGACCTAAAAATAGATTATTGGCTAATGTTGAACTGGAATCTACTGGAGGTAGTTTTGGATTGAAATATGATCCTGGTCATTCAAGGATTTCATCTGCTGGAAGTCGGCAGACGCGTAAATCATCAGAACCGTCGGTATCCGGTTCATTTGATGAGAAAGAGGAACATGATTATATGAGACAAGAATTAACACCAATAGAATCTGCTAGAGAGAGTCAGCCAGTCTCTGCTAGGACCGAAGAACTGGAAGACTTCTTTACTGATGAAAGGAATGAAAATCGTCCGCCAAACAATCATCAGCAAGATGGTAGTGAAGCATCTGATAGTGATGATAGTGAATTTAATGATCAAGTTAAAAGTCAAAGGATTTACAAGGAGTATGCAGATTATAGACATCAAAATGTTGAGAACGATATTGATAACTCTGAACATAGAAATTTAACTCCGAGAAATAGGAAGCAGGAACCAGTGCCAAATTTTTTTATGCCAGTACATCATCTGGAAGAGTCTATGAGAACACTCCAGGTTGTCACAAATAAGGTAATTCATTACTAATTTTGTGTGTGTGTGTTTGTTTTTTTGTTTTGTTTTTTTTAAATTACAAGTTTACAATGTTTCTTCATATGAAGATCATTAAGAAAGATTTTGACCATGGCTTGATAATGCTTTTGAATTTAGCCAACATATAAAAGCTTGGTCAACCTAAGACTAAACATTAATTCTAATTTCTAGGTCTCAACATAAAACTTTTTAATTTAAAAGTCCCTTTAATGTACACTGGACAATCCATATTTAAACCATAGGAAGTCTTAATATCCCCAAAGTTGCCAGGATAACTGAAGGTAGAGGTCAGGAAATGGATTAAAATTCTGTTTCATTTTATTGCCAATCTTTTTATTTACACCATCTGTATAATTTAGAGTTTCTACAATTTTACGTATATTTTTATGTCAGGTTGATCCAGCTAAAGAATCAGAGAAAGCAGTAGTTGCTTCAGAGATGGTTTCCAAGCTGACAACCAGGGACAAGTTTGCTCAACTTAACACAAAATCTCGCCTTCCAACTGCAGAGGAGACTAAACGAATTGCAAAGATTTTTTCCTCAAAATTTTCATGACCATGTGCTAATGATATATTGAATATAGTGTTGTGTGGTTTACACTTGCATTCACTAAGAGACATGATATATTGTTATATAGATCTGTAGAAATGCTAGGACTCTTTCTAAAGGGTATTAAGCTATATTTAATGAAATATTTCATAAATTTCCAATGGTAAAGTAATGTTGTTTCCATAATTTTATGGTTGGTTTTTGAACAATTTAACCTGAAGTTAACCCGAAATAAGTGCTAATTTCTCTAACTAACAGCTGGAAATTATTAATTGATCTTAAAACTAGGATTATTATATTTGAAGGTGCCAAATGTTAACTTTGTTTTTTTCTCACTTGTAATATAAATTGTAATATAAAATGCATATAAATGTTTGGATTTTATTATTTCAATACATTTTTCAATTATAAAGGATAATTTTTTAGCTGTGTCTCTTTCCATGTATTAGGTAGGGAGAAATTTTGATATTGTACTTTCTGTAGTCCGCAGCTGACATTTTGTCTCGTCCACATCAATTTGTCATTTGTTAGCTAATATTTTTTGAGACATGTTCACCATCATGAGAAATGAGTTATTCACAAGACACTGATCTGTTGCTTCAAGGTCAAGGTCAAATTTAAAGGTCAAATATGGGGTCTTTTTCATGTTCAGTCTATTAATTTGTCACTCTTTGTTGACATTTAAATAACATAGTCAGAAATGTTGACCATAATGAGACAATGCCCAGGTGCATAGCTTGAAGGTCAAGGTCAAACTTAATAGGTCAAAGGTTAAAAGTTCTTATTGCATTGATGATTAAATACTAAAAGTATGACATGCTTGAATGGACTTTTGGGTAGAAAGACCTAATACATAATGGTGAGATGGGAGTGGGCTTAGAGTAAGGGGAGATATGTTTGTTCTTTCAAAAGAAAACTAGTTATGTGTATGTTTTTATAAAACCATGTCAAAAATTAATGCATGACCTTTATTTTGAGAATTCAGCTTTGTTTTTCTCATTATTTATTAAATAATATTCAGCACATACTTTTATATATTTATGATTTTTAACAGCGAAATTTGAAATTTCTTGTTTTGAAAAAAAAATCATTGTAGATTGATTTTGAACTATCCTTCTATATTGAGTTTGTATAAATGTCATGGACTGTCCTTTAAACTCACTGTTTGGAACATGTATATATAAAATGATAATTTTTGCGTCACTTGTTAAACAAAGCACACATTTTTTGCATTCCATATCATTTCTTTAGATCTGCTATTATTTATTTAAACCAGAAACTCATTGTCAAAGTCTGAAGCATAGTCATAATATTTTGATCATATGAAGCAGCATACTATTTGTTTTACTTTATCTTTAGATTTCATATGAGCCGCGTCCTGACAAAACCAACATAATGGGTTTGCGACCAGCATGGATCCAGACCAGCCTGCGCATCCGCGCAGTCTGATCAGGATCCATGCTGTTCGCTTACCAACTCTATCACAAGTAGAGAAACTGATAGCGAACAGCATGGATCCTGATCAGACTGCGCGGATGCGCAGGCTGGTCTGGATCCATGCTGGTCGCAAACCCATAATGTTGGTTTTGTCATGACACGGCTCATATATTTCATTGCCTTCTAATTTTTTATAGATACAAAAGACAATAGAAATTCTATACATAGATAAACATATTTCCAGAAGCATTGGTGACATTGTTTTCAATTTTTTGTGCAAAGTGAATTTCTTTAAAATGATTATACATGTAGTAAAATTGGAGATGTATTTATAAATAATATTTGACAATGATATTTCAATCAGATTCCTTCGTAGAAGGTTGACTGAAAAATGTTGCATTCTTTGGTAGAATAAAAGACTTTTCTGGATTTTTTGATAAAAAACTATTTACTGTAATAAATTTCATGTAAGCTTTGAAAATTTGTTCAAACAGTGTGGGTAAAAAGTAGCAAATTTCAAAATGCATTTGACCATGTGACATCACATTGATCATGTGACATCGGCATTGATCATGTGACATTGGCATTGAGCATAATTTCATCATCTAGTCATTGTTGTCCATGTGATATTGTTTTAATATGTGTCATTTCATGTATTTTGTGCATATATTATGTGAATTTTGTCTGTGTATATGATGTGTTTTATGTGTAATTTCCATGTGCTTTACACATATATTTCAAGCATTGAATGCATTGATTTCACATGTTTTATACATAATTACAAATGTATATTTATGTTTGTTATGCATAATTTCCATTTGTTTTATGCATATATTATCCATGTGTTTTATGCATATCATCCATGTGTTTCATGCATATTTTACATGTGTTTTATGCATATATTATCCATGTGTTTTATGCATATTATCCATGTGTTTTATGCATATTATCCATGTGTTTTATGCATATTATCCATGTGTTTTATGCATATTATCCATGTGTTTTATGTATATTATTCATGTGTTTCATGCACATTATCCATGTATATTATCTGTATCTATCACTTTATCAATATGTCTGTTGTAGTCAGTTTAGTCCAGTTTTGGTGTCATTATTCTGGTTAGCACATGACATTAGGGTTTGAGTGTGACATTCCTTAAATTGACAAATTCTCATAAATTTTTCAATCATTGATCTTTGTTTATACACTACCACACATTACCACACATTTAAATCTCATTTAGGACCTCATAATCTCATTTAGGATCGTAAAATCTCACATAGAATCATATAATCTCACTTAGGTCTATGTTACAGATAGAACTTTCATTTGACATGGCCAAAGGTTAAGGTTTTATATGAATAACCTGTCTAGTAGCAGTCTGGGAAAAATGACAGAATATGATTGGTTGAAAATGAAGGTTTAAAATTGACTAATGGTTGATTTGTGTTTTCAGACTGGTCTACAGTAGCAATTTTAGAAGAATGTACAAGTAGTTGTAAATCACAGCTTTACAGTTAATGTTGAAATATAGCTTAGATTAATCATTGAATTTCCATTTCAATCACATCGTTTTTTTATATGAATTTCTCCACTTAGTATTTTAGCAGATTACTTTCATTGACAAGTAGAAAGGTAATAATGTTTGCTTATTATTACATTAAATGGTATACCTATCAGTAGTAGAGTTTAACTTGTTTTTGAAATTTTCATGTTTTCATACAAGTATGATCATCATTTTCAGTGGTAGCTACAAATTCATTTCTTCCGTCCAACGAATATTGAGAGTATTAGTTAAAACCATGGTGTATATACTTATATTTTGTTATTGAATATGGATAAGAAGCTTGCAATTTGAACTCACATACATTCTTACAGGCTTTTGTATGGTTAGAAACAAGTTTTGACGAAATTACTTCCCTTGTGCATCATTTAAATTGGCCAATCACAGGGCATCTTTTAAATCTTTTTTGAATTTCCTTTACTGTAGTAATACATTTCTCACTTGTAAACATTGTAAAGATTTTAATTTGAACGTTATCAAATTATCGTAAATATTTTTATCTTCATGTCTGTTGTTAGCGATTTTTACTTTTTTACTGACACTTTTGGACATGAATTTAGCATTTATGTTACGTTTTGCCCTGATGTACTTTTTACATGTTGTCTTGTTCAGTTATGCAGAATTTTTTCATTTGTTTTGTACATGAATTAAGTTATTACATTACTTTACTTGTTTGTAATTTGTACACATAGGTTTTGTTGATAAATTAAGAAATGACAAATTATGTTAAATGATGAGTACAAAATTTGTACATAAATGTAATGTGATGTAAATGAATTGGTACTTAATTTGTACATATTGACAGGTTACATTATAAGAATTGGTACACAATTTATTTGTAAAAGTACTTTTTATGTAAATGAATTGGTACTTTATTGTACATATTGACAGGTTACTTTAAGAATTGATACTCAATTATTTGTAAATGAACTTAAATGCCATTCTATTTAATTCCAATATTACGTAAACACTACATGGATGCAAATTAATGTAAAGGTAGCATTACTTTTTATGTTCTTAAATGGCGATTTATTTAAAGGTAAACATTACATTTTATGTACATAAATGTAAATATATGTAAACTAACGAGTATGTAGAATATATATATATGAATGTTGTTATTATTTACATGTATAATTTATGCAAATAGCTCTGCCAGTTCATTAGAATACACTGACTGTAGAATAACCTAGTTATTTATATGTAAATTAGTGTACATTTATAAGTGTACAGATTATAATAAAGTAATATTTTCATACACTGTATCTCGTCTTTGGTGTTTATTTGAAAATTTTAGAGGAAAACATCTACCATAAAAGATGACCATGTGGCGGCGTGGCCGAGTGGTTAATGCGTCAGACTAGTAATCTAAGATTGCTTGCCGCTTGGGTTCAAACCCTGTCAGGGGCAAGCCGTTGTTTCCTTGAGCAAGAAACTTTACATTCATTGCTTAGTACTGGTTGGTTCCAGGAACGGATTCTAGAGTGTTTCAATAAGCTTATACAATTAAACACAATCAAACTAAAATAAATTTGTATAAACTTAAAGATAACCATAAGATTCTTTCACTTCATTCAAGTACATTCAGTTAGTAGTAAGCAGTTATAAGAAAACGTATGCTAAATTACAAGTATTGAGTTTGTGGGTACAAGACTTGAAAAGAAAAACCATGCCTGAAAAATAAAAGTTTATTCCATTCTGATCTTTTAAAGCACAGTGCCTAAAAAAGATATGTAGTTGATGTTATCTTAGAAAAATGACGTTGTTCTTGAAAGGGGAGTAATCATTAGGAAAAAAATAATGTAAATATTAATTTTCCAAGAAACTTACATTTGTTTGTTTTTTTATTCTACAAAGGGAATTAATCATGCGGAAAAGATTTAAATAAGCAAGAGTGATCTTCCAAAATAATTACAAATGGTGTTTATTCTTCTAAGGGAAGTTATTCTTTGGAACAAAGTTATCTCTGATAGTTACAAATGGTGTTAATTGTTTAATTAAAAAAAATGTCAAAAAACAACAATTTTTCACCAAAATTAGGTGTAAGGGCACGTGTTTACATGGAAAAACTAGTTTTTGGGTAATTTCATAGCTTTTCATCATTTTTAGCTTGACTATTCGCAGAATTATCTAGCTAATGCAGTCACCCATTTGTCGGCGTCGGCGTCCCTGTGGTTAAGTTTTAGCGTGTAAGCTGGTATCTACATAACTACTGAAGGGAATGGATTGAAACTTCACACACTTGTTCTCTCTGATTATCTAAGATGATTGGCACAAGTCCCATAACTCTGATTTGCTTTTTTACATCATTATGCCCCTTTTTCGACTTAGAAATTCTTGGTTAAGTTTTTGCATGTAAGCTGGTATCTCCATACCTACTGAAGGGAATGGATTGAAACTTCACACACTTGTTCTCCGTGATTATCTAAGATGAATGGCACAAGTCCCATAACTCTGATTTACTGTTTTACATAATTATGCCCCTTTTTCGACTTAGAAATTCTTGGTTAAGGTTTTGCGTGTAAGCTGGTATCTCCAAAACTACTGAAGGGAATGGATTTAAACTTCACACATTTGTTCTCTGTGATTATCTAAGATGATTGGCATATGTCCCATAACTCTGATTTGCTTTTTATGCCCCCACAGAGTGGGAGCATATAGCGTTGCACTTGTCCGTCCGAGTGTCCGTGCGTCCGTACGTCCAAAAATCTTGTGAACGCAACTCCTCTTAAACCGGATGGCAGATTTTGCTGAAACTTCCAGGGATGAACAACCTTAATGTGTAGATGGTAGTAAAGGAAGGAATTTTTTCTGCGACCAAATTTAACAGAATTATGGCCCTTTGTTGATTTTTTCACTATATACTATGTAGAAATTTTGTGAATGCAACTCTTAAACCGGATGGCAGATTTTGCTTAAAGTTCCAGGGATGAACAACCTTAATGTGTAGATGGTAGTAAAGAAAGGAATTTTTGCTGCGACGAAATTTAACAGAATTATGGCCCTTTGTTGATTTTTTCACTATATACTATGTAGAAATTTTGTGAACGCAACTCCTCTTAAACCGGATGGCAGATTTTGCTGAAACTTCCAGGGATGGACAACCTTAATGTGTAGATGGTAGTAAAGGATGCTGCGACCAAATTTAACAGTATTATGTAGAAATTTTGTGAACGCAACTCCTCTTAAACCGGATGGCAGATTTTGCTGAAACTTCCAGGGATGAACAACCTTAATGTGTAGATGGTAGTAAAGGAAGGAATGTTTGCTGCGACCAAATTTAAGAGAATTATGGCCCTTTGTTGATTTTTTCACTATATACTATGTAGAAATTTTGTGAACGCAACTCCTCTTAAACCTGATGGCAGATTTTGCTGAAACTTCCAGGGATGAACAACCTTAATATGTAGATGGGAGTAAAGGAAGGAATTTTTGCTGCGACCAAATTTAAGAGAATTATGGCCCTTTGTTGATTTTTTCACTATATACTATGTAGAAATTTTGTGAACGCAACTCCTCTTAAACCGGATGGCAGATTTTGCTTAAACTTCCAGGGATGGACAACCTTAATGTGTAGATGGTAGTAAAGGATGCTGCGACCAAATTTAACAGAATTATGGCCCTTTGTTGATTTTTATTTTTCAACTAGTCCAAAAAATATTTGACCTAGAGTCATAAGATTGACAGAACAGTGTTGGTGGGGGCATCCGTGTCATATGGACACATTTCTAGTTTACATCATTATGCCCCTTTTTCGACTTAGAAATTCTTGGTTTAGTTTTTGCGTGTAAGCTGGTATCTCCATAACTACTGAAGGGAATGGACTGAAACTTCACACACTTGTTCTCTGTGATTATCTAAGATGATTGGCACAAGTCCCATAACTCTGATTTGCTTTTTTACATAATTATGCCCCTTTTTCGACTACTGAAGGGTTTGTACCTTTTCGGACAATTTTATGTATTCATATAGGTAAGCATTATTATACTCAATGAAACACCCTTGTGACAACTTTTCGAATAGTGGAGCGTTACTGTCCTCCGACAGTTCTTGTTTGTTAAAGTTGGAGTAATTATTCGGAACACAAACAGGTTAGAGTGCTTGTTAGTTCTGGCTTCCATTACTTATATGTCGCTTTTATTTTGACGTTGTGCGACAGTAAACAGGTTTAGCAGTACTATAAAACCTTTTCGCTGAAGTCTCTTTAGTTATCCCCTGATAAACACTATAATGGAGTTCGAAGGGAAGTAACTTTCAGATGGAAGGTAAGTGCTTTTTCCTTGATAATTTCAAATTATGCGTATTCTTCAAAGAAAAGTTACTTTTAATATTGTCTGGAAAATGGTATTTGTTCATTTTACAAAAATTGAAATATATAACTAACAATGAGCAAATACCTTTTTCAGTCATTGGCTGATGCTAAACTAGCCACCTTATGGAAAGAAAAAGAGTACAGAGTTGATAAAGCTGTCTAGTTGTCTGGTGACCTTTCCAGAGTTACTGTGAGTCAAGTTTAAAGTCTCTAAATCGTATTTGAACTTGTGTCAGTAGTTTCAGATTATGATTTGAATAACACCAAAAAATAGATAAATACAGAATCCCTAAAGAAAGCCCAACACGGCAAAATTGAAAATGTTGCAGGCTCGGTTTGATTGAGCCTGTTCATGGACGGTACTGGAAAGTGCAAGTTACCGTCCACGCCCCTAGCACCGGCTTAAGCAGAATTCAACATTTAAACGTGAAATAGTAAAATTTTGAATTTAGAAACATCCGCAGATGTGTTCATACGTCGGTTATCATGGAACCTTCAATGTGACACTTCCGTGCCATTCCATGAAAGGCGGCGTATATGGTCCCCAAGTAATAAAAAGCGTGTGCCATAAACGAGAAAACAATTACAAGCCTTACATATTAAAGTTCGAAAGAGGGCAGTCATAAATAAAAAATATCAGAGAATCAAATCAGTTGAGCTCTAATTGCGTCTTCTTAATTATTCATAATGCTTAGAAATTTAATATTTTACTGTTCAGTGAACAAACTTATTAAAATAAAGAATTGTCAACGCAATGACGTTGGATCTGGTTTATTAGAACTGAAAAAAAATTAAACGTGTATTGCTAACAATTAAAAGTTTCCTGTCCTCAACCATCCCTGCAGTATGTAATACGTTCGGAGCGCCTAATCCTTATCCGAAAATTGACTAAAAGGGCCGAAAAGTGACGCTGACCTCGAATAGTTAACAGGTGTTTTTTTTTTGGACCGAGGAAGAGGGGGATGTGTGGGAGGTGAAGTTTAACAGTCACTCTGACACTGTCAAGGTCATACAGTGACTTTCCAGCTTTACTGGTAGAGAAAGACCTCGAGTTATCATCGTGCATTATTGGCAGCTGAGTGGGATAGCTTCCTCGCATAAAAGAATCCGAAGTCCTTGACGGGATTCAAATCAACAGCAGTGTACATTGTATATTGTAAGTGGTTTCAAGTCAATGGCCTTGACGTTTGAACTTTCATACCCTTGATAAAATGCGAGATGAACTTGTTGTCTACCATTCTGGTGCCAAAATAAGACCACCGGGAGTTTTTACACTCGAACTGACAGTAATGAAATTGTATTTGCGCAATAAAAATTCATTATTCAAAGTGAGAAGTCCGTAAAAATAATTACATTTATTCATTACAATGTGTGTTTTTACACTTGACATGTACATGTTTTTAGTTTTTAATGTTTTTTTTACTCTTTATCCAAAGAATGTAATGAGTTACTCATATAGGCGTCGGCATCGAAACTTGGTTAAGTTTTTGCGTGCAAGTTGGTATGTCCGAAACAAATTAAAAGAATAGATTGAAACTTTACACACTTATTTGAGAGCATAATATAAGGTCAGTGTCCAAGGCCCATAACTAACATAGATTTTGACAGAATCATGGCCCTTTTTGAACTTGCCCAGGCTCTTGATTTACTATCAAGCAGTAGGAATAGTCGAGAACGCTGTCCTAAGACACCTCTTGTTGAGATTTTGATTGTTTTCTTCACTACATGTATTTAATGTTTCATAACGACGGCGAGTTGTCCTTATTAATTTGTTAAATGTCCTCTTCGCAATTTAATGATTAGTTAAGAGCGAAATGTGCTTATACTTAAAATCAAATCGACGCGTTGAGTATATGAGTTTTACCAATTCAGTAACTAGTAGTTGACAAAATATTTACAAAAAAGCACAAGAAACAAACGTAACAAAACATTGTCCTGGAATTTTCACGCACTGATGACGGAATGAAATGGCATTTTTTTATTCTCTTGGTAATCAGCGATTTAATTAAAGCGGTGTATTTGTTGGTTACCCAAACAGTGGACCAGAAGTCGTGTTTGATAATACATTGCAGTAGAAAGAGTCGTACAAGACGTTACTATGACTGGACCAGAGGTGGATTTTCCTTGTATTTTTTCTCATTTTTTTTGGTTTGTTGCATTTTTTAGTGTTGGAAGTTGGCTTGTGTCAGCTTTAAGAAAAGAGCCTTAAATTTAAATGAGTCTGCTTTGCGTTTGTAGTAAATAGAATTAATATTGTTTGGTGATTTTTATTAAAAGTGATAACAAGAAATCTAGTGTAAAATTTGTTTCAAAAACATAAAAAATACATTTTATTTTACAGAGAAAGGCCATCTTATTGGTGTTGATAATAGGATGGATTTATGTTCTGGTTACCGTAGCAGAGAATCCGCAATGGTGCGTGTTTACAGTAGAAGATTCATACAAAAAATACCACTGCGTTAAGACAATGGCCGGCAGCCTGCCTTTGATGGCTTGCTCTCTCAGGTGTTGTGATGAACACAGGTTGGTTTTAAATTATATATACTCTTGTTTTTTTAATATTGTGCAGTAATGACCTACAGAAACTTTCTATTGACTGGCTTTTAATAGTTTGGTTCCCAGCATCTATTTAACATAAAACGGTACTACAGTATAACCTATACAGTACGGCCCTCTGTACAGCAAATATCTCTTTTCAACAACGTAATTAAATCTTCCCAAACTGAGATTTAACACGGAATTTAACCTCACTAGAGCAATACCTAGTAACAACAACCAAAATCTTCCCAGATAGCCCTATGGTATGGAACCTGTCCCTGCCACAAAGTTTATGCATGTATACTTTTGGTATTGTTATTGTGTAGCGCTAGAACACAATTGGACACTGGTTTACAAAATGACAAAAAAAGTTAGAACCAGTCACAAAGCAATTATGAATTATAAGATCAGAAGATTGACAAAAAAAAAATAGACTAAAGAGCAGTGCCACTTTAATCTATACTTTATGGATGCTTCTCGGCGTCTTTTCAACAAAGGCCAAAAATATACTTCAATTATTATGTCTATTTCAAATTTAATAAACAAAGGTTGTTTTTTTTGTTACAGATGTATTGGGATATTTCATAAAAAGGATCAAACCGATAACTGTTACCTCATCAGTGCAACTGAGGAAGATACAGGTTGTGCTGATTTCGACTGGGCAATCTGGACAGCGTACAAGAAACGGAAAGGTAGAGAAAATTTAGAATCATTTTGTGTTCCTTTTGATTAATTAATAACTGTACTTAAATAACAAAAAAAAATCATGAATTTAAATAATTTTAAATGCAAGACTTTCTGCTAAGTTAATTAAGCGAAAGTACAATGCAAAAAAACAACAACAAAATAACAACAACAACAAAAAAAAACAACAAACAAACAAACGGGGAAAATTGCATGTTACCATGACAAAAAATGCCGAAAAACGATGACGATATCGCAAATTACCAAATTTAACAACTGGTACGTTATCGTACCGTTTTACCGGCGCCAGTGATGACAGATTGATGCAGTGATGACAGAAATCTAAAATTTTACTGATTTACTATACATGAAGGTAATAAACTTGGTTGATATTTACATGATGCAATTTTACAATTTAACAATTTCATTGCGTCATCGCTCACCTGCGGAAATATCCAACTCGGACCATTTTTTTTTTTTTTGGTAGAAAATCCGTCGACTCAAAGGTAAAATACGATTTTAATTAAATATAAGAAATAGTTAGAGTATCAAAATTTAATGTAACGCATCAAAGAATGGCTAATGTCCTGAAGAAAAATTTATAGATTTATTCTGAAAACGGGATAACTTTTCATACAACCTATAAGAAATTAGGTTGAAAACCTTCTAGGACTTTAAAGCAAATACACATTATATTTCCCTTAAAAGAAACTTCCGCTTAATCAACATCTTTCTAATAAGAAATACATCATTTGGACTATTGAAGATCATTGAAGATCATTGATCTATGTAAAATATCACAACATAGGAGAAAAAAGGATGAACTTATGCCTAGTGAAAAAAATACATTTCAATAAATTATTAATGCTTTAGATAATTTACAATGGATGTTTTGTAAAGATGTGTTTAGAGTACATAGACCTGAAGTGTACTTCAAGTATTTCGTTTAAATATGAAGACAGCAAAGTTTCTGAGTCCTAGTGGGAGTATCTCTTAAATCGAGTCCGATGGAAGCATTTTCCAATTTTATAAAAATAAAGAAAAAATCTGACTTTTAAACAGAAATGTTTGGAACCAATCTAGAAAAATGGGTAAACATTACTCAGTTTATGTTTTGATACATGTAAAGTAATTTTCATGAAGGTTTTCAACGTAATTTCTTAAAGGTTGTGGAAAAGTCCGAAAAAACTTGTCCCGTTTTCAGGCTTAAACCAGACAATAAATCTATAAACTTTTCTTACAATTACCTCAAGGACTGAAGCCATTATTTGATGCTCTACAATAAATCTTGGTTCTCTAACAATTTCTATAAAAAAAATCGTATTCTACCTCCGTGTCGACGGATTTTCTACAAAAAATGTTTCGAGTGGGAGATTTCAGCAGGTACATATAAGTCAATGGACAGTGAATACATGTACTTAGCAATGTCATTGTCCTCATTTGCGTCATGTAAATATACCAACCAAATTTATATACATGTAGCTTACAAGTGGTAATCAGTAAATTTTAGATTTCTGTCATCACTGCAGTAATCTTTCATCACTGGCGCCAGTTATACGGTGTTGTTCTCCGTGTTTCATTATCACGTTTCCGACTTGCCGGAGTAGTAGTAGTAGTACTGGCTTCGCTTTTCTGTTTAATTAATAGGCGAAGTTCCTAATGGAATTCAGTGAATCATTGCATGTAATCGGAACATCCTCGGATATAATTCATTATCCGAACACTGAAGTATAAATGGCTTGTGATCGCATGCTGTTTGAAGATATTTAAATAGAAGGGATAAATATATATCTAAAAGATAATAAAAAGTATTTCTATGATAGATCTTGGACAGTGTGGTTCCTTGTTAATGGACACAGTAGGCTACTATCATTTAGCAGACAGCTCAAAAGTGGCAGCAGAGACTTCACGCCTGAACTATGTTCCGAACAGTATAAATGAGATAGGCGGATTTCTATATGACACAGTGTACCTTTTGGTAAGTATAAACCTAAATAATAATATAAATAAGTATAGATATGTTCTCCTGCCTTCTCAAAACTGCCCGATATTTGACATTGACATTTACTGAGTAAGCTTTAATTATTAAATGTTGCTAAAACTTAGATACAGCTGATTTCATAAATAAAAATGTGAAAAAAAACCGACATGTAAATAATCCAAGTATGACTACGACCTTAAAGTGACCTTTACAATTAAGGTCAAATGGCCGATGTCTTCCTGAAATTGTAATAACATTGTCATATTTCTACGGACTGGATCCATACTTGTACAAAACAACAAAACCGACATGTTGAATAATTCCAGTATGCCTCTACCTTCAAATGACCTTGTCCGCCAAGGTCTAGATATTCAATTTTGCTTTTAAGTGATAAATGGAGGGTTGGACAAAGTAACACTTATTTATGATAACACACGTCTTTGAAAACCCTAAAGGACAACGATATTCCGCCGTGTACCGCTTATGATGGGACGAGCTTATTTCTGTGTCGCTAACATTTAGCGTATTTGTTTAACGTATATGGCATTACAAAAAAATGGATGCACAACAATGCCATACGATTTTTTCAAGGTGTTTGAAAAGCAGTACTGGCATGTATTTAAAAAAAATATGACGTTTATTTACAGGTGAAGTTGTCGTCTGCAGCTAAAGTAAGAGGGACCGTAATACAGGGCAGATGGAGGGATGAGGCACTTGCATTATGCTGTGATGAAAGAGTGACAGAATATTTCATTAATTGGTCACCAGATTGTGACTCATCATGGACGTTTTACCCTGCCAGCAACACAGGGGTATGGAGCCTTTAATTTCAGTTATACCAACTCTGCTTTTGTCATAAGGCATTTTTCCAGGTTTATTAATGTCTGTAATTCTAAAATGTACCGTTCAGCTAAAGCGTAAACCTGAATAAAGCCAACGACCTACTTGTAGCGCTACTATCTAAGAGTTAGTTGCAGGGTTAGTTCCTCAATTCAACGAATAGATAAATGTCGAATGAAATATGTATTGTACACTTTAAGAAAAAAATCATTTCCTTTTGTTTAAATTCTTAATCTTTCAGCTTATTAATAGATAGATAGATTGAATGATTAATTGCATAATTAATGATTTATTAGTTATATCTTATTTGCAGACGATATATTTCGAAGGTAATGTTATCCCTGGAGCTGGAAACGAAGCTGTTGTGAACTTATTTGATGAGCCCGTTGTCGGTATATGTTTCGCTTTTTATGTCCAGAGTTATCATCTTCAAGCAATTGTTCGCTGGGATCTGATTGGATGTGAACTATGAAATTAGCTGTCAATTTATACATCATGAGCTCTTACTGGGGTGAACTATGAAAAATAACTGTCATTCTTTAAACCATGAGATCTTACTGGGGGTAAAATATAAAAATAGCTGTCAATTTATACACCATGAGATTTTACTTGGGGTGAAATATAAAAATAGCTGTCAATTTATACATCATAAGATCTTACTGGGGGTGAAATATAAAAATAGCTCTCAATTTATACACCATGAGATTTTACTTGGGGTGAAATATAAAAATAGCTGTCAATTTATACATCATGAGATCTTACTGGTGGTGAAATATAAAAATAGCTGTCAATTTATACATCATGAGATCTTACTGTGGGTGAAATATAAAAATAGCTGTCAATTTATACATCATGAGATCTTACTGGTGGTGAAATATAAAAATAGCTGTCAATTTATACATCATGAGATCTTACTGTGGGTGAAATATAAAAATAGCTGTCAATTTATACATCATGAGATCTTACTGGTGGTGAAATATGAAAATAGCTGTCAATTCATACATTATGATATCCTACTGTTAGTGAAATAACTGTCAATTCATACACCATGAGATCTCAATGGTGGTGAAATATTAAAATAGCTGCCAATTTATACATCATGAGATCTTACTGGTGGTGAAATATAAATCTATACATCATTAGATCTTTCTGGTGATGAATTATAAAAATAGCTGTCAATTTATAAATAGTGGTATTATGACAGCTTGTTTTTCTCGTTTTCAAAAAGACATCACACTAAAGTTTGCTCCGTTTTACACGTGAATGAATCGTCTTATTATTTAGACAAATAAAACTCTTTAGTTTAGTCATAGGTATTTTTATAATCTTTTTATGCATAGACAGTGTATTTTTCGTGTGAAAAGTTCATGAATGGATAATATGTGCGCAACTTCATAGATTCATTGACTAGATACATTCACAGGCGCTAGTCACGAAATGAAATATTTTACATAATCGGCCTTTATATGTATATTTTATAGCCCATAAACAACTAAAAAAATTGTTTCAAGCACCTGTGGATGGATTTTATTTTTTATTGTTTATATATACTATTAATTATATAAGATAGTCCAAGTTTTTCAGTTACGAGTTAATTACTTTCATTAGAATTTGTATATTATTCTTAGTAGTGATTATGCAAATGAAATGAAAACACACTTATATGTAAAATGACGTTGTTTGTGCAGTCGGAAGTTACCTATTTAGTTGAGAAGGCCCTTTAGTTTGCTCTAAAGAACCGACCGATTTTTGAGAACTGTCGACATACTGCTGTTCTGGTTAAAAAATATTGAATCATTCTTGTAAATCGGTCATATTTTATCTACACATATCTTCACCTTATAACGCTTTCATTTATTTATTTTACTTGCATTAAAAATGTTAATCTATGCGCGTCTTTTTGCATAAGTATTGAAGCAGCCTCCAATTGCATGCTAATTTTCATCAAATTTTTTAAAATGTATAAAAAAGTAAAAAAAAATCAAGTGAGCAAAGAATGTAATTTACACAGATAATCTACAAAAATTACAAAAAATAGATCAGAATAATATAATGCATAAATGGCCCTTATAACGTTAGTCTCGCAGTAGAAATATGGTGATTAATACTGCAAGAAAAGCCATTAATTACATATAACATGTGAAATTTTTCTTAGATTGTTAATATTTTTACTTGTTTAAAATTGTAGTACATTTTTTTCAAGGTTGTTTTTCTTGAAATATTTCATCTAGAGGTGTGCAGTTTTAATAGACATAATAAAAAATACGAAAACTAATGACACTTTCATACTATACTGTATGTACTTTAAGTATCGTATAATTGATCAAAGAATTGAATTTATATCTATCGAGGGAAAGGATCTCTTACAAATGTAAAAAAAAAAGATATAAAAAATATCTAAATTATTTATTGCAATTTCATGGATTCTTGATTATTCATAGTGATTTCTCAAACATAAAGAAATCAGTTATTGAGATGTACACATGAGGTTTAACAGAACTTTTGTCTAACTTTAAAATCATGTACCGAGAACATACTAACAAAACGACCAAAATTCATGGTTGATTTCATATATATCACAGAATAAACATTTTAAAATATGACATTAGATTTGGTTTAGAAATGACATTCGGTCATGTTATGATAATTTTTCAAACCAATTTTCCTGAAGGTACTTCCATTTTTAAGAAGTAGAAGTGTATAAAACACAAATCTCTGTACTGTTTTTATTCCAAGAAATAATCATTGAAATAGAAAAATTTAACTGTCAACAAAATATTTCTAAAATAAAACCATGTAAACAAACTTATTTTTGTGAAAACCTTTTGAACAAGCATAATTCATAATACACGTACACATTTTAACTCCATGGAATGGATATATGTTATAATGTAGGTGGCACTTAAAACAATAGCCACCACCTATCGGAGCTATACTCGACGTCTTCTTATCACACCAGCGGGAAGATATCGTAATACAGAGTTCTCCTAGAAAACGTAACATTTTTGTAAAATTCATATGTGACCTTGACTGTCAAGGTCATTCAAGTCGTGGTCATATTTGAATCAATCATATCATGTCACTTTTGTCATATGTGTACTATTGCCCAAGAATGTTTCAACTCATAAAAAAATTATGAAAGTTATGACAATTTAATTAATTTTCAATTGTTTGTCCTTGACGGTAAATGTCGGTCAAAGTTATATCAGAATAATACAAAATGTCAACCCCCGGTGATAACCTCAAAAAATAAAATAAAACTCACACAACCTACGGTGATAGGCATTTACCAAAGTAAATCTACGATGATAGCCTCAGGCAGTACAGTAAAGCTCACACAACCAACGGTGATAGGCCTTTTAAAGGTTTCTTATCGCATGCTAACCGACTTTGATATTCTGCGAGTAAACCTGTGTTGATAGCCTCAGGGAATACAGTAAAGCTCATACAACCCACAGTGATAGACCTTTAAGAGGGTTCGTATCGCAAGTCAACCCACGGTGATAGCCTCAGGGATTACAGTAAAGCTCACACAACCCATTGTGATAGGCCATTTAGAGGCCTCTTTACGCAAATTAACCCACGGTGATAGGCGCACGGAATACAGTAAAGCTCACTCAACCCACGGAGATCGGCCTTTCAAAGTTTCTTATCGCAGGTTAACCCACCGTTATAGCCTCGGGGAATACAATTAAACTTACACAACCCACGATGATAGGCCTTTCAGATGCTTTTTATCGCAAGTTAACCTCAGAGAATAAGTAAAACTTACAAAACCCACGATAATAGGACTGTCTGACGGATCGTATGGCAAGTAAACCCATGGTGATAGCCTCAGAGAATACAGTAAATCTCACAAAACCCACGGTCGTTGGCTTTTAGAGGTAACTTATCTCAAGTAAACACACGGTGGTAGCCTCGGGGAATACAGTACATGTAAAACCAAAATTAAAAAAAACAACACTCGGTAATAGGCTTTTAAAGGGTTCTTATCGCAAATAAACCCACGGTGATAGCCTCGGGGAATACAGTAAAGTTCACACAACCCACAATGACAGGCCTTTGAGAGGGTTCTTATCGCGAGTTAACCTACTATGCTAGCGTCAGTGAATACAGTAAAGATCACTCAATCCTGGGTGATAGGCCTTTTAGTCGCAAGTTAAACGACGGTAATAGCCTCAATGAAAACAGTAAAGCTAACATAACCCACAGTGATAGGCCTTTAAGAGGGATCAGATAATCCATAGTGATAGCCTCAGGAAAGTTGTAAAGCTCACACAACCCCCAGTGATAGCCCTATCTGGTAGTACCTGCAAAATATCAGTTTTTATACCCTCTATGAATACAATAAAGCGTACAAAACTCTCGGCGATAGCCTTATTTTATTTGTTCTTATCTCAAATAAAAACGATGATAGCCTTAGACAATAAAGTTAAGCTCACACAACCCACGGTGAAAACCCTTTCTAGTAATTCATCTCTGAAACAAACTCACGGTAATAGCATATCGGAATACAGTCAATTTCACGCAACCAACGGTGACAGCCCAAACTGAAACAAAAGCACGATGCTTGCCTCAGGGAATACCGTAAAGGTCACACAACAGTCTTTGATAGCCCTTTCTAATGGTTATTATCTTAATCAAAAGCACAGTGATAGCCTCAGGGAATACAGTTAAACTCACAGCATCCACGGGAAAGCCCTATCTAAATATTTTTTATCTGATACAAAAGCATGGTGATAGCCTTAAGCAATACTGAAAAGCTAACACAACCCGCGGTAATAACGCTATCTAATGTTTTTTAAATGCCACAAAAGCATGTTGACAGACTTAAGGAATAAAGCAAAACTGACAAAACCCACGGGGATATATATTTAATGGTTCTTATCTAAAACCAAAGCATGTTTAAAGCTCACACAACCCAAGGTGATAGGACTGTCTTAAAGTTCTTATCTCGAGCTAAGCACGGTAATATACTCAGTGAAATCAGTAAAACTCATACAAGCAACGGTGATTGACCTATCTTATAGTACTTATCTCGAACTAAGCACTTTGATCGCCTCAGGAAAAACAGTAAATCTCACACAACCCTCTGTGATAGGTCTGTTTTATAGTTCTTATCTCGAACTAAGCACGTTAATATACTCAGGGAAAACAGTTAAGCTCACACAATCCACAGTGAAAGGCCTGTCTTATAGTTTTTATCTCGAACTAAGCACGGTGATCGCCTCAGGAAAAACAGTAAAGCTCACACAATCCACGGTGATATGCCTTTTTTTATAGTTCTCTTCTCGAACTAAGTACGGTGATAGCCTCAGGGAAAACAGTAAAGCTCACACAACCCACGGTGATAGGCCTGTCTTATAGTTCTTATCTCGAACTAAGCACGGTGATATCCTCAGGGAAACAGTAAAGCTTACACAATTCACGGTGATAGGCCTCTCCTATAGTTCTTATTTCGAACTAAGCACGTTGATCGCCTCAGGGAAATAGTAAAGC